AGGGTTAAGGTTCAAACTAGGTTAAAGTTTCAGGGTTAAGGTTCAAACTAGGTTAAAGTTAGACAAAGCAAGGTCTACCCAAGTATAGAAGTACAAACATGCGAGTGTGCAAATGCAGAGAGCAACGTGAAGATAGTATGGGATAACGTCCAAAGTCCATACTAAGCTGTGGTTGACGTTATCTAAAAATGAACGGTGATGAAATAAATGATTATTCTCCTCTCTGGATCCTGAATCTGGATTTTCTGTCAATGACACAGCTGCTGAGCGCAGCGCGTTTTCCTCCCGGAATTCACTTGATGGCGATGGTCAAACCGTTAAAAGTGGTGCAAAAACCAAACATTTATACATAGAGTTTCATCCCTCGGGCCATTTGCGTTGTTTTAAATTGACCTCAATGGACATTAAAGCCCACATCAATATTTTCCTCTCGCAAGTTTCAAAGAGGAAGATTCAGATACACAACTGTCACCTTCTCTTAGGAATGCTTTAAGAAAAAATGAGTTCATCCTAGAAGAGTTGTTCTCCTTTCTCTCAAATGACAAAGTGAATGATGACGGCAGGAAGGTAATGACTTTTTCTGATGGAGATATTCTACTGTGTGTGTGTGTGTGTGTGTGTGTGTGTGTGTGTGTGTGTGTGTGTGTGTGTGTGTGTGTGTGTGTGTGTGTGTGTGTGTGCGTTATTGGCTGGGAGAGAGAGACGCAGGTGCTGAGTTTCAGGCATGGAAGGTCTAAGGAGACTCTGTTCAACCCACGAGGGACCAAAAAAAAATAAAAAATCCTCTGCTGTTCTTTTTATTTATCCATGTCATCACCACTCTTTTCCCCACACGCACCCACATTATTCACTATATATTCTTTCTGTTTTCTTTGTGGATTCCTTCCTTCCAGGTTTTCCTCAGATTGCAAATGGTGTACATGTAGCTCCATCTAGTGGTCGATCCTTTGGAAGGCGATGGCGTCTGTGAGGATTAACGATAAAGGGTCACAGAGCGTTACTCTTGTTACATTAATAGTAATGAACATTAAGTTTAGTGTTAGTTGGGGACAATCAGCAACCTTGTACGCTGTTAAAAATGCAACTCAATACATTAAACTGTGCTGACAGCCTTTCAGATAAGAACACTATCAGAGTAGGTGTTATTCAGTACAGTAAAGTACTACACACCTTTTTGTCCAAATGAAGTGAGTAGACAACCAGTATTTCTATTTCTGCAGAAATTCTCCCCTTCCTCTCTGCCTAACTTCCCTTTCTGCCAGAGCCTTGCTTCCTCCGCTTGTTCTTCCATTTCCCCTCCTTGCTTTGGTTTCCTCGCTCTCGCTGTGGCGGAGTCTCATCTCTCTGCCTCCATCTCCCCTCTTTGCCGAGGGCATCCCGGCTGTGCTGCTCCTTTAGATCCACTGGGGGGATAACGTGTTGGAGCAGAACAGACTCTCCTGTTCCTACAAAAGTGTGTGTGTGCGTGTGTGTGTGTTAGCATGCATGAGTGCTGCCATTACAACACCTGAGGACATCCTCAAGACATTTTCTGTGTGTGTGTGTGTGTGTGTGTGTGTGTGTGTGTGTGTGTGTGTGTGTGTGTGCGAGCGATAAGTTCCAGCTGAATGCCTCAGGAGTCTCCCGAGGCCTTCATTCATAAAGGTGTGTGTGGGTGTATCAGGTGCTCGCGCCGTGGGTTTCGCCATGGGATACAAATGTTTGCCTTGCTGCAGCTTTTAATCTATCTAGCGCTTTAACTATTAAGGAGAAGCCGGGTGGTAAAAGTAGCATCCGTAGATTGTTTTTCTGACCGAATACATTTTTCCTTGTTTGTCCGGCTCAATGGGATGCATGGTACACATTAGTGCGTGCTCAAATATCTCATATCCCATTAGATAAAGCGCTACACTATAATTTCAACATCCACTATGTAGACTATGACAGATTTTCAACAATAAATCCCAGTGACTTTGATGAGTCTCTGGCTTTTGCTTTTGCACCACTATAAGTGTCCCCCCCAGGGACGAATCTTACTGTAGGGATCCTAATATACAAAACTCAGACACAATAACATAATAATAACTCTATAATATGAAAGCATTTTAGTGTAGTGGGAGTTGTGGATGGTGAAATCAAGATATATTTCATACATCAAGTGTTTATGTAATGTATAGGTGGGGATATAAGTATTAATATAGTAATATTTTGACTCTTTCCTTATTCAATTCACACTTCACTATCACAGTCTTGTCATATCCCATATTTCTTTCTTTTAATAATATTAATTTATTCCCATCAAATGGAGATGTATTTTCTTGTAATATTCCAACACCTTTCTAAAACATTCTGACTGTCTTAATATCTAGAGAATATAATTGTGATGGAAAAACTGATTTTAACAATTTTCCATAAACTTTGGAGGTCTTCAGTTAGTTATTCACGTATATTTGTACAGGTTTCTCTAAATCAATAATGGTAAATAAACATGAAGAAAACTTTTGACGTAACAAAAACGAAACTTGAACCATTTTTCAAGCACACGAATTTGAATATTGAGATCCTATTTTTTTGTACTTTTTTGTTTTTTATTAGCATTTAGCATTCAGAACACATTATAATTACAAAGGCTTTGGAACTTTACACTTCTTTTTGAATAAGAAATGCCGCTTGTCAACACCCACGCACTCAGGTGGAATACTATTTATTTATATTGGGAAACTGGTACAACGTTGTTTTTTTTCGCCTGTCTGTAAATGCTACATTTCTGACGGCCCCTGAATGCAGCATCGACGTAGTGGGAGAGGCGGGTTTGTTGACTTCGGCTGCGCAGTAGCCGCCTCGCACAAGAACTAACGTTAGCTACCTCGAGAGAGTTTTTTCGGGGAGACGTCAACAATGTAACTCACGTCGTACGAGCTCTATCCACGGATTCTGGCACGAAGAAATATGGTCGTCTGCCGATGAACCGTCGTCAGAGCGGTTTGTTTTTTTTTGCGACCGAACGCGGCTCCAGCGCGCCGTCAGCTGAAGTTACAAGTTCCTCTCCGGGGTGAATGGGGAACGCTGGGCTGACCGCGGGTACTTTACGTAACGAAACGCTAGCGGGCTAGCCAGCCGAGGAGGACATGAAGAATGTTTCCCACATGGATTCCTACCGTAGAATAACGAGAATTGTTTGGGGGGCTTTGCTCTGAGAAGGTGTTTTAAAACGAAGCGAAGCGCTGGTGCCTGGTCGCACGTTAGCTGTCAAACTGTGGGCTCGTCCCGGCCGCAGCGCTGGCCTAGGAAGCTAGCTGCGAGCTAGCTGGCTAGCTGCCCGCTCCGGCTCATCTTCCGAAGTAAGTGATGGCTCTCGTTAACATGTCATTGACGGCTCTGGTTTATTTAAGTGCACGGACGTGAACGTACAGCGACAGTCGGGTGAAGTCGCCGAGATGTACGCCGTTTATTGTAACGTGACGTTAGCTAACTCGTACGGAGGTGGGTCTGTGACGTTCGGGCTCCTGGCGTTTGGTTAATCTATCGAAGCCATAGGCGAACGGCAGCGCGCGAGATCACGGCCTTTTGGGGATTTTCAACGTTACACAGTGACCCCTTAGGGGACCACTCCACTTGCACTGAAAACCTTCGGGGTCCGGGAACTGTTGCGTGTTTCCCCCTTTTTTTAGTGATATACATGTTCAGAATGTAAAGTGTTGCTGAAATTCCAAATGTGAAACATGCGTTTTTGGAATTCCCCCAGGTGCCGGATTGTGTAAAGACCAGTGTGACATGGTATGAGGTGCCAGGCCGGCGTCTTGTGTCTGTGTAGAAGAGACTACATGAAATCACAATAATGAACTGTATGTTCCTTTGCTGTGTTTTGCTGAGCTATTGATAGTTTGTCACGTACACAGTACAATGCTGACCTTTCACTACATAAGTTCCTCAAATGTAAGGATTCCTTTGCTTGGTGTAGCTTCAAAGCCTCCTTTTGTATGCTTGGACTCCTCAGGACCTGAGGCGCTTATAGAACACACTTCCACCCGATCCTCAGCTACACACTGATGTGTTATGGTTTGTTTTTCCCAGTCAAAAAGCGATCCATTCGTCAACGTCAAACGAAAAGAATGTATTTCAATTTAGCATGAATACGAAGCACTACGAAGTATTTGCCACTCCCTCAAGGCGGCACATTTGGCAGCAATTCTAGTCACAGCTTTGGCACCTAGTTACAAAAACCACATTGACAAAACGTGCCTGACACGTGAGGTACTTGTATAGCCAAGAGATATCAGGGAGACATCTTTTTACCCATAAAACATAAATCATGGCTTTATGTGAATGGTTAGGAGCTCTTGCCTTCTCTTCACTACAGACCTCATCTCAGTTTCTTGAATTCAGCTACATTACCAATACCGAAGATCCATCTTTCCCGGTGGGCTGATTATAGAAACGAGGACCGGAAACCCAGTCATATCAAAGCCTCTGTGTTCTACGGCCGTGGAAGAAATCCAGCATCCATAATTCAGCCCTCGTGTGATATTTTACTGTATTTGAGGGAAGGGGGGAGTAGGGATGGGCTCAGCTGCAATCATGTGGACTTCTCTGTGTTTCCACTCCAAGATATGTGTACCAGTTAGAATAGTTTTCTTATTGATTATTTGACATTTAAACCCAAGTAGCCTAACTAATAAGGGAAATGATTTGAGCTGTGGTGACAAATGTAATGCCGCGGGGTCGCGATACTTCCATTTAGAGCGAGACGTTTCAGACCGTATTCCGTAACTCCCGTTGAGAGACGCCTCTTTTAGAATTCGATTTACAAATTGTATGAGCTTCTTTCTTTCGTACAGGGGCTCGTCTGCCCCGCAGCTTTATGCAACGCTGACATTTCCATAACAGTTTATGCAACTGTTGAGGCCGTGTTGACCTAGCCGATCAAAAGCATCACACTATGAACATTGTACTTTCTGCTCACATTATGCACTTATCTGAGTTTTCTCTCTGCTTTTGATGACCTCCCTGCCAGTCATGGACGCTGTGACTGACGCCTGCCCTCCGCTGCACCGAAATGGGACGGCCCATCGGGAACCGCCAGTCGCCGCCGCAGCGGCCACCGTTCTGAGGCTCCACTTCTACCACGGCGGCCAAGGAGCGGCGGAGTGCGGCTTCCTCGCCTACCCACCGGGGGACTACGTGGCGGAGGAGCTGTGTATAGATGCGGCGGCGGCGTGCAGTGAGTGATCAAACCATGCAGGCGCCCGCACTCGAGTGTTATGCACATGTCCCGAGATAAGGTTATCAAGAGGCCACAGTGGCAACTAAAACACGTTGGCTGGTTCAATACTCTCAATGCCTTGTGTGCACTTGGTCTCGCTTTCCTTGCTTGTTCTAAGAAAAAAAATAATGTGGTCTGGCTTTTTTTGTCTTTGTTGTGGTTGTTGAATGCAAGAATCACTATGACGCAAGTAGTACACAGCTCAGGGCCTTGCAGGTGATGCTAGACCATCCCGCATGTTTATGGAATATCATGTTATGTGTGTGATGATGAACCAAACACAGCTGACATTTGAGACCATCTCTGCTGACCTTTTTGGTCGGCTATGTTGAGACTCCTCCGAGTTTCCCCTAAAGGATCACAGATTCGTTTGTTTTTCCACTTTATTTCTATAGATGAAGAAGGAACATTCATTCAGAGCGAGCCGGTAATGCGCAGTGTAGCTGACCTGTGCACTTTCAGAGAGCGTTTTGCATACAGGAATGGAAGCACGTTTAGACAGCAGGGTTTGGTTTCTTACTCTTTGTCTGCTTTAGGTATATCGCCGCTGTACTGCAACGTTTTTGCTCTCTACCGAGAGCGAGACAGCTTGTGGTTTTCACCCAACCACATCTTCCAGGTTGACGAAGTGGCCTCTGAAGATGTGTTTTTCAGAATAAGGTAGCACACATCAAATGGTTTTGATGCATTTTCCAGATTAAAGTTGTCATCATCTTGTTACTTACTGCATTTTCATCATCATGCTTTCCCACAGGTACTATTTCCCTGGCTGGTACAGCGGTGGGTCATCCAGAGCGTATCGATATGGGGTTTCCAAAGGGTCAGAAAGCCCCGTCCTGGATGACTTTGTAATGTCATACCTCTTCTCTCAGGTGAGCAGTTCCGCCTACACACACGCTCTTTATTACTTAAATTGAAGAAGAATTGATCCTTTGTGGCGTTTAAAAGGTGTATGTTTATGGGGGTCTATTTTCAGCCTCGAATAGTCTTTACTGAAGCCCAAGGACGGTTTTGCTGTATGTAATTTACTAAATTTAATTACATGTTCATGGTAATCAAGAAAGATGTCACACAGTGCACCATGTGGCTCATTGAGGCAGTTTCCTATAATGCATTTTTACCCAACGTTAATGTGGTCGAGGATTCCACATTGGCTCACATTCTTCCTTTTTTAATGCCTTTGCGATCCCTGTGGTTTTGTGTTTTATTGGACTTAACTATGAATTTTGCTTTGGTTTCATTGCTTATCGAAGAAGAAAAACTACGTTTTATCAGATTACTTGATTAAACAATTCAGTAATCAAAAAAAACATTTAAAATACTACGATTCTCACTTTTTCATGTTTACACCAAGATTTCACAACATTTTTGGTCATGGAAATTTAGTTTGAAGTCATGGAAAAATCAAAGTCCATTGGTCAAAATGTGTATGAACCCTGCAATTACTAAAACAATTTATAGCTTCAGCCCTTTAATGCAGCATATTTCTATAGGATCGCTGTGTTTAGTGTATCTGAATCCAGCTACCTAAAGCTAGTGTTATGACCTGAGCTGAACCCTTAGTGGACTGAAGGGTTATGTGGATTTACGCACTGTGTAAAGAAAGAGACGGGAAGCGCGGGAGTCGCTTGTAGGGTGTATTGTGTTTGCAGCCGTGAAGCCATCACACCCGCTCACATTCACCCCGGACAGATGTTGTGTTGTTGGCTTCGTGAAGGATACACTAAATTCCTTGCAGCCTAATCTCGAGCGCAGCCTCTGTGTTTGTGGGGAAAAAAGTAAAGTTATTATGACTTTCGATGGGAAGTGTGTCTCTGCTGATGGGAGTCACCAAACAGCTGATTTAACAGAACCGGAGCAGTTCTGTGCGGTGCGTCCTGATCACACCCCAACACTTAATGCATTTGTGGTACCTGAATTCTATTCCTCACTATAGGCGAGATTTCGTTTACTCCGCGTATGTGAGCACCAAGCTGTCCATAATCGACCTTCGGCACACAAACACAAATGCGTACAGATGTGTCTGCTGGGTTCAACTGAGATCGTGTTTCGTTCCGTTCAGTGGAGGAACGACTTCATCAATGGCCGAGTGAAGGTCCCCAACTCCCATGAGACCCAGGAAGAGTGCCTCGGCATGGCTGTCCTCGATATGACGCGGACAGCCAAGGAGAGACAGATGTCCCCGCTGGACATCTACCACACAACGAGGTACTGCTGGATTCTTCTTGTGCACTGGTGATGTCATAGTGTAAATGCTAACAAAACTGTTTCCGTGTATCGTTACTAAGAAAATGATTTTTCCATATCATATCAACATATCAATATGTGTTGTCTCAACAAACACTGTTGAACTTAAAATAGTCTGAAATGTGAAAAGACAATCAACAATCAAACTGATGGTTTATGGATCTTATTACTGTGTATACATGATAGAAACAGAAGGACTCATGCTCACCAGTGATGTTTACTTTTTGCTAACTCCTAGCTACAAGTCCTTCCTGCCCAAGGACATGAGCGCTCAGATCAAGGACTGCAACTTCTTGACACGCAAGCGAATCCGATTCCGCTTCAAGCGCTTCATACAGCAGTTCAGTCAGTGTCGGACCACCGTGCGCGACCTCAAGCTCAAGTACCTCATCAGCATGGAGTCCCTGGAGAAGTCCTTCTACACGGAGACCTTCCAGGTCAGGGAACCGTCCAGCGGGCAGCTCGTCATCCTGGTGGCGGCGGACTTTGGCATCCAGTGGTGTCGAGAGAAGCTTAAGGATTCCGACCAGGTTGGTGCTGTAAGGAGACGCTGCTGAGCTTTAAATACTTTACGTCCCGCAATAGCTGGAAAACAACCCATGGACAACAAACCCAATTGTGTCCTTGAGCATTGGCAGTGTTTCCGGATAAACTATACACACAAAGTTTATTGTGAGGTGGCAATATTCAACAGTATGTTTTCTCATGCTGTTTGTGCAGGAGCTGCAGACGCTGTGTGACTTCCCTGACGTCACTGACATCAGCATCAAACAGGCCAGCAAGGAGGGGGCAGTCGAGTCTCGGGTGGTCACCATCAACAAACAAGATGGCAAGAATCTGGTAATTTGACTTTACTCTGTCACCAAAAGCCATTTTTAGTGAACCCGGTCCGCTATCTAAAAGGGCTTTCGTTTCCAATTAGAAATATAACACACAGGGAGAAGAAGGTTCAAGAATGATGGAGGTTTACACGAGATGTCTCAAAGAGGTTCTTGCGTATTTCAGGAGCTGGAGTTCCTCAGTCTGCCTGAAGCCCTCTCCTTTGTGTCCCTCATCGATGGCTACTACCGGCTCACCACGGACGCACATCACTACCTTTGTAAAGAAGTGGCTCCTCCCAGAGTTGTGGAGGCCATCGCGTCACATTGTCATGGCCCCATCTCGTAAGCTCAGTTCACATTTCCCCTTTGAGCATTGGCAAAAAAGAAATGCAGTTTTTCAATTGATTGGATAAATGTCAGTCCTGGTCTTAAATGATGTTGTAGGAAGGACTCTGCATGCCGACCGGTGCATACAATGGGGATTCAAAGTATTCTGCATTGTGTTGCAGAATGGAAAGTGCCGTCAACCGGCTTCAGAAGTGTGGAAACAAACAAGGTTCGTTCATTTTGAGATGCAGCCCGAAAGACTTCAACAAGTATTTCCTGACGTTCCCCGTTGAGGTAAGTGAAACTTATTGACAACTGAGCGTAAAATACAGTTAAAGTGTTCCGTGTGTGTGTCGCTTTATCTAATCTTACCTTCCACGGTTATTGTACCAAATTTGTTTGTGCACTTTTTCTTCTTACCCAAAATCAATCAAACTTCTTAATCTGCTCTTGCTCTTGCATCATGAAAAATTTAATTCCAGAAATACATTATATCTGACAGACTGAGCTACATGTACAGCAAAGCTTTTTTGATGAGCTCTCCATCCAGAGAATTGAACCTGTGCGACTGCTTTTCCTCCGTGTCGGCCTCTGCAGGCATATGATGCTTTGGAGTACAAGCACTGCCAGATAACCCGGTCCGCCAGTGGGGAGTTCAACCTGAGCGGAACCAAAAGAACCTTCAGCAGCCTGCAGGAGCTTCTCAGCTGCTACCAAAAGGAGACGGTGCGCTCTGACCGCTGCATTTTCCAATTCAGCAAGTGCTGTCCACCTAAACCCAAAGGCAAGTCTAACCAGCTGGAGAGATTTGTAACCTTCAGCAAAGGATGTGTGTGTGTGTGTGTGTGCGTGCCGTCTAGAGCAAATAGGAATGTAACTAATTATATGGTAAGATTCTATCTCTGTCCTTCCGCTTATCTGGCGGTCGGTCACAGAGGCAGCAGGGGAAGGTCACAGGCGCGGGATCGGAGGAGAGCATTCGGCACGCCGCTCAAACCCAGGTCGAGCATTGCGAATAATTACGTGTTTTCCCCAAAATTAAAACTACCAGCGTCTGGTGGTTCAAAATTAGAACCACCAGAGTCTGCCACTCAACCTCCCTGTGACACCGAAGAGGCGTGGCATATAAAAACAGTGAAAAGTCCCGAGCCTTCAGCATCTCAGGATAAATGCTGCCGGTTGTATAATTGCGTGATGAAAGTCTTAGTGGACGTAACCAAGGAATCCTCTAGCTGCATTATGTTCCTATGCTGCTGAAGAGACCGCACATTGGACTCCTCAACTGTGGTTTTATAGTCGATACTAGTCATTCAATTGTTTTTTTTCGTAATTAGACTATAAGTAGTAGGGTGGGTGGTTGAGTCATTTCCACGAAACAATGCATCATCTCTGACTCGTGTTTCTTCTCACGCTTCTACGTCAGAGATCGCGTTCAATGTATTAAATCACACACAATATTCCTCAAAGCTAACTTGTCTCTCTCTCTCTCTCTTTCTCTTTCTCTCTCTCTCTCTCTCTCCATCAACAGAAAAGTCCAGCCTGCTTGTGTGTAGGAACAACAAGGGCTCCGAAGTGCCTCTCTCTCCGACTCTACATCGACACAACATCAACCAGATGGTGTTTCACAAGATCAGGAAAGAAGATTTGGAATTTGTAAGCTCGGCTCGCAAGACCGTCAAATGTCCAACAAGTGTATTCGTATTGAAGCGTCAAATTACCATTCCAGTGTGCTATACTGTGTATTTCACTGACACGTCATACCCTGAATTTCTTTCAGATGGAGAGTCTAGGCCAGGGGACATTTACCAAGATTTTTAAAGGTGTGCGCAAGGAGCTGGGAGATTATGGCCTCGTGCACCAAACGGAAGTCGTCATGAAAGTCCTGGATCAAGCCCACAGGAACTACTCTGAGGTGCGTGGCGTTTCGACACTCGGTTCTCAGAGCGCTGCCCTGTTCGGCCGCTCTGACCTCGTCCAGGTGAAAAGTGGCCAGCGTTGTTTTAGATCTTTGGACACTATGCTTAAAGGCGCTAGGGGGGTCCGCAAGTGTTCATGAACTGCTTCATTGTAAATCATTTTTTTACATTTATGTTCCTATGTGGATTAGGAATGGCTCCTCTTGATTTACTTACCAACAAAAGACGATTGCAGTTGAGCCTTACTGAATGATCGTGACGCCTCACACACTGAACTGCAGTTAAATGTGACCCAATTAATGTTTTGCTCAGTCGCTGCTCAGGGAACATAGAGAGGTATAATTATAATTGAATTGAATGCCTTTTTATTAGTCATCCACCTCTTACACCTATGTATTATAAAGCTTTTTTGTTTTCCTTTTTGATTCTGCTTGCCGTCATCATTTTTCCTGTTGTGGCCATTAAAAATCTTAAACATGTTTCAAAATTTTAAAGATGGGAAACAGTTGAACCTTCTTCTTTAATTTCAAATAAAGATGGTCCATAGTTGCTGTTGGGCATAATTAATTGATTTATATTTTTCCTCCAGTCTTTCTTTGAAGCTGCCAGCATGATGAGCCAGTTGTCCCATAAACACCTGGTACTCAACTATGGTGTGTGTGTTTGCGGCGAAGAAAGTAAGTCAGCCTTTTCTTTGCTATACTCGTGCTAAAATACTTCAGTTAATAAGAAGGCTGCTTAATTTGTTTAATAAAAGAACATGGTACAGACCTGTTCTAGAGCAAAGGTAACATGAACCATGAAGGATTATCAAAAGTCTTTCGGGAAGCAACATGTGCAAAGGGATGTGTTTAATGGATTTGTGCTTTAAGAATTGCTTTATAATTGCAAAAATGTCCGGTTTCAGATATCATGGTGCAGGAGTATGTAAAGTTTGGCACACTGGACACCTACCTGAAGAAGAACAGGAACCTGATTAACATCCTGTGGAAGCTGGAGGTGGCCAAGCAGCTGGCCTGGGCAATGAACTTCCTGGTAGGGATGGTGTAGGGTGGCAGGTTTTATGTCGAGTAATGCAGGACGTTGGGACGGCATGTTGGTTCGAGATTATTCCACCTCGTAGGATGTAAACTCTGGTTAGAAGTCTGTCGAGATGGAGGCAGATGTGCCTTTGACGCGCCTCTCCCTCTCTGAACCTGCAGGAAGAAAAGCAGCTCGTCCACGGCAACGTGTGCGGCAAAAACGTTCTTCTGATCAGAGAAGAAGACCGGCGGGCTGGAAACCCCCCCTTCATCAAACTGAGTGACCCCGGCATCGGCATCACGGTCCTTCCCAAAGAAAGTGAGTTTAGGGCTCTGCTCATAACTGTAGTACATGTCTTCATCCAGCAGGGGGCGGCTATTCAATAAGGCTCTGTTTGCATTGAAAAATGCTTTTGTGTGCTCTGTGGTCACTGGAGTAAAATGACACCAAAATATAGAAAATCGGTTGCATTGTTTTCCGCTTGCAACTGGTTTGCAATCCTGTGTAAAGTCAGACTTGCCAGACAAACTCACCGACAGTGGATTGTTAAATGTTTTTGCGTGGCGTCAGTCCTGATCGAGAGGGTGCCCTGGATTTCCCCGGAGTGTGTCGAGGACCCAGCCAACCTGAGCCTGGCTGCGGACAAGTGGAGCTTTGGCGCCACGCTGTGGGAGATCTGCAGCGGTGGGGAGAGACCTTTAGCATCCCTGGACAACTCCAAGGTACCGACTTGGTGGTGCGATCTATCAGATGTGCTATAGCGAGGTCTATATTTCTCTATACTAACCCTTTTTTGTCCCCTCAGAAAACCCTGTTCTATGAGGACCACCACCAGCTGCCGGCACCAAAGTGGACCGAACTGGCGAATCTGATCACCAGCTGCATGGACTACGAGCCGTCTTTCAGGCCCACGTTTCGTGCCGTTATCCGTGACCTCCACAGCCTCTTTACACCAGGTTGGTTTGTAGGCTCCCAATGTCGCGGCTACGGGGAATCTGGGTCGCACCAGTGTGGAATCTTGATATTTCTTCAGACACCGATCCGCTAAAGATGCACCACGGGTGATGAGTCACGGCTCTGGACCGGCTCATCTTTAGCTTTCTTGGGAAAGAGGCGGGTATCTAGGGACTTGCTCCACATTTTTGTAAAGTTCATACTAAAAGTTGATGAAAAAATGAATATAAATGAATCCCTTTGTGCTTAATTTAATCATTGGCTAAAGAGGTGATTGGCGTAACTGTTTATTGCTTTAGCTTCTGAGTTGTGGATGCATCTGTCGACTGTGATTGTTGTCTTTGTGTCCCCAGACTACGAGCTGATCGTGGACAGTGACATCCTGCCCAACAGGACTGTGGTCTCAAGCTGGTCCACCGGGGGCTTTGAGAGTCAGGAGCCCGCTCAGTTTGAAGAGCGACACCTCATATTTTTACAGCAGCTGGGAAAGGTATGAAGAAGTGTTGAGACTGCCTTTAAGAGCCGATCAACCCACTTTAGTAAGCAGCAATACTCCTCCTCTGACAAGGAGTCTTGGGTGTACGATGTTAGACTTTCCTCATGAAATAACTGTTACGTACGTGCTGCATAGTATAACTGGGTGCAATTTGCTTTCCCTGGGTGGACTTACATTTCTGCATTAAAGGAAGAGAATAACATCTGGGATGCAAGCTACCGACGGGCTGACTTAAGATGGTCTTCTCTTAAAGGGGAACTTTGGCAGCGTGGAGATGTGTCGATACGACCCGCTCCAGGACAACACTGGGGAGGTCGTGGCCGTGAAAAAACTGCAGCACAGCACCGCAGAGCACATCCGGGACTTTGAGCGGGAGATCGAGATCCTGAAATCTCTGCAGCACGAGAACATCGTCAAGTACAAAGGCGTTTGTTACAGCGCAGGTAAAGCTGAGCTCAAATTCCCCCCTGAAATGTGTCTTTATTTGGGATGAGCATTTGGAAGGTTTGGGCACTCATTCTAACCTCAACTTTAGTCATATTTTGCAACAATTAGAATTTTTCTACTTCGTATCAACTGTATTATTGGTAAACAAGGATTGTACACTTTGACGTTCACGATAGATCTGTAAAATCTTCGGTCGAGACTTCTCCTCTGGATGACCTTTTCTTTTCTTTGGCTTCGCTCAGGACGCCGAAATCTCCGTCTGGTCATGGAATATCTGCCCTTCGGAAGTCTGCGCGATCATCTCATGAAGAACAAGGAGAGGATCGACCACAAGATGCTTGTGCATTTCACCTCACAGATCTGCAAGGTGCGTCCTTTTCGCCGAGCGGCCCGTGGCGCTGCTGACCGGCGGAGCCACGGACGCGTTTCATTCTTCTCGTGCTTTCTGCGTTCACAGGGTATGGAGTACCTGGCGAGCAAGCGCTACATCCACAGAGACCTGGCAACGCGGAACGTCCTGGTGGAGAGCGAGCTGAGGGTGAAGATCGGGGATTTCGGCCTCACCAAAGTTCTGCCTCAGGACAAAGAGTACTACATGGTCAAAGAGCCAGGAGAGAGTCCCATATTCTGGTGAGTCTCCTTTGAGAATATTTGTTCCCTCCTCGTGAGGCCACTGGAAAGGTTTATTTAAAGTCACACAAGGAACTTTTGGGGAAACGATACAGCTTTCGTCCACAGGAGCTTCCATAATATTAAAAAGTTTCCTGTAGTAGCTTTTTTTCTAACAGGTTTGATAAACATTTGCTGTTATAGCGAACGGCTAGCTCTTGATCGCTGATCCACGTTAGTGATTCTGGTTCCTGTCCCGGTGTTGAAGGCGACTTGTAAGTTGAGAGCTGAATACTTGGGACGGACAGTCACGCGGCAATGTGCTGTTTTGCAGGTACGCCCCCGAGTCGCTGACTGAGAGCAAGTTCTCTGTGGCCTCAGACGTCTGGAGCTTTGGGGTGGTGCTTTACGAGCTCTTCACCCACAGCGACAAGACCTCCAGCCCTCCGGCAGTAAGTGCTAACACACACACACACACACATACTCACGCATGCATGCACCGGCTTTTTTCACCACCTGGTCAACTTTATTTATGGTCACTGCTTCCCTCCCTCTGGATATTTCCGGTCTCCGGGCCGCTGATCCAGATGTCCAGCGTGGTTCACAAATAGTGAGGACAATAAGTGACACAGTTCAACGTGATTTCACAGGAGGAATCCTAAAACGCGACAGCGTTGCAACCATTAGTTGATATCGCTCCACATGTTTTGCCTTATCTCGGTTTCAATCGATGCGTCCTGATCCCGGCTGTCCACCCTTCTCCTCCTCAGGTCTTCATGTCCATGATGGGGAACGACAAGCAGGGACAGCTGATCGTCTATCACCTCATTGAGCTCCTCAAGTCGGGCAGCAGGCTGCCTCAACCTCTGGGGAGTCCCGCGGAGGTAGGAACAGGCGCTGCTAGTTTCTCTCCGACTGGACTGGACATGCACGCAGTTTGTTTTATGTTTTATTTGTTCTTGTTTTGTTTGTTTGTTGCTCATTTTAAAAGTCTCAATAGGTACGGCGAGTACTGCTCTTAGTTGGTAAATTTATTTGTGTAAAAAGTGGTGATCTTAATCATCTATGGTAATTAAACAGACACGTAGAAAATACCAAATGAATAGGCCGATATTATGCAAACAATTTGTATTACATTCAGCCGATGCCGCACCTTGACATTGTGTTGAAGCACATGTTAAACTTTTTTTTAATTATTGTTTTGTGGGCAATTTGACTTAAATGTAGGTGATACGAGGGGATTGTGGTGGCTGTATTCTGTCAAGATAAAACAAATTTTACCTCCAATGGCAATTTAAGGTATCTTTTAGAATTAGAAGAGGAAATAAGTGGCTTCAATTAAGGAAATCCGTTATAGGTAACGTTTGCTCATTTCAGGACCTCATTCACAAACGTCTCTCTTCCTCCCTGTTTTTGCACCTAGATACACGAGATCATGGAGGAGTGCTGGGACAACGACCCCGGCTTACGTCCTTCTTTCAAGGAGCTCTCCCTGCGCATCGACCTGTTCCGGGACAGCAGGGAGTTTTAGACCGAGAGATCACCCAAAGTGCCGCGCTCACCCTCAACCGAGTCGCTCTTAAACGTTTTGCTCCCGTTTGTGGCGAAGGAGGGAAAAGGGCCCAAACGAGGTCCTTCTGTGTCAGCGTGTGGACACGCATGTTGTGACTGTGAGAAGCGGTGGATCCAAACTTGGACCAGCTCAAAAACTACTGCCGAGGTTGCCTTTAAGCAAGGCACCAAACACCCGCCCCGCGTCCCCCAAGTGGAGCGGAGCAGAGTGCAGATGGGGGCCTGGATCGAATGGTTGAAAAGTAGAGTCCAAGACTTTGTGGAGGCCCAGAAGATGATTGTCAGGCTTAAAGCCGGAGATGCTTCTGTCAAACAAAGTCTCTCTGTGTGCGTGTGCGTGTGCGTGTGTGTGTGTGTGTGTGTGTGTATACGAGAGTGTGTGTGTGTGTGTGCCCACAGTGTAAATATGTCCAGAAGAATTTTATAAAATGAAAGTATAGTAAAGTTCTATATGAACTACACGTCAGTCTAAATGAAGTATATACGAAGGTGCGTTAAAAGTCTGTTATTGTTTTATGTTTTTATTGTGAGAATTAAATACCAGGATTCCATGGCTGTGAAAGTCTGCATGAGTGAAACGTGCTTTACAGACAACACATTGGCATTCTGCAAAACCAAAAAAGTATTGTATTGAAATGGAAGCGACACACGAGGTCACCGTGTGATGGATTTGCCTTAATTAGAAGGCCAGTGTCTCAACGTGTCGCACTGCGACGTCCTGTAAAGACCAGCGAGTAGGCTGGGTTTAAAAAAAGCCATCTTTTAAGAGCGGAGGTTGATCATAAAGATGATTTTACTGAGCAGATCCAGATTATCCCGGCGTTTGTGTTCAGAAAGTTGGCCTTCTTATTATAAGCAAGTACACACTGTTACTTACCATTTGATCCATTTCACGTGTGTAACTTAAGTTGTTGTCCTCATAGCTCTGTGGCGCAGGAGGAAACATTTAAGGACACTGCAATCCCTCCAAGTGTATTATGTAACTGCAGTAATGGAGCCGGTGGTGGGGGGGTGGGGGGGCACATGGAGGGGTTTCCACCAAATGGCTTAATGCCGGTTCTTGCAATCTATTTAAAGGTGCGTTACAATCCTACTCCACTAACTTTCAGTGTATTCCCACATAAAGCGGAAACAACAACTCATCAAATGTTATTTTTTTAAGTCAAACTCACGAGGTAGTTACAGTTTATCACGTTTAAGAAACAAAAAATCAAAATCACTGAGTCTTAAATCTCCCCAAAATACTGAAGTTGAAAAAGCACCGCTCGGTCCGGAGGGGTTTTAAAATCTATGCTGGGAATTCGCTCACTCTGCCTCGTGCAGAACTAACGTTGGTTTATTGTTTTAAATCACATTGACTGATGCTCCGTTTTGAAAGCCGGATGTTGCGCACCCTGCTGCGCATGTGCGCTTCATCCGAGCGAGGAGACGCTTCAAGGTGCGCGCGGCTGTCGGACCGGGCGCGTGAGTCGGGTCTTTTTTTGAGGGGGGGGGGGAGGTGGGGGCGAACGGGAACAACAGGTGGAATTAACATACGTCACATCCATCGAGACAAACGTCCCCCCAGTTTCTGCTGGAGTTGTTTTCGTTCGTTTTTCTTCTTTTAATGGGATTACCTTAAAGTTCCGCAAAAGAGCGCAGTGCGAATCTGAGATGAGCGGCGCAACTTCGCCGAAGTGCTGAAGGAAACTGCGGCATCATGAGTCTGAGACCGCAGGTGAGGCAAAAGATCCAGATTCTCATCTATTTATTGTTGCTTAGGTTTAGTTGTGTTGTTTTAGACTGCTGTTTGTACCACTTTATTTCTGTTTGTAAAATGCAGCAAAAACAGACAATTATTACATTAATGTCAGATGCATTCAGTAAAATAACATTTAATAATGTCAATAGTTAATAGTTGACCTCTTAAACAACTTTTTCTTTTTTTTTTTAAATACCTGTATGTCATTTTCAAGAGCCCCGCTTAGTCCGTTTGTTGGACGACGACCACCCGGGACGGGCAGGAGAGCGGCCTGCGGACAGGGAGGGGTGAAGATGGCGTCCAGGGGACCTCCTGACGGGGGCTACGGCTGGGTGGTGGTCATGTCGGCCTTTTTCGTCATGGGCCTTACCGCTGCCGTCCTTAAGAACTTCGGCCTCTTCTTCCTGGACATCCAGAGTCACTTCGGGGTCCTGACCAGCACCACCTCATGGGTCACCTCCACGACCATCGTCATGTTTCACCTCGGAGGTAAAGACGGGCTTTCTAGCCCCGAGTCATGAGTGGTTTCGTAACTCCAGATGTTTGTTTTTTTAATGGCGGTTCCCCTCTCAGCTCCATTGGCCAGTGCGCTGACCATGCAGTTCTCTCACCGGGCCGTCGTCGTAGTCGGGGGTCTGCTGTCGGCCTCCGGCCTGTTGCTGGCGTCTCTGGACCTCGGCCTGCCCTGGCTCTACCTGACCATGGGGGTCCTGGAAGGTAGCGTCCCCCCCACCCCTCTTTCCGATGAAGCATCTTTCACGTTTTCATTTCATTTTGGGGTTTAAACCCTCGGCTGCGCGCGGCCCTTGAAGATAAATCTGAGGGTATTTCTCTCTTAAAACGATTTCTGAGTGAAGACCCGAACGTGTTGTTTTTTTTGGAATTGGAGAAGAGAAGTTACAGTATTTATTCTAACATCGGTGTTGCAAATTGCAAAGGCGACCACTTTGTTTGGGGTCATGTGATGTTGTTTTAGCCAATCTTCCAAAAGGCCGACTGCAGGTTCTCCGTCTCCTGTTCCCAGGAACGGGCATCGCCTTCACGTGGGTCCCCGCCAACAGCCTGGTGAGCCACTACTTTTCGCGTTGGCGCCCCATCGCCTACGCCGTCGCCAGCTCGGGGGAGTGCGTCTTCGCCGTCATGTTCAGCCCCTTCTTCCGGTGGCTCATCGAGACGTACGGCTGGCAGGGCGCCCTGCTCGTCATCGGAGGCCTTCAGCTCAACCTGTGTGTCTGCGGCGCTCTCATGAGGCCGCTGGAGGTGGACGGCGAGGACGTCCGGACGACGCAGGAAGCCAAAGAGGCGCCGCCGCTGCCGCCGAGGAGGAGGACAAAAGTCGTCTTCCAGTTCTCCCTGATGGGAAAACCCGAGCTGCTCCTCTACATCCTGTTCGGCATCTTGGCGGCGGCGGGCTTCTTCATCCCGCCTCTCTTCCTGGCGCCTTTCGTCAGCAGTTTGGGGACGGACAGCTACTGGCCCGCCTTCCTCCTCTCCGCCCTGGCGCTGGCCGACCTGGCGGGGCGGCTGCTCTGCGGGTGGGTGGCCAACGCCAGGCTGGTGAGGAACCTGCAGCTGCTCGCCGTGGTGGTCGCCCTGCTGGGGGCGGTGCTCCTGCTGCTGCCCGTCAGCCACGACTACTGGACCATCCTGGTGTTTTCGGCGCTCTACGGCTTCCTGCTGGGCTGCGCGGTGGCCATCCACGTCACTTCCATCGTGGACATCGTGACGCTGGAGGGCTTCGACAGCGGACTGGGACTCTTCATGCTCTTCAGGAGCGTCGGCGGGTTCATCGGCCCGCCCGCCGCAGGTGAGCAGACTCGACAAAGGGCGTGTTTTACTCATTAATGTCTTGTGCTGAAATCCCCTTGTCTCGTATTAAGTAAACACACAATGATGATGTCATCGTATAGCATTCCATAGGAACAGCCCATAGTGAGAACGGCACACGCGCCTCGAGGACTTTCTGTTTTATTTATTTATAGCAGCTGGTAAAAGCGTGATCTAATGTTTCAGGCTGGCTGGTGGACCAGACGGGCGACTACAGCGCCGCCTTCTACCTCTCGGGTGTCTGCCTCGTTGCGTCGGCGGGCTTCGTCGGCCTGGTGGACCGCCTGGTTCAGAGGAGGACATCATCATCATCATCGGAGGCCAAAGGTCATCAGGCGGGAGGCCGATAGCGAACCCGCGGTGCCAGAGAGGAATGGTCAGCGAGCGCCGGGTCCTCATTCCCAGCAGATAGTTCTCATCCCTCCGTTTCTATACTTTCTATCGTGAGTTATATATTCCTGCTTACAAATGTAAGTTGCACAAAAAGCAGCGCTTCCGTTCTGCGTGGCAGTATCGTTTTTATTAGGCAGAAAAGTTTCAAAACCCAAAGAAAAACTTGATTTTTGTTTTTTCTGTCGTGCTGAAATTAAGTTATTTCTGGGGAAATGTTTTAAATGGCTCCAGCTTGACTCATCAATGGTAAAACAAATCCTGCTTTCGCCAGTTTTTTTTAAATGATCACTGGACCAACCCTCGGGGGGATTAAATAACAAGAACTTCGAGCCTTCAGAAACTTCGAACAGTTTCTGAAGCTTGCAATCACAAAAACAAGTCGCTGTTGAAAGTCTTTTGTACTTGTGGGTACAAAAGGCCGCCGGTTCAACGTTCATGTTTATAATGAAGTTCGGATAACCATGGAGCACTACGGCGCCGAAGAACATACGTCTGTTAATACTTGATTTACACGTGTTGCTTTTGGTCAAGTTGTCAGATGGGAGACAGAACACTTCATCTGCGAATAACTCTGGCTTTGACTTTAATGTAAATATATCACGGCCAATGAAATCAGTTCTTTCTCTGCTACGATGTCCTTCTGTTAACGTCTACGACATTTTACATAAAGCTTCATAAGATTATCTTTAAAAAAAAAAGTAGCAATAAGTCCCCAAAAATGTTAATATAGGTCACAAGATTGATATGTACTTCATGACAAATTATAGGATGTTGTAAAAAGCAAGTTTGTCTCAATAAAAGGTCACAGTATGACAAATGTCCTATTAGTCATTTTTGAAAGGAACTTAACATTTGATTTGAGGCGGCTTCTGGTGATCGTTTGTAGGTGGGCGTGTTGACAAGAAATATATTAGAAACCGTCTCGCAGTTTTCCTTTAGTGCATCAAACGTGTACGTGAAAGACAAATGTTTAATACAATTTTTTTTTTCTCACAACAGTTTAGAAAAGGTAAAGTTGACTTTTTTTTTTTTTACACAATGAATATCAACAAAAGCCTACAATTAAAAACCACTATATTGTCAGTCTATTTTAAAGAAGGGAATGTCGAGGCAGCTATTTTACACAACACGATCGAGGCACCATGGGCATTTTTATACATGGTCAGGAAAGAAACAAAAAACAGTATTTGAGTCATTTTACATAGAGGCCTATGTGTAGAAGGGTGCACTTGTTTTGCAAACCAGAAAATCAAAAACTGCACCTTTGGTCCATTTGAACAGTTCGAGTCCCATCGCCCGCCTCTGACTTTGACACTTGAGATGCGTCATCTCGTGGAATAGTCGAGTGCTTCAGAGCTCTCGCAGACCTTTTACACATTGACGTCAACTGCCTGAGAGAAACTAACTACAACTTTATTGTTAACAGAGGGGGACGTACAGCAAGTCTAAAATCAGAGCTGGAAGAAAACAAGAGGCAAAAAAGAATCTTGTTTTTCACCCCGTTGAGTCTTGATTCATTTTTTTAACCTAATTAGATCAAACATCCGACGACAGCAATAATAACAGGCCAATTATTCAGCGTTTACCCCTCCTGTTCTCACTGAGCAAACCAGTAGAGTCCGTGGCAGGTTAGAGCTCGGGGGGGGGGGGGGGGGCACACAAGTTGTTTACGAGGAGGCCCTTTTCTCCTCGTACGGAGACTCGTAGGCCTCCATCGGCGGGCAGGTGCACACGAGGTGCTGGTCGCCGTAGATGTCGTCGATCCTGGAGATGCTCGGCCAGAATTTGGTCTCGGGCCGAATGAAGGGCTGTAAGAGAATAAAGAGTTTTATTTTTTGTACTTAAAATGAAAACCTCTGTGCCAAAAGAAATCCCTCGCAGTCTTTGTTATGGTTACTTCTGACCACTAGATGGCAACACACACACACACACACTACGACTTTCTCATCTCGGCGGGACGAGGAGACTCACCAAGGGGAACGCGGCGAGCTCCCTGGAGTACGGCCGGTCCCAGGTGGACGACGCGATGCAGGCCAGAGAGTGAGGGGCCATCTGCAACACACCAAGAGCAGCTTTACGCCGGCCTCCCAGAGACGCGTCCTCACCTCGTGCAAAGAGACCGTACTAGGAGGCGCACCTTGAGCGGGTTGACGCGGGAGTCCATCCTCCCCTCCTCGATGTCCGCGATCTCCTGTCGGATACCGAGCAGGGCGTCGCAGTACCGGTCCATCTCGGCCTTGTCCTCGGACTCGGTGGGTTCGATCATGAGGGTGCCGGCCACCGGCCACGACATGGTGGGCGCATGGAAACCTGAACGCCAGCACGGAGAACAACTTAAATAACTGAAAATATGCTTTTACAACAGCCCAGAACACACGGAGAAATGTACTAATAAATATATATATATATATATATATAAATCATTTAGCGTACCATAATCTTGCAGCCTCTTGGCCACGTCGACAGCCTCAATATTCGCAGTCTTTTTGAAGGGCCTCACATCCAGAATGAACTCGTGGGCTACAAATCCTGTTCAGACCAAAAACCCAAAACTAAGTTTGTGCCAACAGACATCTTTGAAAGAGTAGATGGTACGAGACAGGATGGAAATGCATTGACAGCCGTACCTTTCCTGCCTCTGTAGAGGACCTTGTAGTGACCTTCCAGCCTCTTGGCCATGTAGTTGGCATTGAGGATGGCCACCTCTGTGGCGTGCGCAAGTCCTTTGGATCCCATCATCTAGACACGGAACGATATTAGCAGCAGTGTTGGAAAAATTCAATCGGACGTAGATGAAAATTTAATATTTATGCAAGAACTTAACTTTCTCTTAAAGTCCAAAAATTGCCCTTGGAAACTTTTTTCCATAAAAAAAAAGGCCCAATGAAATGGTACAACACTTACTCCACTACAAACAATGTCACATTTCGATTCATGTGACTCGATCTTGAAGCTCCCATGACAGCCAGAGGACTTGAACACAACTTGTGTGTGATAACGTGTGAAGGAATTTTGGTTACAGTTTGTTACAGTAAATAATTAACCGAAAGTTTCCTTTGACTTTGTTTTTCTAGAGAATACACGGCAAGATCATCCGTGTCAAAAGTACGTTTTACAAATTCAGATGCGTTCAAACTGCCCGAGAGTCGCCGCACTGTTTGGATGACGCTCCCCGGCGTCACGTACGTTCATTCTAAATGATTTAGTGCCGTCTTGACGAGATCACCATAGAATTGGTTGTCTGCGCTGACCTTGATGTAGGCCCAGGAGATGGGCAGGATGGCGCTGGAGCCCCAGGGGGCGGCGCTGATGGTGCCCAGCGAGCTGCTGGCGTTGACCGAGTACATGGGAACCACAGGGTGGCTCGGCAGGAAGGGGGCGAGGTGGGCCTTCCTGTAAAAAGTAAGATCAGATAGGAAACATTAAGAACGCTCAACACAGTACATTTAGCCGGCTCGCATGAATAGATCCGGACTTACACTCCGATGGGCCCCATGCCGGGTCCTCCTCCCCCATGAGGAATACAGAAGGTTTTGTGCAGGTTGAGATGAGACACGTCAGAGCCGTAATCTCCAGGACGACACAGACCAACCTGGGGAAAGAGAAATATATATATTTATATTACACACACACACACACACACGTTTTCTACTTTCACTAATTCAGCAAACACACATGTTTTACTAAGCAATTAGAGTTCTGATGAAAACAAAATTACTAGTTTCCTGTCAATATCTTGCACAACTCAATACTAAAAGGCACATGCAGCCATCTTAAGTGGCTTTATTGACAATAGCTTAAGTAACCTCAGTGCCGCTTTACTCTGATCTGCCCGGTTACTTGGGGGTCCAGTGACTTTGCTTTACAAGTCATAAAAGCCGGTGGGAACTGGGTCTGCAAGTCTGTCACTGATTTGCAGATGTGATCTTTGTGAACAAACCATCACCTGTATGATCGTAGAGGCCAAAGGTTTTACAGCTTAATAACACACCTATAAACCTTTCTCCCAGTCGTCCACAAATAACCTCTTGCTTTTCATTTTTACCGGCCGCGTCGACGCCGTTTCCTCTCCCTCACCTGGGCGTTCATGTTGGCGCCATCCAGGTACACCTGGCCTCCGTTCTTGTGAATGAGCTCACATACGTCTCGGATCTTCTCCTCAAACACACCGAAGGTGGAAGGGTATGTGACCATCATGGCTGCCAGATTGGCTTTGTGTTTATCCACCTGGCAGAGAAGATTCACAAGACAAATACGGAATTATTAAAATTGGGTTTCTTGGTGATTTGCATTTACTTTTTTTTGACTGCATAATCATTCATTTAATAATATTAGATTAATGATTGGATTACTTAAAAGTCTGAAGAAGCTTAGAATTATACCAACGACTTTGTGGAGCAGTGGCCGGTCGGCCTCCAAAAACATTATAGTGAAACTCTTTTGCGTCCGCGTCTTTCAAAGTGTCGGGATCTCCGATCCCCCCGAGTCGGTTGATGAGAGGGATCGCGACACGTTGCATTTATTTAGAAGAGAAAAAGATTACATGATATATCTGCCTCCAACTATTGCTTAAAAGCAGGAGGTCAAATACACCAGCACGTATTTCAGCGTTAGGTGTAAATGGCGTCTGAGCAATAAAAACGCTTTAGTTTTTACACAAACCACAAGGTCATCCTCAGTGGCAGGTGCAAACTATAATTAATAGACAAAAAAGGAAGAAATGCAGATATGAAAAGTTTCATACTAAATAAGATATGAACCAAGGCCATGAACAGGAGTCCCTTGTATTGAAGCGTCTGAGTCGACCGCCCTCCCTTCTCAGGACACAGCTGCAAACTAACGTTTTGTATCATGCTGCTCTTTGCACGTCAGGGTCAAATACAGACACGGGTTTGGCACAAGACAGTGTTATAAAACATATTTTACCATTACATGCACATCTCACAAAAGCTACTTTCTTACTCAAAGTGCCAGATGTTCGATGAAACCATCACCCTCCCAAACCCCCCCCCCCCGGTTTCACACGCGGTGTGAGAGGGTGATCAAAGCGGCCGGCTCTCACCAGCGCCGTGAGGTGTGCCAGGTCGATGTTGCCGTCCTTGTCCACCTCCACCACCTGGACCTTCATGCCGGCCATCTGCGCGCTGGCCGGGTTGGTGCCGTGGGCCGACTTGGGGATCAGACAAACCTGGAGGCGAATAGGAAGCGGGACACTTTGACTGACAGCACGTTAAGAGACATTAAAAGCCAAAATAAAATGAAGCTGTCAAAAACAGTAAATATGCATAATACTATTATACTTGTATACTACATAATACTAAGAGTTTAGTCTGTTGGTTTCGGGCTGAAACGTCATATGTGACCAACACCCACCACCGGCACCAATATGTAACCTGCCTGCAGGTCACCAATTGATTTTATACCTTATTAGGACGACACTTTTGCAACTCGGACAAGGAAACTGGGTCACTTGGACCTGCGTTGGGTAACACTGACAAATGGCTGACTGAGAAAACACTGCAGAGCATGTCACACACACACTACTTGCTGTTTCCAAAGTCTTAAGAACTCCAAATATGGAACCTCTGCAGCAGGGAGCCTATAGCGGAACCACAGCGTTTCAGCCCCTTTGTTTGCACGCGGCTGTCAGTTTGGACTTTGACTGTTTCAAAGCATCGGGCCACTATCTAAGATGTGCTCCTGATGGAGTCTTTAAAAAAAAAAATAGAAAAAAAAAAAAAAAGGTACAGTATAGGAAAAATATCAAGTCAGCCATTCTTTAATCTGTAGGAATGTAACCTCACTTCCTCGAGCTGCTCAGGACACTTTATCAGAGTACATGAAACGTGCTGATGTGAGAAGTCAAAATGACCTGCGGTGACCTGGGGGCAGCGAGGCCGTCAGTAACAGACCAATAGGCCTCACGCTCCGCAGCTTATGTACCCGTACACTTTATTGAACAATGTCAGAATTATTATTGTCCCTCAAATGGAAAAAAAAATAAAAATCTTTATAATCGGTGTGTTAGATGGTAAAAGATTCCAGCACATGCGTCCAAGGAGAGCAATGGCATTATTGCTTTGCTGTTAGAAACACTAACTGTCTAGATGATGCAACAAAATATCCTGTGCATCCTTTATCAACCGTTGGCAAGAAGTGTCACATTAGTAACTGACTTGTTCCTTCGAGTGAACTTTGCTTTAAGTTGTTGTGGGACAGATCACAACATCTGAAGCCCAATTCAAATCAATCCCACATGTGTTAAGCAGCCGTATCAGATAGAAGCTTCCACACTAGTTCGATATGGCTGCGCTCTCATTGGGCAGCACACTTACAGTCCTTGCGCTCTCGCCCTTTGAGTTGAGGTAGGCCTTTATGGCAGCCAGGCCGGCGTATTCTCCCTGAGCACCACTGGAAGACACGGCAAACACACTAAGGTCATGAAACACAAACACACAATCCTGCCTCAGCACAGTTCAAATAGTCTACTGACTACTAATCTACCCAGGTTACCAAAAGGGGAGAAAGATTAGATTAAAAGCTTCGATGCGCGAGACGTTCTGCTGCTGATAAAGTGGTGATAGAAAGCATCAGCCTCCGGATACCGACTAAAGTCTGAGAGGGACTAAAGTCAGACACGAAAGGGAAACTTTTGAGTTTTCATTTCGAATAAAAAACAAACAAAAAAATGGCTTCTACTTGTCTACTCTGGACGAGTTGGTGGGCAGGTGTTTGCAGGGATGCTACATGAAAACGGGGGAGTCTTACCTGTTGGGCTGGAAGGAGATACGGTCATAGCCCGTCACCTCACAGAGGTCCTTCTCCAGCTGTTTAAAGAGAATCTGGTAGCCATCAGCCTGATCCAGAGGCACGAAGGGGTGGATGTTGGCAAACTCGCTCCAGGTGATTGGCTAAAAGGAGAGGGAACAGCGGTGAGTGGGAAGGATTGTAACTTATCCCAAGATAAAAATCCGGTTAAGCCTGGAAGTGAATTCAAAAGGAAAAATGGCCGTCGTCAGTGGAAGGAGTGGCACAGATGATTGACTGGTTTACATACGTTGGTCACATGGTGACAAATAAACAAAGCAAGTGGACGATGTCATGAGGATTATACAGATTAACCCGCTTCATTGCGGGTTTTAAACATCTTATTTGTTCATGAATCACTCACCATGAGCTCTGAAGAGCTGTTTAGCTTCATGGTGCAGGAGCCCTGAAGAAGAAAAATGTTTCACAATCACAACTGTGCGAATTGTGTATTGAAATTGTTGTTGGAAATCCAAACGAGGCACTAACCAGCGGTATCATGCTGTGCACCAGGGAAATGTCTTTGTTCTCCAGGCGCTTCATGTATCGCACAATGTTGGTCTCGGAGTGATGACTAATGATTAACCAGGACGACAGACAGTATTAGAATTCATGCGTTGCATGTTGGAAAAAAAAAAAAAAAAAAAACGTACTTGGCCGTACTAAAGCACTTTGTAAGCAGACTACCAAGGACAAGGACCATGCCAAAGATCAAATGGAGGACTTCTGATACCATACTGTCTTTATGACACTTATAAAGATAGTAGCTCCAGATTTCAGGTGCCCTTAGTTGCCACTGAGGCCAATTTTTACTGCAGAAAATATGTTAGAATTTGCAGCGCATCTTTAAAACCAGCTGCATGTTTATTTAGGCCAGAAGGAGTTGATTACATGACCTTTGTTTGAAAATGACAATTTTTTTTGACCACTACAGTCACTGCTCAGTGTGACAAAACATGAAAAAAGCTTCTGATAATTAGTATGAGCGTTTGTCATTTTGTAATGTGATCATTTTAAGTAGCTGGGATTGACTCCAGCTGACCCGCGAACCCGTAGGACTGATAAAGATGGATATTTAAAGCCTGATATTTACAACCCAACATGTCATAAAGGCATAAAAGTGCTATCATGTTTGTTAGTTGGTTTTAATTATGTGCTTTAGGGTTGCAATTTAACAGAGAGAACCGACCTGTTGAAGACCTGGTGCGTCAGGTACTTGCTCGTCCTCTTGAAAGGACTTCCCATGATCCCCTTTACTCGCTCACCCATCTTCTCAGCGATCAACTCCTGCAAAAGGAGCATTTTAAAGTAAACCAGGTAGAGCTCCGGCCGATACACACAATAAACCCATAACTACTTTTGAATAACAGCAGGTTAAATACAAAATGCTTACTGCTGAAGATTCACAACCAAAGACCCAGAGCAGGTCATCCAGGTCCCTCTCGGTCACCATCTCATCCAGAGAGACACCCAACTGTGCACAGAGAGTCAAAGACAGGTTTTTACATCTTCAACAGCATGCTTCTGATGTTAAAGCCTCCATCTTATATTGGATGGTCACCTGGCATCGGGTGACTGAGGTCGCTTAGTTACTCCAAAAAGTGTTAAGCAGCTGTTGGTGCACTGCTCACTAAGAAGACCGTCCCCTTACCACTCCCTCGGTGTAAACCCTCAGGTTGATCTGCCTCTGCTCGGCTCTTTCCACGATGTCTTTGGCGGCCACGCTGCAGTTGATCTTCAGAGTATCGAAGAACATGTCACTGTGCAGACGGTGTCCTGCTCTTTTTAGACCTGGGAGAAAAAAAAGGGGTGGGAGTGAAAAATTAAATATACAGATCGCATTATAAATAACCGAATCAATGTTTGTTTGTACATAAGCCAATCAAAACTAAATAATAAAATCAATCCATTCTTTTTGCTCGTCCCCCCCCCCCCATAGCGCATTATGTAACAATGACAGTTTGATCTCTAGCGAGTCCTTCATTGGATCATTAGTCAGTTAGTCATTCATGAAATATTATCACAAAGGGCATCAGCACAAAGTAATGGCTCTAGAAATAGCAAACTCACAATGAAAGGAGGGCCGGACATGTCCAGGAAATTATTCTGTCGCCACAGTAATAAAAGCGCGAGTTAACGCTACAATAGAGTAATACAAATGTACCTTCGGCAAGGATGAGGGCAGCATTGTGTGTCCTCTCAGCGATGTGTTTGAGTCCCTGAGGGCCGTGATATAGTGCAAACATGGCAGCCATGTTGGCCAGCAGTGCCTAGGAGGGTTTAAAAAAAAAAAACTCTGAATTACACTAAAAAGACAGCAAAGACTTTTAAAGAAATCCACGACATCCATCTAGATTGAGGGAAATGATCACATGCAGAAGGTGAGCCTCCTTGTACCTGCGCAGTGCAGATGTTGCTGGTAGCTTTGTCCCTGCGAATGTGCTGCTCTCTGGTCTGCAAAGCGAGCCGATAAACCTCCTTACCGGCTGCATCCCTGAAAACGTAAATGTACCTTGGTTTTAAACAGAGTTTCCGTTTCTACAATTATTTTCAAGCGGATCACAAATATTCTGACCTTGTGACTCCAACCATTCTGCCGGGCATCATGCGGATCAGGTTCTCTTTTACAGCGAAGAAGGCGGCGTGGGGGCCCCCGTAGCAGAGCGGGACCCCAAACCTCTGGGAGCTGCCCAGTGCGATATCGACGCCAAACTCCCCGGGGGGGCGCAGCACGCAGAGGGCCAACAGGTCTGTGGCACAGCAAGCCAGCGCCTGCACGGGTAGAACCAGGGAAAGAATCACTCTTTGGTCAATTTAAAAAAAAATAGATGTGATCATTTGTGTTTAATTTTGTAGCAGCTCAAGCCACAAATAAGTCAAAGAGGAAGACTTCATGTGAAATAAATTATAATAGTGGTTTTATGCACAGTAAAAACAGTTTTTCATTATAAATATATTACAGTGTCGTCAGCATAGAACTTTAATCGGAGCTGCTTTAAAAGGGCAACTTAGACGTACTGTAACTCTGCCGGTATAGGCAGTGAGTAAAATTTAGATATGGACAGAGTTCTGAAGAAATCAGGGACTTGACCCCGTGGTTGGAGCTCCCTTACCCCTCCCTTGTGGGCTCGGTCCACCAGGGCCGTGAAGTCCTCCACCCGGCCGTCAGTGTCTGGGTACTGGAAGAGCACGCCGCTCACGTCTTTCCCGCTGAAGTCCATCTCATGAGGAAGCTTCAGCTCCGTCTTCACACCGATGTAGCTGCAGCACAAAAGCCAGAATCAAAAGCAAGTCAATGCACCGATTGAGTTTTTCTTCCTTCCGATTCATACAGAGCCGCTTCATCGACTGCGTAAGATGCGTACTTGGCTCTGGTGCGCACCACGGCAATTGTCTGGGGATGGCAGCGCGGGTCGACGTAGAAGGTTCGTTTTTTGTTCTGCCTGTGAGGAGTAAAAACAAATAACCGCTCACATGTTTGTTTTTTTGTCAAAAATGCAGATTATTTCTCCCGGCGCAACCGGCTCGTCTGTACCTGTGGCAGAGCTGCATGGCCTCGGCGGCAGCCGTTCCCTCGTCCAGCAGGGAGGCGTTGGCCATAGGCATGCCAGTGAGGTCACAGATCATGGTCTGGTAATTAAGGAGCGACTCCAGGCGACCTTGAGAGACCTCGGGCTGGTAGGGGGTGTATTGAGTCACCCTGAGGACAAAAAGGGGGACGCAAATCAAACAAAAGCGCACGTTCGGACACGAGGACAACAGCGGAAAAAAAAAGAGCCGGAGATGGTGTTCAAGGAACCGAGACGGAACAGCGGGGCGCTCAGATTCATCCGATCTCACGAGTCACAAGGCTTCCCGTTAGGAGACAGCAAACATCATTAGGCTTCTGGGCAACGAGGGGCCGAGGAAGCGACGGGTCCCGTGAAGTCACTCACCAGCCGGAGTTCTCCAGGAGGTTGCGTTGGATGGGCGGCGGCACCAAGCAGTTGTAGTAGCCCATGCCGATGTAGGACCTCCATACTTTGTTTTTTGACGCAATCTCCTTTAGAGTTTCCAGAATCTCATTCTCACCTGTAAAAATAATCAGTCATTTGTGAGTATAAACACTTGCATTTGGCACGACGTTGTGATGTTAAGATAATTTAAAACAAGCGATTTCTCTACTACTGCTCATCAAATCCAAACACTAGCATTGAGAAATATTCTGTTTCTCCATTGAATACAGAGCATCTTTTCTCATACAAATCTATGTTGCAGTATGAAATAGAGTACAAAAATACACTTTATCCACAATCACGTAACCGGACTATGGATGCATAGAATAAAAAAGAAAAAAAATTCCTAGATTGCCGTTATTGTAAGAAGGGAAGCCTGAGGAGGTCTACCAATATAGAGTTCTTTCCTGGTACAACAAAACCTGAAGAACAGCCTCGTCTCTTTCACGTTACGCCCCGAACGATGAACCTACAAACCAAAGACCGGTGCGGCATAGAACCAGATACGTTGGCACGCACGCTCAGTCTACAGTACCCGCCAGACTGCAATTTCAAAAATAAAACACAAATATATAATGTAGTTTTGTTCATCTCGTCAGCACATGGCGAGAGACGGTCTGCGCCCGTGGTTTCCCTCCCGATGGCCTTTTTTCAAGCCTCATTCCCCGGTGCTGCGAGGAAGCTCTGCCAACGCACAACCAGCCTCTGTGATCCCTCCGTCCTTCCTGGGTGCCTAGCAACCCCCGAGGAATGGACAATACGCTCCGTCTGAAACAGAGAGCCCAAACTACTCCTGCTTTTGATAAGTATTTAGTGAGGAGAGCGAAGTGGACGTTTACAGGCCGTTCTAAACGCCGCGCACTCAGTCTTGAGGCGGTGGGTCACTTGGATTCAGTAAATGAAGGATCGTGAGCAGGTCCCGTGTGAGCTGTTAAGTGTGTGCGAGTCGGTGTCAGCAGGGAGGACGGCTTTCCCATGGTCCTGGACTCCTACAGGGCAGCAAAAAAAGCCTGATTCAGAACCCTCCGGGGGGGGGGGTCCATTGTTTGGAGAGAGAATCCCTCGCTGGCTTTGCAAACCGAAGCCCTCGAGAGCTGAACAAGCAGAAAACCAGCAGCGCCTCCAGTCGGTTCCTCCAGCTTCCCCAGTGGATCGCTGCTGTTAACGATAAATTATCTTTGCTGTCAGATCAATGTTGTGAGTTATGAAAATGGAGTCATGTCAGCGTTGCTTGTGCACAATCACACGGGGCGTCTCAGCACAGCTCACGTTGTAGAAAATGAAAAAGTACATGCTCGGGTTTTGTTACGTGACACGATCACATTTAGAGCCGAAACATCCCGTCAATCATCGCAAGGCGAATCTGTAAACGCTTCAGTTATTTTCTCTAGCTAGTTCCCTGGTCCGAGGTTGGCAGCGTCTCGTTTCCTGGTGTGATGATTCAAATACTTTTGAGTTTTGCAGCATAGTCACACAAAGATTAACAGATAATTACAGTAGCTGCAGCAAGCAAAATTCTGCTTATTGCAAGTGAACTGTGATAAAAAGGAAAAATATATATATATATATATATATATATATATGTTTTTTTTTCCATATTTAAAGTTTGACAGGCGGCCCATAACAGAACCAATTGTATAACATTGGACAGCAATTGGATTAAATAAACTAAAAGAAATATTTTCTGCTACTAAAGCAATTTTACTTCAATCCAGTGCTTGATCTCTTTCATCGTTTACCCCCTCTGATAAAAACGCTTAATTTCTGTCAAGCTTGTTTTTTTTGTTTATTTTTTTAAAAAGGGAAGAATTCACGTGAACACTGGACGCGGTGATAAAATGTACAAATGGAGGAGAAAAAAGGGACATGAAAAAAAAAAACAACCCACCCACACACACACACCCAGACACACGCAAGTCACCTTATTAGGAAGCCCCTGGGCTGTGATGTAACGTGGGCGCTGTAACCAGATTGAACTGGACTCGGGGACCGGAGCTCAAGGCTTAAACTTTACACTCCAGTTGCCATCCTATGAGCGCCGGCTTCTCAGCGCGGAATTGGTGCCGCTCGCCGAGTTTCGCAAAAACAACTCCAAATATGTTCAAAGGAAGACTTAACAGGGGCGAGAGAGAGCGCGCGCGCGAGAGAGAGAGAGAGCGAGAGAGGGGGGAGAGACACACACACACACAAACAATGGAGCGTCAACCCACATTCCGGCTCCTCGCGTCGGCTCCGTCGAACCTCCGCGTGCCAAAAGACGGGGAGCCCAGCGCGCGCGACACACACAGCGCGCGTTAGGGGGGGAGGATGGGGGGGTTTGATGATGCTGTGCAACGTTTTAAAAATCGGGTTTTGCGTCGAGGCTGATGTTAGTAGCCTTTGAATAATAATAAAAAAAATTAAAAAAAATAAAAAAAGGTGTGACGATACAGATAATAAATGTTAGAATTGGGGGTAAACTTACAGATCGGGTCATCCATTTTCATACCGCGCTGCATCCGGATGGAGGACGGAACTGTGTCTTCGATCAACTGCTCCAGCGACTGGAAACAGAAGACACATCAAAGCGTGCGAACGCGGCTTTTAATGCAGAATAACATTTTAAAAAACCGCTGCAGTTTGGCTTAAATGTGAAAGCGGGGTTTGTGGCGGCGGATCTTACCTCGACTCCCAGAGCATCCAGCATGTCTCTCTTCTCCCGCTCACCTGGACCGATGTGCCGCTCTGCGAAGTCATCGTGCCTGGGTAAGATCCTCTCGATCTGCCTGGAGGAGACCGCCGCGGAGGTCCTCAGACCCCGGGCGGCGGCGGGCGAGGATGCGCCGCTGCGCCGGATCCTCCACTGAAGTTTGGGAACCACGCGGCTCTTGTCACTCAGACGCCTGCACGGTGCGCCGGGATTCACCGACTTGGCCAGGAAAATCCCCCACGATTTGGCGCAGCTCTGCATCTTCTTAAATCACTTTGCGAGACAAGTGCGCGGAAAACTAGAGAAGGCTGCTTCTTCTTCTTCTTCCTCCTCCTCCTCTTCTTCTTCTTCTTGTTGTTTTTTCGGCTTTGTTTTGTTTCCTCCCCTCGCACAGCAAAGGGTTCCCTTCCGCTGAGACTGATGCGATCCTCTGCAGCAGACTCTGCCAACTCCTTCAAACTGCAGAGTTTATACAACTGCACAGTTGCACAAGAGCGGACCAATCAGAGCGCAGGGGCTGCGTGACGTCACTGACGAGCCCCGGTCAAACAGCTGCTGAACTTTCTCACTGAACGAGGAAGCAAAACAGATAACGTTTGTGTATATTATTCGTTATTTGTTTACCTCCTGTGATAAAAACGCTTAATTTCTCAGTCAAGCTTTTGTTTATTATTTTCTTAAAAACCAACTTAACCAACTGAAACTGTACATGTGGGCATCAATCAATAGGGAAATCCAATCCATATTACATTAGATGAAACACCAAAAACATGCACAGAGTAAAAAGAAAGATAACAAAAACCGACATTGACTTAACTTGATACGTCACGCAAGAAAGTCAACCATTTTTAAGACATTCTAGCAATATGGCTGCAGCGATCGCCCTTTCAAACAGATGCTAGTATCTCGACAACTATTAAATGGATAGATATGACATTGTGAGCATACGTTGATTACAGAGGAGGAAACACAATCACCTGTGATCACTGGTTAACCCCTGACCTTTAATAGTTTTATGGGTAAATTCCTGCAAAACTAAAGACACGTTGCAGCTGTACTTTGTGTTTAGTGACGAGCATCCTTTGCTTAAGTACATCCTCACAGCACTGCTTCCAAAAAGACACGTGTATCAAGTTGTGTTATTTATTCAGTGCTATTAGATGAGCAATTGTTGATCTTAGTGTGTCATCACTACTCAGGGACATTGAATGCTTAAATAACTCAAACCTGGCAACCCGACAGAAACAAAAGTTGATCCTTAGTTGAGTCAACCGGCCTCAGAATGACAACGGCCGTCTCTGCTGAAATGTGTCGTCTGGGTGTTTGTTTTGGCTGCAGTGACTCAAGTCCAGTCCCGACTTGGTGGTATTTACATCAGGGTCAAAACAAAAACACGTTCTCGCCTGAAAGAACATCAAACACGTTGAAATATGAATAATATAATCTCTAATTCAAGTGCACACACGTTCAGTGCTATTTGACTTTATGTTAAATCAGTAGACGGCACAAATCATATGTAGTAGAATAATACACTATAAAATCACTTCAAAGCAAGGTGTCATATGTCGGTTTACATATTTGCTGAACGGTCAGACCAGTTTAACTTTTTAATAAAGGCAGTTGAAGAACATACTAATATAAGGAGAGAATTTCCACTTCCCAGGTCATTGAGGCCATCGGGGAGAACACGCGCCGCCGATTCACCTTAAGTTGTGTTAGAGTGTTAAAGGGAGGCTACACCTCCCTCACCCTGGGCCTTTAAGACTGCAAAGAGTCCAACGATAATTGTATTTATGTACTTTGTTCTTCATTTAACATTGTTTGATAACTTTGTCTCTGTCAGTCAAAATCCAGCAGAGTCAAACCAGTGGAAAGTGTAACTTGATTGATTTATCATTTCTTGTTTTCACTGTTTCTTGTTGTTTTTACGAAAAAAAAACATGTACTGTTGCTTGTTATATTTGTCATTTTAGAAGCAGTAACTATAATTTCCCACTTATAGTAACTATCTTGAGAGAAGATGTAATAAAATCGTTCAATACCTCATCTTCAACCGCTTAATCAGTGATGAGTCGCATATTTCACATATGAAATGTAAAATACAGCAGACAGAAATAACAGCTGGTTTGTGAGGAATCCAAACCAATCAAACGGTGCGATAAGAGTGGAAAGCAGTTGTGTTTGATTTGGTTACTACAGTCGCAGTGAAATGGACAAATACAAAGGGGACAGAGTATTATCGGTACTGTGTGACAAAGGTAAATAAAAGGGACTTAATGCAGCACACGGATGGAATGGTCGCTCGCATCAGTCGGTCCAGATAAAACAAGCGTTTCACCTCCTTGAGTCTGCAGCTTTGTTCTCCTCTCTGAGATTCAGAAATGGGTTTGATGAGCAGCTTCTGGGAACGACATCAGTTTCTGATGCACCAATGTTTTTCACTTCCATTCGCATTTCTGTTTTTCTTCCTGGCTAAACGGGGATATCTGTCCTTGACATACAGGTACGTTATAAAAGAATTCAGTTCATTTGTAGCACATGATTTATTTAAAAAGCAATACAGCCAGATATTGTTATGTTAATGAGCCTCCAAGCTTTATTATGTACAAATATTTGGATTTAAAAGTTAGGTTTGTGCATTGGATTTGCAAATGAAATCCAAAAATAGCAAAAAGGATCAACAACGTAAATCAACGGCAGGATAATAATAGGAAGTACAACATTGCATAAAAACATTTTTTTCTCACAATTGAAGTAAATATAAGCTCAACCTCTCTGACTATAACAGCCAAAAGAAACAATTGTCTTCAAGTTAAGGTGATATAAACAAATTCCGACGTGGCGGCTGTTTGTCGGCAGGTACCTGTTTGTTTCTGCTGGAGGATGCGTCCTGGCGGTCGTCACTATGGGCGTCTACAGCTCGCTTCTCTTCGCCTCCGCCCTGGTCTTTGTCCTGCTGGTGGTCTCTGTGGACGCCGGCCGCGTCCACGCCTGGGTGTTTGGGATCCAGATGTTGTGGCAAACCTTCTGGCATCTGCTCATCCAGTACAGAGAATACTACCTGCAGGAGCCCGTCAGCCTCAGGTACTAATCTGCAATCAGCTCTTCAGTACGTCAACGGAAATCCAGCATCAAAATACATTAATGTATTAGGAGGATACATTCTCAGCCCAGTTCTTCTTCCTCTTCCTCCTCCTCTCCCAGACTGTTCTTGGCGGTGTCCTCTCTGATGCTGCTCACTCAGAGAATCACCTCGCTGTCCATGGACCTTCAGGAGAGGCGCGTTCGGCCGCCGGCCGCCGCTGCGCCCCAACAGGAGGCCCGCGCGGCGCTTCTCCCGCTCGTCAGCTACATCCTCAACTTCACCACCCTGCTCGGGGGCCCCTTGTGCCCCTACGGCCGCTTCGTGTCCCTGATGACGGGGATCAGCGCCGACCCTCCGCCCGAACCTCTGCGCGCGGTCTTCTTGAAGCTGACGCAGGTGTTGCCGATGGAGCTGGTGAGATGCCTGCTCGTCCACCTCCTGAACGCGTGCGATCCCTCCGCCTCGGGCCCCCTCTGTGGGGCGGCGTGGGTTTTGGCTCTGGGAGCGGTGCTGAGGATCCAGTATTATTCTCACTGGAGGTGCAGCGAATGCCTCAACAACGCCGCCGGGCTGGGCTTCTGGCCACGTTGCCCGGGGGACCCCCCCGGCTGGAGCGGGCTGTCCGACGGAGACTTCTGGAGCGTGGAGGCGTCCAGCCGCATGTCGCAGTTCGCCCGCCGATGGAACGCCACCACAGCCTCCTGGCTGCGCAGGCTGGTGTACGCGAGGTGCAAGCGCTTCCCGTTGCTGGCGACGTTCAGTTTCTCGCTGTGGTGGCACGGCTGTCATTTAGGGCACTTGGTGGGAATGTTGACCTGGGCGGCAACGGTGACAGCCGACCGTCACGCACACGGCCTCCTGCAGCCCAAACTCTCGCCGGCGTGGAGGAAAGTGTACGCGTGTTTAAGCTGGATCAACACTCAAATGAATGTGGCTTGTATTGTTACGGCGGTAGAATTGAGAAGCGTGTCTGGTTTGAGACTTTTGTCTACAACGTACGTCGGCCTGGTTCCCCTTTTTAACATACTTCTGCTCCTTATCTTATTGAAACACAACACAGTTTAGTAATGTAATCCAGACATTGTGTTGACTTTTGTGTTCATTGTTATTTGTTGTGTTTACTGAATTGGGAAAGGTTAAGGCAAGTATTCATGGATAATTGTACACTGAAATGAATGACGGTAGATCGTGTGGGTCTGTGCAGTACGAAGCCTTTTCCGTGTACTGCAGGTTTGTGTGATTCATCTAGAAACAACTTTCATATAAAAACAGGCTCCCGGATCAGATTTCATTAAACAAGCTCAGGCAGGATAAGAGCCATAACAAAAAAGGTTGGCCTGCAGTAAACGAGTGACTCATGAAGACAGTTATTTTCAACAGTTGGGGGACAAAATGAAACCAAACCACCCGTAAATGAAAGTTTACTGAGGTCATTGGTCGGCTCCCTGGTGGTAGAATCTGCTTAATGCAGCTTGGAACTAAAAACACACAATTTCCCCACTTATGCATGTTTATTGTGACTAAATGTTGATGATGTGTGTGTGTGTGTATTTGTGCAGCCACTGCGGTCAACAATATAATCTGAAAATAAAAATGGACAAAGAAATCCAATTAAAACGTTCTAATTGCAGTTTATGGTACATCTTGTTGCCGTCTCATGGGGTTTTGTTCAGAATTAAAAAAATGTATATATTATGCAACATTGTAGCATGTGATTCACGATTTCACTAAATTAAGATTTGTTTCCGGCAATCACACTTATCTGACTGCTTCCTCGTTTGGCTGCAAAGTCTCTCTCCTTTCCTTCCACAAGTTCCCAGCAACAATCCCCAAAAGTAACAACAGTCCGAGGTTTCTGTTTGAGGAAAACTTCTTCCAGCAGTCCTCCGGTTTGTTGATGTCCAACGTGTAAATCTTAATCAGAGAGCAGAGTGATGGAGGAGGGTTTAATGGAAACTTGCAGACCAACTGAAGCTGCGCCTGTGACAACATCTCACCACAGAATGAAACCTCGCCTCGTGCGTCCTGGAGCATAAGAGTCTGCAGACGGACCTGTACTGCTCACCTGGTGCGTTAGGTGCGTGGCCACAGCGGACAGCACCGCGTAGTACGGGAGAGTCTGTTCAGCGTTCACTCCGGCCGCAACCAGCCCCGACAGCATGGCCACCGCGAAGCCGCTCAGCCACGGTTTGGTCTGCTCACTGAACCTCAGTGCAGTGGATTTGACTCCGATCTTGATGTCGTCGTCCTTATCCTTATTACCAAAGAGAGAACAATCCATGTCGTTGGCTTTCAGGTTATAATTAACGTTTCAAATGTACTTCTATCTCATCTATGGTTCACACCAACAAACAGTTTCCTCAGTCACTGTCTGCTAAATGAGCGCCCTAAAAGCTCCACGTCACAGACCAGCGAAAGCCCCGTACTCCACCTGATGGGCGTAGATGGTGTCGTATATCAGCGTCCACATCACTCCGGAGAAATACAGGGGGAGGCACACGGACCAATCGCAGAAGCCCTTGACAGCGGACCAGCCGAGCAGAGCTCCCCAGTTGAAAGTGAGGCCTGAGCAGGAGACACGGGAGACGCGGGAGACACATGAGGCTTTGGTTTGGCTGACGGGAAGGAGATCTGAATAAATAGCTTACCCAACACAAACTGCGGCCAATAGGTGATCCTCTTCATCAGCGGGTAGGAGACGACGAGACATAACGACGCAGCACCCAAAGCTATGCTGTGGAGAGCACAACGTCCAGCCTTCAGACCTATCAACTATTTGGCATTTGTGTCTATATTCTGATATGAAACTCGTGTACAACAACAGGTGAAGCTATAACTGTTCTTTAAGGACAGGGCTCATTTGCCACTATGAGAATATTCATGATGGGAAGCCGGGGAACACAAGTTAGAAATAGTCATTCCGGAGGACGTTTGAGAAAACCAACCAACCAATACGCCACTCTACCCATCTGTTAATGTATATTCAAATCTAACGAGTACATTACCGCCGACGTCACCATGGGACAGCAAAAGAATTCAGTTCTTTGTCTGACCGACACACTCACTTGTTCCATTTATTCTTCTTTGATTTACCTGAACTGACAAGTGCACAGGTCTAATGACCACATGGAGACCAGCGGGGTACCTGTAATAGTTGAGGCACAAGAGAACCCCGAGTGCCAGTGAAAGCTGCCCTCCTAAGAAGACCAGTGCCTGCATCTGAGAAATCTGTCCTGAAGCAATGGGGCGGGATGCCGTCCTGCTCACCTGCACAAAAGCATCAACACTCAACAAGTGAGACACCTTATTATGAATGCACGCTGCTTTCCTGTAATAAGGGGAGTTATTTGTTGTGGCAATGAGAAGCATTGTATTGGGTATAATGGCTTAGATTAGCTATCAATGAGTATCATTCAAAATGAATAAAAACCATAAAGCAAAACCTTTCTATCAAAGTCTTTATCCCACATGTCGTTGATGGTGCAGCCCGCTCCTCTCATCAGCAGCGCACCGACACCGAACAGTGTGAGCACGTCCAGATGTGGGAGGCACCCGGGGTCGGCAGCCAGGGCGATGCTCCATGTAGACGGTAGGTAGAGCAGCCATGTCCCTACAACACACACACAACCATGACTATTATGACTAAATCAATTCACTTCACTGTATATGAACACAACCTCAATTGACCGGCATGTTATTGACTTATTGTCTAAAGCTTTGATTTTGGAAAATGTCTAGGTTAAGCAAAATAAGCTTTTCGTCTTACTTATTAAACCTATTGCTAATATGTCACTGGGTACTTAAATATCCCTCCTTTAATCAGTCCAGTTATTAAATCAGATATGGTGAAAAGCAAAGAAAACAAGAACATTTTAGAGAAGCTGAAAAACAAATACTTTCTTACAAATCACAAATGTCTTTAAAGATTAACAAAGGTCATAATAAGTGTCTCTCTTTCACTGTGGACAAAATATTTAATACTTATTAAAGTAACATTTTTGTTGAAAAAACCTGCAAGTCATTTTTTATGTTGTTGCTGTGTGGTTTTACTCTATATATAATTTCAATATTTCGTTGCAGAATCACTTGCCACAATGCAGTACACTGTGTAGCTTTAATAACCGTATTGTTACACCTTGCCGTGTGTAAAGAGACCTCCAAATCAGTTGAATTCAAAGCGTCTGCACTAGAAGAATGCAGAACCAATAGAAATATTGCTTTGATAGAGTAATATTTGTATTATATCCACACACAGGACCAGACTTTGGCCTAGAACCAGTACAAACGGATGCGCTCACCAATGGGTTTGTCCAGCCTCATCAGCCGGAGGTACGGCTGGACCGGAGCGGGTGCCGAGTTCACAACCGTGGCAGCCGACAAACTGATCGACCGTGTTCCGCGCGGCCCGAGTGACGGCCGGGAAACCCTGTGGCCGCGCGGGCCTCCCGCCGACGCACTGGGATCTGAGCGGAGACTCGCGTCTCCCGTCCTCCGTCCTTCTGCGAGGAGGAAGAGGCCGGACAGGGAGCGACGGCAGTGGTGAGGAGCTCCGTGACGAGTCCTCCGCAGGGCCTCCAGGGCCAACCGGGGGGCCAGCTTGGCTTGGAACATGGCGGCTCTGCCGAGGTTCGGGTTGATATTCTTCCCTTTTTTTCTCCCCCCTCAGATAATGTTCCCCCCTGACACAAACGAAAACACACACACAGGCGTGTCAGTGGCTTCTTCACAAAAGGAGGACAGATTTGCTGTAACAAGCATTTTCTTTTGTCTCAGAATGAAAGAGCTGAAACAACACTGAGACGTCCATGTGCGTTTTAGCAGTTTGTGTGCAGCCAAATCAAGTAGTTGTGCTGTCTGGTTACTGTAGCTCTAGTTAAACGTATGTTAGCACATAAAATCACTCTGAAAGCAGCAAACACTGATACTACTGTCATAAACTTGATAAAGACGTCATAAGGTGGCATCGATAGGGACACGTGAGGAATTGGGGACATTTTGGTTGTGGCTCTTATTCACTAAAGCACATCTTGTCTACATCAATGGCGCCAAATAACAGAATCACACAAAGTGACGTAACAAAAAAAAGAAACATGAAGGTAAACATCCTTTAGGTCCTTGTTTTTTTATTCTCACTGGGAATATAATGGCGTAACACCAGTTCCCAACTCCCGTAATGTATCTCCACTTCTATTATGTTTGTGTTAATTAACATCACAATGGGATTACAAAGTCCGTCACTTTTAGCCGCGTTGGTGAGAAACGAACCCAATTCGCTGCTAACTCTAGCTTGAGCTACCGAGAGCAGCTTCAGACCGGTTGTGTCAACGTTTACGCGTCTCAGACCCAACAAAGTGAGCAATAAGGGTGAATTAAACTTACGCAAGGTTACGATAGAGGACATTTCAAAAAGAAATAGCAGACAGGAGGCATAACACAGGTGGCCAAACCGCCACTATGCACTTGCTTCTTCTTCTTCTTCTGTTGCTGCTGCTTCTTCTTCTTGACTTTAATCTGGTTGGCCTCCCGTTTATTGCTTTAGCGCCACCTTCTGCTCCGGCGTGAGAGTGCAGCGCAAAAACTCGCACGCTTTCCCCCAAAGCAAGCATTTCTCTTCCTGCATCTCATTCTCACTCCAACTATAAACCCAGTGACATGCTGACTCCTCACCCCCGCATGTTTCTCTACCTTGTTCAGTGTTTTGTTTAGCACACAAGCCTTGCAGCCCTCTTCTATCTAGCATGGTACAAGTTCTATCTATCCTGTTCTTTTACTCCTGGGTATAGATTGCCTTAACTATTACTGTTGTACTAGCTTCTTTACGTCATCTGTATCTCCAAAAATGTCCATCTTTGCCATTGTTATCTCATTTAACTTTTAGAACTTATCCCAGTGTTCTTTTTGTAAGATCCACTTTTGGTGATTCAACTATCTGGTCCAACTTCCACTCGTTCTCCTATCACACATGATTCTAGTTAATAGCTGTCCGAACTTCCAATTTACTTACTCCAGTCAATGCATTAGACACTAATGTAGTACCCTTACTTATGCTTATCCTTGTTCTAATGTCCATTAATCATACAGTTCAAATCCATCTTCGAGACTTCAATTATGCACCAGAACCCTAGAGCTTTGTTTTTTGCCCACTTTTCACCATTGCAAGTTGTATTCTAAACTTTTTATAATCTTTAAGTGAAATAATAGTTTACTTACACACAAATGTTGACTAACTCGTTTATTCCTTTTAAAGCAAGAAAATACAAATATCCACATTTTTAAAAGTGAGATAAAATAAAATGTTGCTTTTTAAAATACATAATCTGCGCTTGATAAAATACTTCATTATAAAAGATAAAAGTATATATGAACATAAATGTTGTTTAAAACCCTCTAACCCATACATTTCACATTATGAGCAGAGATAAATCTGCACATTAAAAAGGCAGTACAGTAATTTCTAAAATAACATCTCTTGGTCTTGTGCGTCGTCTTGCATCCATGGGATGATGCTTGGCAAAAAAATAAATCTTATTATTATTTTTGTTTGTTTCAAATGTGCCAGTGCTCCTTTTATGTTCTGATAGAAACATCAGAACATTAATAAGGTTGAGCTATAAAATGTCTCTGCAACCGTTTCTGTCCTTCACTCCTCCTTCAGACTTCTGGCCCTCCTCAGGAGAACCAGAGGAATAATGAAGGAGGCTGATGTGAGAAGAAAGCAGACCTGGGCTCCAGCTATCCAGTAAACTGTGACGAAAACACAGGATAAAAAAAGTTATTCAATGTTAAGAACAAGATATTACAACTAAAATGTTATTCACTCAAATGAGCTAGTGAGTCCTGCTTAATGATTCAAAAATGTCAACAAATTTCAGGAGGATTTGATTTTCTTACCGGAGGACGACACAACCGGTCCCAGTGCTCTGGCGAGGGCGCCCAAGCTGCGCAGGATCCCCATCACGGTGCCTTTCTGATTGGACGTCCCTGGAGGAGCATGCACAGGTGATGACCAGTGACAAAGGGAGGCACATTACAGCACAACCAAAACTGGTGAAGTAATAGGGAGGCTCACCGTGATCGGACACGAGCGTCGACAGGCACGGAACCACAATCGCGGCCGCTGTCACAAAAATGAACAGATGAACATAAAACGGAAGAAACACAATGGCTCCTCTAAATGACTCTTATGCATCATTTCTGGGATTTATTGATTCCCTTGATAAGGGGTTATTTTTATAAAACAACACTTGCAGTACCTAGGATACAATGTTCCCTGTTGATACTACAAATACAAGTCACATGCCGAGCATGCGCGCCGTTCTTTATCAGTTACACACAACGAGTATCACATGTTCAAGCTCACCAAATGAGTACAACGCCAGGCCAACGTAAAGCATCGTTACATTCCAGGAGAGCCCGATGAGCACAAACGCTGGGATCAATGACATGATTGCCTAAAAAAAGAAATATTGTCACACAAACAAATGTGAAATAGTGCATTGTGTGCTTCCAGCATGGAGATTGTTTATTTGAAGAGATTTTAGAGATGCATGATGACGATGCCCCCACCACTCTAACTGCCCCGATGTGCTGCCCGGGTTTGATTCTGCGAGCATAACCGCCCTGGATTGAAGCCATGATGACACCAATGAAGAAGAACATCTTTCCCTGCTGCATACTGGTGAGGGGAAATAAAAAAAGGGTTGCTGCTCAGGTGCTTTGACTGCAACGGATGAGAGTAGTCAGCTTCATCTTTGAGGCTTTACCTGGTAAAATTGAAGCGTTGGTGGGTCAGAAAACTCAGCGTGAACTCCAGACCAGAAAAGAGGAAGAGGTAGCAGAAATACACCAGGCCCAACGCTCGAAGCTTCTGCATTCCTGCACAAGACATTTCCACCTTTCATTCATCCGGGTTCATTGACGCTTTACGCGGCTCAAACGACCTCTTTACCGCCAGAGGAAACCCTCCATGTTTGCAGTACCCACTTTCTTTTGGAGGCGGGTCTCTTGTCCTGATGACAGCTGAGAAATGGAACAAAGACAACGGGTTCAAAAGGTCACCGGGGTCCCCGAACCCAGAGGATGAGGCCTAGGATGACACAAGAAAAAGAATCTGTATCGGTCAGAAAATAACATTTTTTGGAAAAACAAACTGGTCTTTAACTTTAACATGGAGGGAAAACAATGACTCTCATGTATAAACGGCCCTTGATTGACAGCTCCCTCACTCTTCTGTTTGCTCTGCGCACTCATATAGTTCCTAGCCAATAGAGTTCGCTGAATGACACCAGGTAATTCCCAGCAGAGCTCCACCCAGCTCCTTTCCGACAAACGATTTAATTACTTCCTGGAGCCGCGTGAGGAAGATAATGCTTCCTGCCGAGGAGCAGGCAGGCGCATAACGCCAGGTCAAACATCAATGGCTCCTTCTTACATCCCCCAAAAAGTAGGATCCTATTCAGAGAGCTTTCATTACCGACCTTCACATCCTTCGTGAGCGTCTCCGGCATCATGACCCAGATGAAGAGCAGATCAGCCACACTGAAGGCCGAGGCCAGCAGAGCCGGAGTTTGGTAGAAGACGTTCCCCGCTGTTCTGGAGCTGAGGGCGAAGTAGGCCCCCATCAGCGGCCCCACCGTGAAGCCTAGTGAGAAGGCGATGCCGATCATGGCCTGGGCACAGTGAAATTAAAAGGGAGATCACTTAACGGACACAAACAACGCAATGCGAGGGTCAGAGCCCTGCCAGAAGAGGTCGCACGCGCCTACCATTCCTCGGTTCCGTGCCTTCGGGCAAGGCAGGTCGGCCACGATGGCCGTGCAGAGGCTGACGTTGCCCTTGCAAATGCCCCCGATTACCCGAAACAAAAGGAACATGCTGAAGCTCCGGGAAACGGCCCAGATCGCATAGGAGGACATCAACCCTAACTGGAACACAAGGCACCTCATTAGACCCGTGGGTTTTTTTTGTTTTCCACGGCGGTTTCGCGATGTTGCTCTACTCACTGTGGTAAGGAGGAGCATTGGTCGTCTGCCGTGTCGGTCGGACAGGGCCCCGGTTACGGGCGACGACAGGAACTGCAGCAGAGAAAACAACGACCCGATCAGACCTGAAAGGAGCACACAAATGAGGCCGGTTCCTTATTATTTGCGTTTTGTATCAGTCATGGACACGTACGTTATATTGTGTAATGAATCATAGATACCTCCAAACAGCACAGTGTTGTATTTCTTTTCCATAGGTATCCCGACCGCCTCCCTGAACCAGTCCACGACACTCTGCAGAGACTGATACACGCCGTCCTGTCCCACAACATACAACATTAGACACGGACCATACGAACACAAGATACAATAATAAACACGGCTGAGCGTGCAGCCTCAAAGAGACACATCACATGACTGGGATTATCGTCACTCGTGGGTTGGTGATGGTTTTAACGGAACAAATTCTTCACACGAGGCCTCTTTTGTCTGACAGAGCATCGGATTCTGCACATTGTCCAAAAAACAACCCGGTTAGAAGAGCAGAGCATGTTTGTACTGTTGGAAACTCCGACACATACATGTGTTCCAAACAAGTCTGCTGGTTCATCGGCTGGAACCCGGGGCCACAGGTGATGATTGTTTCTCTTCGTTTACACGCAATCAAATGCAACTCAGATTTGGTCGTAAGATCGGCGGAGTCTTAAAAAAAGTGATTAAAAAAGTGATTAAAAACTAACCCCGGTTTGTGCATAATGGTCCAAAATAGAAGGAAGTAGAGGTAGAATCAGTGTAAATCCCAGCAGGTCCAGCAGCAGGGTGACGAACACAATGTTGATGACCTTTGATGAGAAGGAGCTGCCATTATCCACGGGTTGCTTCACGCCCGCCATTCCTCGCACTGGATGTGTTTCTTAGATCCCTGTTCATAAGTCAAACACATAGTCTTTGTTAGAATGACACATCGGACGTATTAACCCGTGGGAGAGTACAACACTTGTACTAAACAGCTTTTGTTTTTTTACAGGTCTGGAATTTCCTAGTGACAGTTTCCTGGAAATACGTGTGTTATCTTGGAGTAATTATTTGGCATTTAAAGACCAAATTCAGACAGATATAATTGGTTTCCTTAAATGTACAGAGTACATATTCCACTGGTCAAAACCTTTCCCTCCCCATACGTTGAAATAATGAGCAGAACTTTGCACAAACATTTACACTTGGAGTTGTTTAATTCCACGTGGGTCACAATGTGTAAACAACGTGGAGGATGTTGATATGACAACGTCACTCCGATATGCTCGTGTATATAAAGGCTGAAATGAGATGCGTGCCAGTAAAGCTGCTGTCGACACGTCTCCATTTACTACCTCTGGTAAGTCATCAGGAAAGACCGAAAAAAAGGTGTTGCTCAAGGAGGAAGGAGGAAACTTATGCAACTCACCGCAAAGCCTTAAAGTTGAACTAGTCATTATTTATCCTCAGTAAAAGCGTTTTTAACTGTTGTCACGTCTCCAATAACTCTTTGCCTATACGAACGGCGTGAGGTGGATCTGCTGAGAGTGATTATCTGTGAGCATCACCTCTCCTCGCGCACTGCAGACATTAAACCCAAACACACACCGCGCGTTTCTTCACCGTCACCGTATCTACGGAGTTTTACCGTAAATCGGATCAGATCACACTGAGCACTTACCCGACTGGAGCAGGTCTACCTCTCTCTCATCCGTGCGTTACCACCAGTCCACACCAGGAAGAGGCGTCTTCTTACATCGGGATGACAAGAATGTCGTAGAGCGACCCAACGCGCACAGGCGGAACTGCTGCCTTCAGGGGCTCCACTGCAAGCTCGTTTTTTTCCGCGCTTCGGCAAAACATTCGAGAAAAGAGAAATGGTTTTGTCCCCTGAAGCTTGACGAAAGGTTGTCCATTTAACGGTCTCATTCTTAATATTTACAATATTTAAATAGCGTATTAGTTGTGATAGTACGTAAGCGACGGCTTCATTTGCATTGTGATAAAGTGTGGCTCATTATTCTAAATACGGTGGGCCACTGACAAAAACAATGTAGTTATCGGTGGATTTATAACCATAATAAAATCATACAACACAGGGGCAAGTAAAAGTAAACAAACGTTTATTTCAAAACAAAATACTGTTTTTTTGTACTGGTGAAACCACATGGAGCGCAACATTTCATTATCAAGTACCGAACAGCACCTGAAGGCAGCACGAGCGTTTCCACAATCGGTGGTTTTGAGGTTGGTCTGGTTAACAGTTTGCTAAACCGATTGTTTACAGGCTCAAGATGTTAGCATTTAGTAATATCTTCAGATGAACTAAAGGAATGGGAAATAAATTGGATCCTTGCAGGTGCTGATAGTCATTTGTAGTTATTGTAGTATGTTGATATTTATTATTGTCATTAAAAAAAAATCTAGATAAGATATTAATGGGCACAAGTCAGACTTCGTACAGTCAATGTCTTGGTTTGGTTTTAGTTACTGAGACTATATCCTACTCACAAGAGATGTCCCAAAACATTAGAAAACATTAGAAAAAAGTACACATTCTACAAAACATTAAAAACGTATGTGGAACAACGTCGCACAGATTTACATTCATCAGCAAGAGAGTCGAGGACGGATCATGTATGTAACCACACACCACAGCTTCACAGACACAAAAATAAATAGTGAAAGCCGCCGCAGCATCACAAACGGAAAACGTCACAATCCGTGTCGCGCGACGTGCCGCTCCAGGTCGGTGGCGTTGGCGAGGTGTCGCCCGCAGAACTCGCAAGTGAACCGCTTCTCCTCGGCGGCACCTGAAGAACGAGAGAAACAGGCTGCCGTCACATGCCACTTCCCAAACCCAACCAGGGATTATACAATGTAAATCCAAACGGTGAAGCACTTTTTTTTTGTCATTGCTCTCCACCTGACATAATGGGACAATTTTCCATTTTCAGCTGATTGACTAATAGTGACACTGACAGAAAGTTGCTTTTAGAAAACCAGCGGCTGCAGGTGTTGGGACCAAATGCTCTGTCAACTATTATAGAACAAGGTTAACTCATTGTCTTGGATTCAGTATCTTACCTCTGGCCACATGCGGAGAACCGTTCTTCATGCCCTCATCGTCGTGTTTTGGTTCTGTGCATCTGTTATTTTTGTCCTTTGTGTCCTCCTCGTCCTCTTTGTCCTTTTCCTCTCGCTTTGGCACCAGCCGACCGCTCTCATCTTCCTCCTTGCAACAACCGATGGGCTGCAATTCCTCTTTGAGATACTCCTTCTCGAGCACCGGCATTTCCCCGTACGGCTCTCTCCCAGCGGAAATGTTCTTCTGATGCTGCGCTTGTCCCTCTTTGCAGTTCTTAAACGAGAGCCCAGAGTTTTCCGTATCGCTCGTTTTAGCTCCTGCACACTTGGACGAGAAAGTTGGCAAAGAAGTCGCACCACCGAGACTCCCGCTGTTATCTGCCTGCGTCAGATTTGTAGCAGCAAGGGCGGAAACTGCCTCCGCATCGACTCGGGACGGAGGGACGCCTCCTCCATCGGGTGACACCAGCGCGTCTACAGCCTCGGCCTCAGCCTCCGTAACCGCTCCAGGCTCAACCGCTTTCTCACGTGTCCTGCGGACGCTGAGAGCGCCGCGTGTTGGTGAGCTCTCCTCTGCTGCCTTCTCCTCCTCCTTTTGTCTCATGCACAAAGCAGCAGTGTTGGGCTCTGCCTCCTTAGACTGAAGATCCCACACGTAGCCCTCGATGGGGCTTTCTTCCATGTCTCCGCTCCACCCTCGCTCCCGAGATGCTTCCTCGGTCTGCGGCGTACGTCCCCCCCTCAGGACATCTGCAGCTTGTGTTTCAAGTAGACCTTCCTTACAGTCAGTGACAAAGCCCTCCGTTTCTTCATCCTCGCTGTCGTCGTTGCGGAGCTCCAAGTTAGACGACGGCTCCTCTTCTGGCATCCTGCCGACGGCCGCCTGCAGCTGATCCAGGCTCACCTGACCCACGAGCTCATGATTCCTCACAACCTGCAAAGAGATACGCACAAGTTGTCAAAGTAAGCAAAAGCGGCCGCTGTGAAAGAGCAGAAAAAAGTCCCAGTGTCCCCAGTAGCCCTCCGAGGGGATTCACTTTTCAATAATGCTTATGAACAGGACATTGAAAGCGGATACTTTGTGACTCCTTTTGGAACACAGAGACAAATTCCCGGGATGCGCGGAATCCTCACCTGATGCTTATCGCCCAGGTGCGCCTCCAGGTCGCTCAGACGGGTGCAGTCGAAGTAGCACAGCCGACACCTGTAGGGCCTGACGTCGTCGTGCCTCGCCATGTGCGACCGCAGTTTGTCGGCACCGCCGCACGAGAAGGTGCATTTGTGACAGCGGAAGACGACGCCTCTGAGGTAACGCGACAGCACCGGGCGCCGCACCTCTATGGGAACCACGCGTTCCTCTGAAGGAGGAGAAGAAGAAGAAGGACTCAGCACAACGTGTCGGAGGAGATTGCGAGCGGATGGGAGGGCCGAAGATCCTGCCGGGGGTTCGAACTCACCCCGATGCAGGACGATGTGATCGATCATGTTGTTCTTGTTCTTGGTCTGGTAGAGGCAGAAGGGGCAGCGGAGGTCCCGCTCATGCGTGGGTCCCGGCTGCCATGTCGAGTGACCCACCTGCATGTGCATTTCTAGGGTTTTCCTGATTGAAAAGGCGGGAAAAATAAGTACTTTTGAGTAACAAAAAAAAAACTTTTACTCCCACAAACACTCACGGCAGCTGTGACTTACCTCAAACTGGTGAAAAAGTCGCAGTCTTTGCACCGGAGGACCTTCTTTCCGTGGCGGTTCAGGTAGTGCCGTCGCATGCTGGACAGGTGCTCGGTGTTGAAGGTGCAGAACTCGCAGTGAAGAAGCCGGCTGTCGGGTAACTGTGTTCCTGGCGCGTTGGTTTCAGACGGGCAGTCGGCCTGCGACCGCGAGCTGTAGTGGTTCAACTGCCGCTGCACATCTGGGGGCTCCAAGTACAGCGATCCTGTCCGGGCGCAACAAATCACACTTTAATGTCAGTGAAGCGAATACTGCAAAAGGTGCGTACCAAATGTACATTTTGACCGTTATATAATATATTATGATTGATGACGACTTGCTTTCAGTAATATCAAGTTCTTCATCAGGGTCAGGCCAATGGGTCAGCTCCTCGGATGAATTCGAGGGCTCCTTGTCGGCCTTCTGGACGCTCTCCTCATCTTGGTCGTCGCTCTCAGCTGGATCCATCGTGAAATCTGAGCATTTGGAAAGACAGTGATTGTGAAGACAGTGAAGATTGTGAGACAATTGCCTAACAAGCGCTGTGTAATCCACAAAGTAAAGCCGGTTATTAGCAAGCGGCAGACACAGTCTGGTGAAAAATAAAGAATGAAAGTGTTTGATTCTGCAGAAATGATTTACCACCCTGCTTCAAATCTCAGCAGGTGGAGAGCTGCAACAGTTCACATCTCCACTCTTTTATCAAGCATACCTCGGTAAAACCAGTTGATTTAACAAAACTGCTTTGGGTTATAGGAAAGGTTGTTTCTAATATCCAGCCTATGGTGGGGGTGTACACCAAATGACAGAATGTGGTGGAGAAACTTGTGTTCAGATAATGGCGTGAGAGCTTGTGGGGTAAAAGTGTATGAAGTAAGGTGTCAAGATGACCTCCAGTAAGATTAACAGCACGGCTCTTATTTTGCCCTCGCCCCCCCGTTTTAGTGTCTGAACAGGTTTCTCACCTTGGTGCACTTTCATGAAGTGGCACCTCCAGAGGCCCATGAAGGTCGTCCGATAGGAACAGAAACTACACAGGAAAGGCCTGGTGGTGCCAGCTTTGTACAGCACATATTTGTTAATGCTGTAGAGAGAAAAGCAACAACACATGTAGACGGGTTGTGAATCGTCAATAATGACTCCAATAACTAATAATGCTGTAATCAATTGCAAGAAGCTGTATCGATGATGCTGTGATGTTAACAATTTGCTCTGTAAAGCTATTTGAATACAAACAAGGCCAACTGGAGAACATTTGTGTATTTAAATATAAACCTGAGAAATTATGAACCTTTGTTTTTTCTTTACAACCCAATTTGGAGCTTTACTGGACCACATTGTTGACACGACTTATATCATAATTTTTCTTACTTGTAGCTTAACCCCGAGGCGGGCGCACCGTTCAGCTTCTTGAGGGCCGCCATGGCTGCATGGCTGCGCTCGTGCGACCGCAGCCCCCTCAGCGACATGAACGACCTCTGGCACTGCGTGCAGGTGTGGTCGCCTTCTCTCGAGTCCAGCCCGGGTTGCTCTTGGTCAGCGGGTTTCTCCAGCGGCGACGGAGGGCGAGGCTCACCCGAGGTTCCGTTACGCTGGGCCGCCTCGTCCACAGTTTCCGACGGGAGGGGCTCGTCCTGGGCGTCGAGCTGAGAAGGAAACGCGGTCGGCGCAGCGTCAAGCGTCAAAGAGTGGAAAAGCCCAACGTGGGGAGAGTGTACTTACCTCAGTGGAGACGGCCTTGGGCGACGTCGTCTCCGCCGCCCGTGCCCTCTTCCTGGCACTTTCTCGATGGCAGTCCAGGTGATACCAGAGCTTCCGGATTCCATTCATCCGTTTGCTGCAGCGGACACATCTGTAGAGACCCGTGCTGCCCTTCCTCGTCCCTTGGGATATCACGGTGAAGTCCAACATGCCATCCGAGCTGTGCGAAGCAGCGTAGTGGGCGACGAGCGTCTGAGCAGAGTCAAAAACCAGCCCCGGACACTTTATACATTCGACCGGTCCTCCCTCCTGGGACTCTGTGGCGGGCGGGCCGCTGGCCTTCCGGCACTTGTTATATTTCTTTAGCAGCTTGCGCGTAGTGTATGCATCCAATTTGTGGGTCTTTTTGTAGTGAGTCAGCAGGTATCTTCGATAAACTCCTTTATAGCTGCACATGTGGCACTTGTACAATGTCACCGTGTCCAGTGAGGACGTGGCGTTTGATTGGCGCGTCTCAGCCGCGCTCTTTTCTCCTTGTCCCACCGCTGGCGTTTTGCTTTTTGAAGCCCCCTCTGACGCAGAGCTGGCTGAATGCTCCCGAGCTGCCCGCTGAGCCCCGTGGTCGCGCTCGTGGTGGGCTTTCATTTTCTTAAGTGACCCATAAATGAGTGGACACGCGGTACACATGTACCCTCTCTCATTAGCAGCTCTTCCGAGCTTAAACCCGACCAAGTCGGCCCTGAGCGTGTCCACCGTGCGGAGCTGGTCCGCCCTGGTGACCACGTCCGGATGCTTCATTTGGCAGTGAGTGAGCATGCCGTGGTAGCCCGTGTTCACGTAGGGACAACTCGGACACCTGTAGACCAACAGATTCTCGGGCTCGCTTGTCGCCGCGCCGGTCTCACGTGCCCCGCCCTCGTGCTCTGACCCCGATGCTTGCTCCTCCCTGGCCCCTTTGTACAGTGGCGCGTAGTATTTTAAGAAGCCGTCCCTTCCGTGTCTCTTGAAATAATGGTTTCCAAGCAGCTTCTTTGTGCGATAGGAACTGGAACACAAGAGGCATTTGTACGCGCAGTGCTGGGCCTTAGAAACGGAGGCCGCCGCGTGGTGGATGCGCACGTGTCGGGCGAGCACAATCTTGCTGCTGCAACTATAAGTGCAGTACTGGCAATTGCCCGCTGCGCAGATCTTACTCAAACAGGGAGCGTCCGGTTTGGCCGCGGACGTCGGCGCCGGCTTCGCCGCGGCCTCGCCGTGCTCGGCCTCACAGTGCTCATTCAGCTTCTCCATGGTTACGCAGATCTGCGGGCAGGTTCCGCACATGTAGCCTCGGAGCTTCACATTACCCGCCTTGGCGGAACGTCTGGTCTTCAGAGAGTCCATCCATTTAGACACCTGCGCTTCATCCACCTGGTGGTCGTCCGCCCGGGCCTCGAGGCCGACGTGCTTCACGTGGCAGTGGCTGAGAATCCCTTGATGGATGATATTCATGTAGGGACAGTATGGACAGGTGAACAGAGACACGGCCGCTTGAGTTTCCTCCGCATGTTGATGCAAGTCTCCCTTCTCGACCTCGACGTGTTTCATTCCGCAGTGGGTGTTGAGGCCGTGCCGCGTGCGGAACCTCGCTGGGCAGTAATAGCACGCCAGCGGTTTGGACGACGCCTTGGCTTTAAACGCAACAGGCATTTGGTGAGATCCAAATGACTCGGGCGCCGCGTCGCTGTCCTCCGCCGACCTGTTTGCGCCGGGTCTCTTGCTGACGACGCCCAGAACCGAGCCGTCCTCTTTCACGGACCACGGGTGGACGGCGCGGTAGTGGCGCGTGACGGCGGACACCGAGGCGCCTTTGAACGCGCACGCTCTGCACGAGTAGTTCTTGGTTTCGCTCTGTGCTGCCCGCTGAGACGGGGAGCCGCCGCCACCGCCGCCGTCGTCGCCCTCACCGCCGTCGCCATCGGTGTGCCTCGTTTCACGTTTCCTCCTTTTAAGAGGCCGTGAGTCGGGACCCACATACAAGTGGGTGGTCACGTGCCTGAGGCTTCGGTAACGTTTCGGGTGCCGCTCCAGGTAGTGCTTGTGGACCACTGCTGCTTTTTCGTGCGAGAAAACACACACCTCGCAGTGATACCCGGTCTGTAAATCCCCTTGTTTGAAACACACTCTCAAAAGGTCTGCGAAAGAGCGATTGGTCCTGTGGCTGTTCCACAGATGCATTCTCAAAATATGCAGAAATTTAGTGCTGAATGGACACCGAGTGCAACGGAGGTTCCTCTGGGGGACGGCGGCCGAAAGGGATTCGCCGAGGGACGGAGGGCCGTCTTCATGGTTTGCGGTTGCCACGTGTGGTCTCTTTGTCTTTTCACGAACCATGGTGGTATACCGATAAACTTGTTCGTGCTTAGCCACTAACCCGGGATGCTTTCTCATGTAATGCCGCAACACGTTGTTCACCTGACTCTGTCTGAAGTTGCATAAGTGGCAGAAAAAGGCGTCTTCGTCTCCCTCGCACATAATAGGGAGGGGGAGGCGCGCAGAGGAGTCCAATTTGGACTTTTCAATTTGAGCGCAAACCGCAGCTGTATGTTCAACAACACATTCCATCTTGTAAGGGAGGCGTTTGTGAACTCTGGTTTGATGAATCGCTACACCTTTTAAAGATGGATTTCCGTAGTTGCACTTTTGACAATAAAACAGTTTTTCCGCACATGCGTAAGCGTTTCCTTTCTTCACAGAGGCGAATGCCGCACCTTCCTCTTTATGAGGAACTTCTTCACCGGGTACCCCGACTTCTTTAGAATCAGAAGATGCCGTACCTGCTGAAGCTTTGGCGTTACTTTGAAGTTTCTTTTTCTGGACCTGAGCGCTGTAACACAAGATCTCGTCCACACATGTTAGGGAATCCATAGAATGTTTTGCATTATGATGACCAAGCACGCTTTTGACCTTGGTACTTGAATAACTGCAAACCTGGCAGTAAAGCAGTCCTCCTGGTGCAACGCAGGGTAAACTGTCCCTTGTAGCGTACGATCCCGGACGGCGTTTTCTGGGCCGATCTTTGTGTTCCCTTCGGCCTTTAGTGGATTCCGCTTTCTCGGCTTTGGGAGACTCTGGACGAGCCTTCGAAGCTTCTGATCGGCGCTCGCGCTTCTGATGCGGCTCAGCTTTGTTTGCGGTTTTCTCAGAAGGATCTGGGGTGCTTGTTGGCGGTTGCGATTCTTCCGTTATCGTCTTCTCTGGCGTCATCGATGGTGACGTGTGTGAGTTGTCACAAGCCGACTGTTTGATTTGGTCTATTGTGAACACTTGACTTGGGTGGCTTTTTTGGTAGTGGACATGCATAACAACAGCTGACTTATGGCTAAACTTGCAGGCTTCGCAATGGTACATGATCACATCTGCTCCTTTGGAGGTGGGATGCTCGGCTGAAGGTGCATTTTCGACTCCCGTACTGGAACTTTTGGGAGAGATCCCTCCTGGTCTTTCTGCACTCTGTGCTTTTTCACATGTATTTGACCGAGTTGATCCTTCTTGGCATTCAGTTGCAATGTATTTGCAGAACAGCAACGAATTATCCACTTTATGAGCCGGGTGACTTTTCTTGTAATGTTTTTTCAATACGTTCAATACGTCGGTGGTAAACACACACAAAAAACACTTGAATGTCAAACTGAGTTCTGTCGATTGGACGGCGAATATGTTCGGGGCCTCTGGGTGATCCTTTCTGCAGTGGTTCTTGAGGGACGTCATGCCTATGAACTCACATGGACACACCAGGCAACGAAAAACGGCGCTGTCATCGGTAGGATCCTGGATGTAGGCGGCGTTGAATCTCACATAAGGGTGAGCGGTCTGGTAATGCGTTGATACGCGCGCCACGCTCGCCTCGTTGTAGTTGCAGTGCTTGCAAGAATAAATCGTTGCACTTTCTGAGTCTCCGTTGACGAGACAGAGCTTCTTTTCTCCCTCGTCTTCGCTTAGGTCAAATGAAAATTTTGCGTTGCTTGACGACGATTGTCGACGACCAGCCTGCTGAAGGTTGGTCGCTCCTTTGTCTGACTTTGCTCTTTTAGCAGAAGGAGCCTTTGAGGTTTCACTGTTGGTCCTCTTGGTAACGTCAGCGAGTGATTCTGTGATTTGTTCCCCGGGCTTCGGTGATCTCATTTTCAAATTCATATGTTGATCGTTTAGCAAGAAACCTGAAGAAACACGAGTGATATCAATCATGGAGTGCGTGACCTTCAACACACCACTACGGTTTGGGTTTAAGTTTGAGGGAGATTCTTTCAAAACGACGGTTCCTTCGGTTTTGTCTGGAAGATTTGGGCTTTCGACCGAGTCCGCCGGGGGTTTCTTGTTCGGGCCAGATGTTACCGTAAAGTACTTGGTAATGGTTTGCAATGGCCGCTTGTACGTTTTGAGAACCTTTGACGAGTCAAGAGCGTTTTTAGATTTTGAGGTCGACACCACAGACACAACGGAGCGAATTTCTTTTGCTTCAGCAGACATGTCCTTCGCGCTGGCCTCCAGGTTTTCAGAAACCGTCGGATTTCCCCCAACGCCTTCTGCTTTTTTAAGACATTGCATCTCGTGTCGGTTAAGCACGGCCCGACTACACGCTTTGAAATGACAATGCTCGCATCCTAAATCATCTTCTGCGCCATTGCTATTGCCGTCGGCTTTGGCTTCGTCGGTCGCAACGCACGTGAGACGAGCCTCTGTGGGAGAAGCCTCTACGTCACAGCCGTGCACCTTGTTGAGGTGTTCAAAAAGGTAGACCCTGGATTTGAAGCGGAGTATACAACGGCTGCACGGAAAACTCTTGTGTGGAGATTCTTGAGTGCCAACTGGATTCGGTTTACTGTAGCCAGAGGTGAGGGCGTTCAGTGGATCTGAGGAGGTAAATAAAAGATCATGTTGAATACTCAACTTAATTCCATGTACTGACACAACAACGTCAGAAGAGTGACTGGGACAGATACCTTCCTGCATCGTGCATCATGTGTTCCACAGGGAAATGAGAAGACCTAGAAGATTGAAAGCACACATTACTGCACAGATCAGGGTGCGGGTTACTGGTAAAGTAAAGCGCACCACTGGGGGGGGTGGGGTTAAAAATCCCAACAACACCTCGACAACAATTATTGTACTGTTATTAGTATTGAGGGATACATCTTTGGAGAGCAGTACAACAAGGCAACTAGAAATTACTTTGGACCTCAGTCAGGTCAACTCGGGAACAATCAACAGGAAAGAAACGTTAGGAGAGTCGGTCCCCTTTACAGACAAACTGGTACGAACTCTTCTAACAAAACAATGAAAAAGAAATAGCGGTCAGTTAAAACTTGGATTAATACTCGGCGCAAATAATAATGCATCTACTCACGCACACGGATGAACATCGAATGAGGCTTATAATGCAATATTTTCAATTGCTGATGTTGAGAAAGTCGAGAGACCGTAAGCATCCGCCATTTTTTTCGCGCGAGTACTCTGCTCTGGTTTGTGCCGCTTCCGCTCCACCAGCGAAACGTCGGTGACGTACGTGACATCACTTCCGGCGAAAATCAAAAACATTCCAAATTAAATTGATTATAGGGCGGTGCGCTCACCAAATGCCCCTTGTCAAGATTAGGTATTTGGAAATGAAAAAAAGAAAACAAAAATAATATCGGACACCCGCGCGTTAATTATGAATTCAGAAACTTTGCACGCAACGTAAACATCAGCTGTTCCAGGGCGGCTCGACGACAGCTAGCTGCTAGCAGCTAACTAGCTGCTATGACACAAGTTGCTTAGCCCGGCTAGCCGACGCACTGTTGAGTTCGACACATGTGGCCCCGTCGTAACGGGGAGGTGACCGAGTGAACAGGCGGATATGTGACTGCATTTAGGGAAAGCTGAAGATGGAAAGGGTAACTGTAGTCAACGAAAAATAACGTAACGGTGGTTTGTTTTCGTTCAGCTAGCTAGCCAGTGACTAACGTAACGTAAACTTGTAGAAGCGTAACTTTTAGCGAACATTTGCTGTGCGTGTATACATTAAGACGATGGCTTTGACATTTAAAACGTGTTTTAGCAAACCAATCGAATGTTGGTTATCTCCCTTTCTAGGTTTTTCAAAGTCTACAAAACATTTTTTTTAAAAGTACTGTAAGCTAATGAAAGGTTAGATGCTAATTTGAGTTAAGGGCTAAATGTTTTGGTTGAATTAACTGTCAATCGCGAACGGTTCTCGAGTGGAGTGTGAGCCGTATGATGTGAATTAAAAACATCAGATCGTTATTAAATACGTGGGGCGACACGCGGCTTCACTAGCAGCCAAAGGTCGTGTTCCAGCAGGCTGATTATAACATACGATCTCTACTTGCCCAGGGGGGGAAACCGTCCCCTGCTGCCCAGTCCCGTGAGCCCAAACAACTGAGGAAACCGGGAAATGATTCTGCTGAGTCACACACGGACGCACCAGCAGCTCCCATTTCACCAAATCCATATCCGTCCGATCAGAGTTTAAGAGGGTAGGAGGACGATCGGTTATTTTGACTCGATTGAGTAACCATCACTTGACCCAATGGGTCGATGTCAAGCGCCTTATCTGTGTCAATGTGTCTGTGAAGGAACGCAAGGAGTTCGGGTCCGAGCCGAAGGCAGCGCGCATCAGATGCAAGTGGAGTGCCTGCAGGAAAGTGGGTGGATGTGTCAAGGGGTCACGGCTACAGCGGCGGCCGGCCTGTTCGAGACACCGGGGATGATTTCCTGCAGAGAGGCAGGTCCTCGCGGGGTCCTCAAGCTAAGGTGGGTTTGGAGTTTTAACCCGTCGGCAGGATCGGACGGAACAAAATGTCTACATGAAATTGGTTTTGGTGATTTTGTCTCCATCAACACAGACGTCAAAAGGCAATAGTGGTGTTCATGCTGAAGGCAGAGTTGTGGGCAAGAACTCACTGGATCCACAGCAAAAAGGTAGATATCACAGCTTTTTATTCATTTCAATGATGTATGTGGTGGAAGAAATACTTCCCGCTATTGAGTCTTAATGAACAGTATAGTAGAATTACTCTTCATTGTAATACAGCAGTCTTTGCCTTCCATTCTACAGTCTTAATATCTAACAGGAAATTCATTTGGCATCTTTAACTTTTACCTGAACGATCCCAGGCGTGAATCCGACCACTGATTTTAATCAGTAAAAATGATTTTGGCGCATTCTTTTTGGTAAAACGTATTAATTGCTCCTCAGGGCTTCGAGGGGGAAGATCTCTCCCGAACTCTGCAGAGCCGGACTTGGTCCCATTCGAAGTGAAGATGACAGACTTTCCCGAGTTAGCTGTCGGTTCACTGGGAAAAGGGGATCCGCCTATTCAGAAAGAGAGCCGGGGTCCAACCATTCCGTCCTCGAGCCCCCAAATGCGGATAGCGGCATCTTCCTGGAAGGTAAGCTCATTGAAATATCAGAGGCGATATCGTGACCTGCTACTAGTTATGCTATAGAATTTGGTGCTGATTTCATTTTTTGTTGAAAAGTCTGTGAGGAAAGGACCCCCAACGCAAACTGACCCCCGACAAACTGGCAATAATGATGTGCCAGATTCTCCCGCCGAGTCACCAGGTTGGTGAAAGTGCCCGCAGTCAGTCTTTTGGTGACTATAAAGCAGTGCAAAATCACAGTATTTTTCTTTTTGTGAACAGGTCATCTGGGCGGAACGTCCTGGGCCAATGTTGCCTCTCAGCCTCCAAAGAAACCTGTCCCGAAAGAGAAGACAATCAATGAGCAGGTTAGGAGGCATTTTGTTTCTATTCAGGCTCTTGGGCGTAACAGCGCAATCTTTACATGGTATTGCCCGTCTCAAAGTGTTTAATTAATACATGATATTAAAAATGAATTACACTAAAAGATGTGTTCTTGCCTTGAAACCCTTAAAAGTTTTCGGCCTGTAGATTTTGTTTTTAAACATAGTTCTCCTTCACTTGTTGTTGTCTCCTCAGACAGAGGAAACGGCTGCACAGCGGGAGGAGGGAGCTCCGGGGAAGAGAAAACGCAAGAAAAAGAAGAAGGCTAAAGGTGCTGTTGAAGATGCAGAAGAGGAGTCAGAGGAGCCAGCAATGTATCAGGAGCTTCCAAAATTTGAGGTTAATAAGAAGATCAGCATCCATATTTTAAATTCAAAAGTTGTGATGGAAGATGATTTTAGTTGCAATGTTGCCTTCTCAGGATGAAGAGGAGTTTCCAGGTTTGTCTCCTGCTGTGACCAGAACTGAAAGATTGAAAACCAGCAGCTATGCAGCAAAACTATGCAATGAGGTACACATCAACAGTTATTTCTCCTCCCAGTTGTTTTTACATTAGAATTACTATACTGTGTCCTTTTACTAAAATGCACATAAAATGGGGGGATACATTACAGTTACATTGCGTCCTCCCCACCCCAGGAAAACCAAAGAGAAGGTGTTCAGCGTCAGTCTGCAGACCACAAGGAAAAAGCACCTGCAGAGACGCATAAGAAAGGACAGGTTTGTGTTTGTCTTACATTCAAATTGGGCTTTGTCTTTTGCTATTATCCGACAAAAAAAAATACAATGGAGATTTTATTTTTGGGTTTCCTCATTTCTAGAAAGTTGAAAAGGTTTCTGGCAAGAAAAGCAAAGTTCCCGTTCAGCTGGACATCGGAAACATGTTGGTCGCCCTCGAAATGAAGCAATCCCAAAAAGTAAAGCCGGACGCCAAACCGGTCATTCTCTCAGGTGGGCATCTGATACGAAGGCTTCCTAATTTCCTTGATAAAGATTATTAGAATAATATATTTAGCTTGATGGATGGAACCGTAGCCCAGAATAAGTCTCTTTTTAAATGCTCCATTGGCAGTTGGTGGCGGACTGACCGTTGTCCAGAAGCAGAAGAAGCTGCCCTCGCACCAGGATAAAATTGCACACAATCCTCTGGACTCCACCTGCCCTTTGGTAAAGAAAGGCAAGCAGAGAGAGGTGCCCAAGGCCAAGAAACCCTCCCCTCTCAAAAAGGCATGCCCACATACGTACTCTGTACCAAGTAACGCTGCACAACATTTACTGAGAAGGTATTTTCAGCTGTGCGGCCTTTTATTTCTTTCTTTTTTCTTCTCTTTCTCAGGTAATTTTGAAAGAACGGGAGGAGAGGAAACTAAAACGTCTGCTGGAAGAGAGGGGACTGCCTTTGGAATGCGAGTTCACACCTGCTAATGATGGTGATGTTGATGCTGCAGAAGAAGGAGGACCGGTCGAAACAAATGCCACAGGTTGGATCGAGCACGCAAAACATGCTTTTGAGGAAGACGATTGAGGAAATCACTGACTGGTAGCTCATATTTGACTTGTCGTCTGCAGCCTCCGATGAGGTTGGAAGTCCGAAAGAAGAACTTGAGGATCGGTCCGACTTTAACGGCGCAGAGCAGGTGGTGAACAAGGCTGACGAAGAGGCCGACAAAGACAAAATCGTGGAGCAACGGACCATCTCACCTGTGCCCTGCCCAGCCAGTCGACCCAAAATCCACAGCAGAAAGTTCAGAGAGTAAGACCGTAAACTCCTCACAATTTGTAATGTTCGTTGGCTGTGCAGAAAACTGAAAAACATTTCATCACTGTTTTTATTCTCAAGTCTTTGGCAACTGTATATTGTAAAAGTATGCCATATTGTTGTGCATGTCAGTTATTGCAGTCAGATGCTGAGCAAAGACGTGGATGAATGTGTGACGGCTCTCCTAAAGGAGCTGGTTCGTTTCCAGGACCGCCTGTACCAAAAGGACCCCATGAAGGCCCGCATGAAACGACGCATTGTGATGGGGCTCAGGGAGGTTCTGAAGCACCTCAAACTCAGGAAGGTCAAGTGTGTCATCCTCTCGCCCAACTGTGAACGCATCCAGTCCAAAGGTACTCTCACAGTGGCACCGCTGCAAGATTGTGTGTGTTTCTGTTCGACAAATGACTGAAACAATTGATTGCCCCGAAAACCGCAAACTGTATTCGTTCTGCTTGTTTTTGGGATGATCCCCAGCCAAACATCCAAGCCTCTTAATCTCCTTGCTCTTTTGACAAAGAAATGTGTTGACTAGAGGTTAGAGAAAGTCGCCTTCTTCGTTTTCCGTTTCATCCTCTACGGATAGAATTTTAGCACTATTATAGCAGCTTAGTGTGGACATATGGCCATAGGTGAGAGAAACAGATTCCATAGCAGATTTATAATTGACTCAATTAAACCCAGGGGGGGAAAAAGCCCCACTAGGTTCTTAAGAAATGTCCCTTTTCATAGGCGGCCTGGACGAGGCTCTTTACACCATCATCGACACCTGTCGGGAACAGGGCGTCCCGTTCGTGTTCGCCCTCTCCAGGAAAGCTCTAGGTCGCTGCGTCAACAAGGCCGTGCCTGTCAGCCTGGTGGGCATCTTCAACTACGATGGTGCACAGGTGCAGTACGATACGTGCTACTGTTCCAGACGTGAGCGGTGATCTCACAACCACTCACCTTTCAATGCACAACATTAAGAAGAAACCTGAGCAGCTTTTCTGTCTCACCCACAGGACTTCTACCATAAGATGATCGAGTTGTCGTCTGAGGCCAGGAGAGCCTACGAGGTGATGGTGTCCAGCCTGGAGCAGACGGGCCAGGCGGACCCGGAGAGCGTTGAGGAGAAGCTGCAGATCAGCAGCGCGGCTGAGGAAGCTGAGCTCGGACGTGACATCACACCGCCAGAGGAGCCAGAGTACAGTGAGTTTAGTCCTCCCCCAATATCTGTGACAGCTGCTCTTTAAATGGATTTGGTCTTAGGTTTGATTATGTCCCCCCTGGCCTCCATTGGAGGTCAAGTCCAAGTCAAATCATTCTCTTTTTGTATTTCTTTCTCCAGTGAAAATCTGGAAGAAAATGCTGGAGAAGGATTACAACCACAAATTCCTGAACTTTGAGGAGCAGTTGAGCTCCATGCACTTGGACAGTGTATGTGCCGAAAACACGGATGAAGATGACAAGAGTTGACAGTGCCGAACCCCTCTGTGCCTACACGATGAATGGAGCAACTGATCACCAACTCTGAAGAAACTAAAACGGACTCAATCACACGTCCAGATAACACAAGCTGCTCCGCTGCAGTGGTTGTCTACCTGAAGATTTTTGTAAGGAAATGATTATGTTGCTATGGTTTACAATTATTATTTTTTTCTTATTTTTAAATAGATTGAACACAAAATAATTATTCATTATCAAACTTAAGAAATGTTCTGTTTTAGTTCAAGATAATTAGGTAGAGCTATGTACTTTAAGCGTGTGTGGGGGTTAAAAACTGGAGATATTTAATCAGGACAAGACCACTAATCCCTAAATATGAACTTTTAAACATGTGGTCTGTGAACAAGACCAGAGGGTGTGCAGGTCTTTATGCACTGAATGTATCTACAGTGTATCAATACTAAGAAGTTCTCAGTGGAGCCATTAAGGAGCATTCTGTTTTTATCTTATTAATTCAGTCAGGTTTAATGCATGTCAAGGTTCTGGCCTCTTTGGTCCTTTTTTGTTTTGGGCTTTGGAGAGATGAAGGAGGACATGGAGGGAGACAGCATTCATGCAGCAAAGGCCCTCAGCGTTGCAGTTACTCTAATTGAGGGCCAATAAGATAAGATAAGAAAAACTGTGGGAAAGACTTTCATGTTGGATTTGTAACAGTCACACGTACAGTTTGAACACAGGTATTTTTGCTTTGAATTTGCTTGAAGTTTTTCTCAGTGTTTTTGGAACCTTATTGTTAATATAATTGGTGAAGGTTTACTTCACGTTAAGAACCTGATTTTTCTAAGATTCACAAAGATAGTGATAGACTCCTCACTTATTTCCGTACGATGTTTCACAGCCTCAAAATCTAATTAAACCTTATTTGACCCTTTTTCTTAAACTCTAAACTCAACATGTCATGGTAGCTATGTTTTTTTTAATCTTGATTGCACTACATAGTAGAGCCTGTGTTTTTTATTTTTATTTGTATGAGACTACCAAAGTACTAAACATTTCATATAGTACTACTTGTGATAGATGTAAATTGTAGCGATTTTCTTTAATAGGAAAGACAAAAAAATGTTTAACATCATCTGCTGTTTACTTGAAAAAGCTTTTCTCATTTGTTTTGTTGTTCCACATAGTGAGGAATAAAAAAAAAAGTAAAAAATATAATAAAAGCTAGGTGACAGTATGCATTAAAAAAAAGACAAATAACTATTTGAAACTTTAACAGACCGTCGAGGAGGGAAGACATTTGATCTGAAGATCACATGTGGTTGTGCATATTGCGGTTATAAGATTGAGTTAATGCAAGATGCACTTGATAACCCGCTGAAGTCCTGTTAATGTTAGAGGACAGATGGTTTACAGGAAGTAGACCATTGCTTTTGTTTCTCTTAAGTTTTGCTTCGGATCAAATAAACAAAACTTGACGTCTTAATTAGCTCAGCTAGAAGACAGAAATGTTCAATTCCCCCCACCAGTGAATAAGCGTATTTCACATAACATCAAACTTTCTTTAAATTCTACACCGTAGTTCAAAACTTCTGTAGTAATGAGAAATGAAAACTGAAAATGAAATAACATTTTTTTTAAATGCTTGATGACGAAAAATTAAAAGATTCTTCCAGATTTAGCTCTATTTAACCCTCGGATATAAATTATTGTTGCTAGATGGACTGTAGAATGTATATTTCCTATGAGAATCTAGATAGAACCAATACTACAAAAAGGAACAACAAGGAAAGCGTGAACATTCAAAGTCGAATCAGGGCCGTTCTAATTTCTCCTTTGAGCTGAAATGAATGCACAGTGTATGCAGAGTTTACTAAGTGAGTGAATGTGGGTCATTAATAAACAGACAAATGAATTGATTTTTTTTGGAATGATGTACATTTTGTCAATAGATATTATACACACCTCTAGACAGCAAAATTTTGGAATGAAAACCAATGTGAGTTATGAATAAGTTATTTTATCATCAGTTGCCTTTTTAAGTATCATGCAGAAATAAGAAAACGTTTGTGCTTATGTCTGTTTATTTTTTCCAGAGAAATCTCCCGTAGTGTGATGACTTTGAAAGACGCAGACCTCTTTTCTGCGCTTCCCAGTTAGATTAACCAACACTTTGTACAATCATTATGTAGATCATTTCATTAATCTTTTTAATCTATAAATCCGATGCAAAAAGACCAAAACTAACAGATGGGAATGTTGGAATGTAGCTTTTCAGGCATCGAGTCAAAAACCAAAGAAATCTTGATGCTTCCAGATTATCGTACGTATGAATATTTGGTTAACGTGACAAATTTCAGCACTTAAGAACGTGTTGAGAAATTTATTTGAACAATTTAAACTACTGCCCCACGATCCTCCGTGGGCCACTCACGTTGTAGTCTACATCAGAGGTCTTCAACACGGGGTCCGCGGAGGTACTGCAGGGGGGGGTTGCAAAATGTTTGGTTGATAAGACAATTTTTTTTCCACAAATTTAAATGTCTTCAGAATCAGAATTGTATTTATTGTCTTTATTGTTTATTGTTACACATTAACATAAATCCAACATATTGTAGCGAACGGATAAATTATTGGAGAAGACATTATCTTTCAGTCCGCAAAACACACATCCAGCTTCCCACAGCAGCTCTCTCAAGCCGGGCACCGGTTCACTCACAGCACCTTTCATGCTGATACGACAGCAGAGGCACCAGTTAATCAGATCACGTTCATGCTCACGTTAAAGTGCAAAGCTCAAAAATAAAAGATGGCGGACGAAACTCTGTAGAATAGGGGGTCCCTGCTCCATCTCGCCATCAGTTTGGGGGTCCTTGGCCTGAAAAACGTTGAAGACCCCTGGTCTACATCCATATCGCTCCCAAACGTTTGTCTCGTTTTATCAGACATTCATTTTGTGGATGTGACCACCTAACGGACGTCCGTGCCGGCTTTCTTTAAAAAGGATTCCTGAGAGGTCCAGAGGCTCCTGAGTTGTGGCGTTCCGAGGATGGGACGGCCACCTCACGACCACCTCACCTCGACCGCCAAAATTAAACTGGATCATCCTCGAGTCGCGGTGGACGTTTGTGTCAAATGTTCCCTACGAAAAAAAGGTCAGCGCCGCGGCGGAGCTGGAAGAAAAGGCACGGCACGAGCCAAGCGATCGCCATCCGTCTGCGCTAAATGTGTACGAAACGGGTGGTGTCCACGTATCCGCTTTGGACGAGGTCTGCGCACATGACGGCCTTTCCCGTCTTCTGGAGGGGACACTCTGCGTAGTGGTTTCCCTTCGCTCTACCCAAAGCGTCCACCGCTGCGGTTTGAGTCTGCAGGGTGACCACGTTGTCCCCGTCCACCTCCTGCACCCGGCTGTAGTCCTCCTCTAGGTGACCTTGTAACTTCACGGCAACGTAGCCAGAGCTCCCCAGCGAAACGTTCTCCGTCTTGCTGATGAGAAGATGTTCTCCATTCACCTCTTTCAGTTTGCTGTAGTCCACCGGTTCCTCGTCCCGCGCCTGCGCGGCTTCCACGTGTCTCTGGACGTCCACGTAGCTGCTGTTTGTGAAGGGTTCGACGGCGCCGTCTACCGCAGAGTGATCCGTTTCAGCAGTTCTTTCGTCATCCGTTTCCCGCTCGCGCTGGCTTTCCGTTGTGTCCTCAGAGTACAACTTTTCGTGGTCCAAATTGAAGCCAGCGAGGATAAGAAAGCTTTTGTTCCTCTTTTGCAAACTGGAGGGCGGATTGTCGTCATTCTCCGTCACAATCAGGTACTCCTCCATTGGTTCCTTCCAGGCTCTGATTGAATGAAAGCTGTGCATGACCAGCAGGACATTGTCGACCGCTTCGGATCCCCCTCTCTGGAAGTCAAGAGTAAATCAATTAAAATCACGACCCGACCACCAAGGAAACTTATGTTGGAGAAAAAACAGCAGATTCAGCGTTACATTGAGAAGTTGAGCGTCAATGTCCCTTATCTTTGGCCCAGGAACGGGGGGCAGAACCCACTGCTTCACACTGGAGATCAAAGGAAAGGGAATCATCAGTCTAATTATTCATGTATTATTCAATATCATCAGGATTTCATTAGAGGAGTTTTGCATATTTTTTCACATGAGATACTTACGATTTCCTCTTCACTACCAAGATGGACACCGCCGTTATGAATGGAATTGCAGAGAGGATGGAAACCATTAACCAAAATCCTGCCTCCTTGTGATGATCTAAATAACAAACAATTTTAATAAAAAGCAGTCGTTAGTAATTGCACACGTTGCTACCTAATGGTAACGTCAAGTATCTTCTGTAATAAGCCGCTGAGACTCACAGTTAGGGATTTCCACACAGGTGGAGTTGCTCCACTCACTCCAGGAGCCGTGGTCGAGTCTGCAGCGCACCTGAACCGTGTACACGCTCCCAGGAACGATGCTATACAGGCTGAAATGAGTTTGTGTACCTGACGTGTACTCCTGGAGAGGAAGAACGGAGAAGAAAAACACGCTGTACTCCCACTCAGGTTAACGTGACAAACTTTAAAAATATATATATAATTTAAGGCTAGGACCAGATTGCAAAATGATCTGTGTACATTAACTAAACTCACTGCCCACTTGTTGCCGGTGTCTTGTCGAACTCTTAGCTCATATTTCACGGTGACCCAGCCGGACTTGATGTCCGTGTTGGAGGGCGGCTCCCATCTGATGTGAAGTAGAGGGCTGTCGTCGCTCTTCTCCACCAGCAGCGTCACGTTGTCCAGAGCGTCGGGCTTCACTGCAGAGACAGAACAAGGTCCCGAGTCCTTAAAGAGCTTTGAGCGAAGCGCAAACGTGTGTGCGAACATGGACAAATGCGGGGTATAAATGTTCATATTTCTGTCAAAAGCGGTTTACTGAATCAGAGACCACCGTTGACGTGGTCTCGTGCCGCTAAGCGTCTTTGGAATGGAGTTACCATTTCGTCACCTGGGACTAGACTCGGCTCCACACGTAGGCTCTTTAAAAAAAAAAGTACACATGCACAACCGCCTGCAGAGCCCAACAAAGGCTGTGAGACGTGATCCAACACCGTACACAAGATTCACACACGGAGACAAACCAGTTTGGCTTCATTGTGTTCAGGTTTTAATTTGGGCCTCATGTCTGTCGCTCAGTGTTTTATACTCCTTACTGAACCCATGAGAGCTGCACGGCCCAGCAAACTGTGGCAATCAATACAGATAACAGATTTCTACAGATAACCGCCACTCAGCAGAGGTTTCTGCTGAGTGGCGTCTTCTACTATAATTGACACACATATTGAGTAAGTGCTTCAGTCCGAGTGCGACACAAAAGCACTGTTGAGCTACGCAGATGAAGTTATGCTTCATTATTCTTCGTCATTTTGAATCCATTTGATCAGAACATTTCAACAATATTCACTGTGTTATGAAACAACGATCCAGATAAAGTCAAGGGGGAGGTTGCTGCTCTATAAGACAGTAAGTGGTTTAAATAGCTTAACGGGCAACACCTACCAATTTCCATCACGTCCATCTTGTACGGCTCTGAGGAGGCGTTCCCGAGAGCGTTGCACGCCGTCACCGTCAGGAAGTAGTCGACCCAGATGGAGGTGTGTTCCTTATCAAAGAAACACGAGTTTCTTCCTGCCGACCGATAGTCCGGACACTCGTGCGTTCCCTCCAACCTGTACGCAGACAAAACATGACCTTTAGCGAACAGCAAACACTGCCAGAGGCAATTTGTTTACATGCATATATGACCAGGTCAGCTTGCTGTTGTTAGTAAATAAATGGGAAGCTGATGCCTACATGGCCCTAGTTTTGCAGGTATTTGGGCTTAAAGCACAGAATTAGTAAACATCGATGGCCAGGTCACCGGGGGCCAACAGTTGCGATTCATCCTCTGGGGACCGCGACTGGCTGTGCAAAGCCCGTGCAAACCAATGAGAATCAGCTTCATTGGCGATCCATCCAGTAGCTGTGGGGGTATTTCATGCTGAACCAAAGAGGTGGACGAGCCGACTGACCTCGCTGGTCAGTATAGAATCAAATCAGCGCTGGGATTTTTTTTTTTTTCTTGCACAGAAGATGTTTCGTTTGGATGATCGAGCACAAGTGTTGGAACAAGAGACCCGGTTTTGCTTCCACTGACAATATTACACAACGTGATAACTCAAATTCCTTGAATAAAAACGTAACAATTGGACCGGCCTTTCTCTCTCGTAGTGCAGGCGGTGCGTGGTGGGCAGCCCTCCGTCGGTTCCCGGCTCCCACCAGCAGGTGAACGTCTCCTTGTCAGGGGACCTGCATCCGAGCAGGACTGGTTTCCCTGGTGGAGACGTGCCTGGCAACACACGTGACAAACAAACATCAGCTCCTCATCCCCCACTCAGGTGAAAATTCTCTTTTTTTTTTTTTCAAACGTCGGTGTGATTTAAACAACAGGTCGGATCTTAACTTGAAAGCAAACTAGCGACACGGGATTGTAGACCGGGTTAATATTTGTTCCTCCACCCCGGTTCATGGTGGTTAATATTTAAACCAGCTCTCTAAACCAAGACACATGAAACCAGATATGTGTGCAATGCGATTGTCCATTACAAATTATTCATGAAGACAATGAGGTTCGAGCCTTTCAACTTACTGTTGGACTCTGCAGACAGCAGCAAGAGCAGGAAGAGCAACGCCACCCCGAAACCTCTCCTCATCCTGGGACTGTTCGTCACTCCTAAAAGGGTATGACATCCCAGGTAGGGTAATATAGGGTAATATAAACTGGGTGTTTTCACCTACAACAAAGAGATATGAAGGGAAAACAGTGCGCACATCAGATACACGTTGTAGCCAACAACTACGCGCGGCCACCACGCAGCTGGTTCCTAAAAGAAATCTGGTAGAATTGTGTCAAAACTGCAAAAGGAAACCGTGTGTCTTCAGTTTCGAAATACAATTGAGTCATAAATGTTTATTGCGGCCCTCTAAACTAACCCCCCCTTCCCTATTGTGGCCCTCTCAAATAACATAAATTAACTTTAGGCCGTCTTTGTTTTGTACTTCCTTATTCAAAAGAGCTCATGCACATTCTAATACACTGACTCAGATAAAGATCAAACACACACACACACAAACTTAGTCTCACGCACACAAACTAGCGGCACACTATAAGAGCTTACCTGCCTTTAAGTCTCATGCTTATCTACGGCAGGATCTTAAGAGCCTTTTGAACTGTACTTTGGGTTGAGTGATTTATGCTCGCTGTTTCAAACTCCCTGATCTTTGTATTGCAAAACATTTGGTCACGTGATGAAGCGTGACAATGCTTTTTCCTCACCTGTGAATTTACCGGTAGCCTCAAAGAGGGTTACACCTTTCCACCGTTTTTTTCCTCCCCCCTATTTGTGTTTACACAGTAAGGTGAAAACTAGCTCGGTGAGATGCCGCAACAGCCAGTTTATGACAAGTTGTAGCACGGTCGCACGAGCAAGGCAGGATCTAGATAAGACTTATTTCTCAATTCTGACAGGAGAAAAGCAGAACCGGGCGCTAAAAAGCTTCAGCTTCACACTGCATGAATTTTGTCCAAGGTAACACTGTATAATGTGGTTTAGTTTAGGACATTTTTTTTTTATTCTCACTCAAACCCATAACTTCGCAGCCATTGTTATAACTAACGAACCTTGAGTTGAATCCACTTTAACATAATAAATAAGTGGACTAATTTGCTTTCATTCAATTTCATTCAATGCAGTAAAAAATCTTCCGTATCATAAAAATACACCTGTTAATTATAAGACGCATGCTGAAACTGTTCCATTAGGTTTGTAATATTCTGTGTTGTAACATGAGACACATGTACAGTGTAGTAGAGAACATGTGGAGTAAATATAATGTCTCATAACAATATCATTATTCGGTTAATTGATCAGGAGAAAAACCACCGAGTCCTATGATAATCTTTTATGAAACCGGCTGACAACAGTTTTATTTTAAGCTGTTCGAGATGTCACTACAATACAATATTTCACCAAACATGGCCTGTGTTTACAATACACACCTTTGGATGGATACACTTGATCTATGATATATGCTCATGTTACGCCTAGTTTTTGTAGACCTAATTGCAAGCAAACGCACAATACAACTAATAAGGAAATACAGGCTTCCAATCGCTAAACATGACACACATGACAACGGCCGCGGGCTCAGTAAAAAAAAAGAAAAAAAAGAAAAATCAATCGACACAAATGAACAAATGTTTACAGCGCAGGTGTTCTCTCACCTACCAGGACGGGCGCCGACTTTCATTACATAATCCAAAACAGGCCGGGACGGGACGACGGCTGTCCTCCTTCACTCATAACGTGACTCCGGCGACGGTGTTTGCACACCTGCGTCTGCTCGTTAGCAAACGACCTGCGGGAGAGAGACGTCCTCTGAGTCGCGAAGGGGGGGAGGAGCTTGTGTCGTCACGACCCGCCTCTCGGTGTGATAAGACCGCTGCTAATTAGAAGAAGAAGAAAGAAGTTTAAACACTGGTAACGCTGCCAGGCAGGAGTGTACGTATGTGTACGTGTGGTATGAAACAACAGGTGGGATATAATTTGAGTTAAGCAGAGAAATATCGACATTACAAAAAATGTTGGCTGGTGACCGTGACTGTTACCGAAGAGCCGAGGAGCGTACTAAAAAAAAAGAATCATCGTTCCTTGGTGATATCTATCTTGACGCGAACACAACCTTTGGCGAAGTGGCCCGGATGATCTTTGTAAGGGGGGAAGAGACCTGCGAAGTGGGCGTTTCCGTATCGCTCTTTTAAATTTCTTTCAGGAAGTAAGTCAGACTTGTTGCCGTGCGGTGAAATGAGCTCGAGACTGTAACACACCAACGACTCTAGTCCGGGAGAGAACACGTCGAAGGTGAACCTGTGCGGCTGGACGCCATGTCGGATGCTTTGGACCGGTCCACCAGGCTCAGCCTGCTGAAGGAGCCGCTGGTGAAGAAGCTCTGCGAGGTGTTGGACAAATCCAGCAATAAGGGATGGCGGAGGCTGGGAGAGATAGTCGCCAATGACAGACGGTTCAGAGTCAGGTAGGCTGACGTTTAGAACTCCCAAACACTGCAGGTTACAGTTGGACCATAACCTATAATATGTATTGCATATACTGCACATGAACATTAGAATGTAAGTGCCCTGTAATAATGTGTGTAATAATGTACTTTAGTTTGACTGGTAAGTTAATAAAGTTATGCTGTCATGGACAAAGGACGTTGTGACGATAATAATAATATAATAACAATAATCAAACTTTGATGCTACGTATTTACATGTACAAGCCATGCTCATATAGTTTTGATATTATCACGCTATCACTTAGTTACTGTTTATTATCTGCCAAGCTTTTGTGAGCCACATAAATGCGCACGTCCGTGAGTATGACGCGCGGTTCATCTCCCGGCGTCGTCCTCCAGCCCAGACGACATGGAGATGTGCTCCCTGAAGGTGCTGCAGCTGGAGGGGAGCCCGAGCCGCACGCTGCTGAGGCTGATGGGGGACCGAGGCTGCACGGCGGGTCACCTGCTCGACTACCTTCAGACTCTGGGCAACTCGGAAGCCCTGCAGTGCCTGAAACCTTCGGGTAGAGTACAAGCGCCCCCCCGCGCGCGATATATCGTCGTCAAGACAACACGTGTTCGGGAATCGTAGTACTCGTTGGGTGACATATAGTGAAACCACGACAACTTCAAAACCACGACAACTTCAACCGCAAATGGGGCTATTTTGCAACGCCACATTGATTGTCTTCGTTGCTGCTGATGTAAGCTGTGTGAAACCGGCGTGGACTGAAAGTGAAATCCTCCTACAGCCCTGCAGATCCTCATCCAGCCCCAGTCGGTGGCTCTCATATCTGGACACAATCTCCGCCTGAGCTGCCACGCTGTGGGCAAATCTCCAGTTCAGTACCAGTGGTTCAAGAGCAAGGAAGAGGTGAGCTGCGACTCCTCCCCAAGCGCACGTTCAGACGTTAAAGGAAGCGGTTGGTTCAAATCTTCTTTGGTCTGCTGCGTTTTGACTCTCTGTTGTGGTCTTGCTCATGAGAGATGTTTTCACCTTCCACTTTGTTCTTCATACTTTTGTATTTTGTGTTAAAAGGTGTATCCCGTGCAACGTTTTCACAAAAAAAGTAGTTCTTCAGGACTCAAGAGAAACAATGGCCGCGATCTCTTATATCCAGCATACACGTTGCCCCGTTATATCACAGACATGGTGAAAATGTCCCACTATGGACGTGTCTGATTCACATTTTCGCAACCTCCAGGTGCCGAACAGCTTCTACTCGGACCTGGTGATAAGCCCCGTCTACCTGAAGGACGCCGGCTTCTACATCTGCAGGGTCAACTGCGGGGGGACTTTTGAGTTCAGCCAGTGGGTCCAAGTGGACGTGCTGAATGTCAGCGTGTCATGCGGTGAGATATTGCAAGGCCTTTTGGCTCCGTGTACGATGTTAAGAAATGCATTTGTTCTTTTTACGCATTCGGAAGTATGTTGAAGGACAGGACAAGTGACTCGAGTGAGAATCGAACCCCCGAGTCAGCTTTTACCAGTGAAAATGTAACAGACGTCTCATCTCACGGCCAGCAGGGCAGGGTTATCACTCCCTGGAGGGTCGGCTGAAGTTGGTGATCCAGCCTCAGTCCCAGCGGACATACGTTGGGGAAACCCTGCAGATGGAGTGTGGCGCCGTGGGACGGCCCATCCCTCGATACCAGTGGCACAGAAATGGAGCCCCGGTACCCAACGCCACCAGGAGGAAATTAGCGGTGAGGGGAGCTACGCTGGTTTATCTCTGGTTGTAGTTGCCAGACGTTACTGGGCATCTGACCTCTTTTTTTCTTTTTCTTCCCGCGTGTGCATTTCAGATCCCTCACTCGACGCAGGATCACGCCGGCAGGTATCGCTGCGAGATCAGCAGCAGCACGGAGAGGATGTGGACCAACGAAGTCGACGTCGCGATCGGTATGTTGCACCTCGGTTCATTTCGTAGAACTAGCGAGCGGTGAAGCCAGCTCCGGCGTGCTGTTACGTCTCGTGCGTGATGTTTTGCTCTGCTCTTGACCGAAAGCACCGCGGATATCCGTCCAGATATCAGAGGCAATGGAGTGCTCCGAAGGTACAGTAGGAAGCACGGGTGCATGGCGGCCGCATAACAATCTAATAAAAACAAAAAAACAATCCTATAACTGCATGTGGGTCATGATCCACTTCCTGGTTGCATGAACATAAAGTTCACAGGGTTTGATCTCCAGGTTTCGCATGCATGAAGTTTTTGATTTTTTGACCAATGTCATCACTGTCAATTAACATTACATTATAATTGCACATTAAAAGAAGTTTGTCTTCTATGTTTGTCTTAGCGTCACCTAATGCAAACACCGATACCAAAAATGAATTGATCCACCAATGTAATCCTGTCGTACTAGCCGCCCAAAAGTGGAACCACACGCTAACGACCCAGAGTTCTATGTGCGCATGTTGTCAAACTGTCTTGTGGTGTTCATTGGATTAGTTGACTTTTTTTAAATCACAGAATTAATAGTTTAACAGTTTAGCATAATAATGAGTTGCTTCATTTGCATGATGATTGACTGAAGCTCACCTTCCCTTTGACTAATCACTCTTCTCTAAATCAATGAAGTATTTTTCCACCGTGGATGTAAAGATGCTAATGAATTACTTTATATGAGGTTAACATGTTTGTGTTACTGATTTCTAGATGATGTTTACGCCATCGGAGGAGGTAAGCGCAGTCCCACTCTTCAAGTGATCATCGTACGTATCCATTGTGTTCGAACACAGCACGTGACACACTCTTTTTATTTTGACCTGACAGTTTTGGGATCGAGTGAGTTTCTCCTGAATAACGTTCCAGAACAACTTTACGGTAAGTGTCTTTCATCACATCTTTACGCAAATGTGACCACCAGTATTTTAGTGATTCTCCCCCTTATAAGTTGGCTCTGTGGTGTGTGTGTGTGTGTGTGTGTGTGTTCCCCTCTCAACGTGAACACCGAAATAAAGGTGTGATGCTTGTAGCTATCTGACTCCAGGAAAGGAGAAAATATGATATCAAACCGCTAATTGTTGTGTTGGGTATCAAATGAATATGTGCGTCATAAAGAAATAAATAATACAACTTACAGAAACAGAATCCACGTTGCAACATATTGAGGTGGGTGAGTGGACCACAAAAACAAGCTGTACCTGCCGTGCACACAAACACACGCTGACTCAATATCCCCGATATCAACCAACACCCAAAACAAACGGAGTTCATATCTCGGTCATCAATCTTTGACAACAAGCTCCATAAAAGGTATGTTCTTATTCTATGTGTTTATAGTAAACAAATATAGAGGCAGCTTAACTATTGACAGCGGTTAAAACCTTAAGCACAAAGTGAAAAGTCTGCAACCAGAAAAACAAACTAGTTGGCATTCCTCACTGGCGACTCTCCTGTGGCGTGTCGTCTCCCGTGGTGTAAAAGCACGGTTGTCTCCTGTGGCGTGTCCCCTCCCGTGGTATAAAAGCACCGCTGTCTCCTGTGGCGTGTCCCCTCATGTGTTGTATAAAAGCATGGTTGTTTCCTGTGGCGTGTCCCCTCATGTGTTTTATAAAAGCACGGTTGTCTCCTGTGGCGTGTCCCCTCCCGTGGTATAAAAGCACAGTTGTGTCCTGCGGCGTGTCCCCTCACAGCTACGGACAAAGTGGCGCTGCTGATCGGCAACCTGTCCTACCAGAACCACCCGCGGCTCAAAGCTCCCATGGTGGACGTGTACGACCTCACCAACCTGCTGCGGCAGCTGAACTTCCAGGTCGTCTCCCTGCTCGACCTCACCGAGTCGGAGATGAGGAACGCCGTGGACGAGTTCCTGTCGCTGCTCCACAAGGGAGTCTACGGTACGCGGGGACGGGGGCGGCGGTTTCCGGGCCGGCGCGGTCGATCCACAATGAGCACGCGTGGATTGTGTTTCGTTTTTTTTTTTTTTTTTTAAACGTGTGTTTTGAAATGCATCCCGTCCCTCTCCAGGTCTGCTGTACTACGCCGGTCACGGATACGAGAACTACGGCAACAGCTTCATGGTGCCGGTAGACGCGCCGAGCCCGTACCGGTCGGCCAACTGTTTGTGCGTGCAGAGCATCCTCAAGCTGATGCAGGAGAAGGAGACGGGACTCAACGTCTTCCTGCTGGACATGTGCAGGAAGAGGTGCGTCGGTCACATGTCAAATGTTACTCGTGTGGAGACAATTTCAAAAATTCATGTGCGTGGAAGCTCATAAGTCAGTGCTGCTTGTCACCGGAACTAAAAGAAAACAGAATATTACTGAATGCTAAAATGAATAGTTAACAGACCATTCACTATCGTATCATAATGTCATTAAGTGAAGCAATTCTTCAAAGGGATTTTAACAAGCCAATTTTTCTAGTGTTTTTTTATATACGTTATTATCTTTAAGAGATTTATAAATATATATACTTATTTTATTAATGGTTCAAGTTGCCAATAATATGTCAAAAACTAGCAAAAGAAAATGCTCAATCCGTGGATTGTATTAAAACTGCTTGTTTGAGTAAACATTTATTTTTAACTAAATATGCAGTTATATGCTATGCTAAATATGCAGTTTGTTATTGAAGATTTGGAAAACCAGCAAATGTTGACATTTGTTCACATTAACTTATTCTGATGATCTCAAGTGGAGCTCCAGTTTTAACTTACTTAACCCTTATTTTAATGTATTTCCATAACCCCAAATCAAACATTTGCCTTTAGAGGGCTTTACAATTGTTTTCTCTGCTGGTTTTAGCGATTTGTTAAATCTTTTGAATGACATTTTGTAGAGATTTGTTTGGAATTCATGTCTTCATATGATGGATGAAAGGAGACCGATGACTGCATTAAATAAATGCTGGAGCACAGACGAGTAGTATTCTGCTTCCAGGCCTCTTTATCATATTCCTATTAACATGCACGTTGATTGTTTTTGTTTCTTATTCCAAGACGGGTGGTCATTCTTTTTTATTTTCTCAGGAATATTCACGACGACAGCGCTCCCAACATCGTCCTGAGGGTCACGGCCAACATCGTCTTCGGCTACGCTACGTGAGTTTGAATCGCCGATGTCCATTCAAAGTGAGCCACGCCACTCGTTCCCGTTTCCGAGCGGCTCTTAAGACGTCGCCCTGCTCAGGTGCCAGGACGCCGAGGCGTTCGAGCTGAGCTCCAGCGGCCTCACCAACGGCGTGTTCGTCAAGTTTCTGAAGAGGCGCCTCCTCGACGACGAGAAGATCACCGTGGTGCTGGACAGAGTCGCCGAGGGTGAGCGAAGGAAGAGATTGACGTGTCACGGTGCACGAGTTAGATGAGCTTCTCGCACCTTAAATAGGTGCATTATTAATGTCACAATTGTTTCAGCTTTCTTGTGGAATCATTAAGTCTGCTTTTATAAATGATAATAATGAGTTTGCTGTTGAGATGCACTTATTATCGCACGTTTTAACAGCACTTTGCTCCTCTCGCAGCAGCTTCTGTTCCGGTCGGACCTTTTTGATACTTTGTGATTACTCGTTCCCTCGTGCAGACATGGGTCAGTTTGACGCCACGAAGGGAAAGCAGGCTCTGGAGATCCGCAGCAGCCTGTCGGACAGGAGGGCGCTGACCGACCCTATCCTGCCCGGCGACAGCGCCGATCTCGCTCACGCTCGCAGCCTCCAGTGGGCGAAGGCTCACGGTGAGTCGAGCTTTTTCTCAATGTTTTTTTTGCCGCTGTGCCGGGAAACCACCCCCCCATTCCCTCCCCCATCACCCCGTTTGCCTCACAGCTGTTTTTTTTGCACGCTGAGTCAAATGATGACACACACACACACATACACACGTACTTCCTCAAACAACCGCAGTGACCGACACCATCACCTCTTCATCATCTAATAAATGCTTATTGCTTATTGGCAGCGAGGAAAATAGCATTTCCTCCAGTGGTTTTGTTCTCGCCAATCATTGTGGCTTGTGACCGCATTCAATCAAGTAATGTCAATTTATGGTCCTCTTATCCCAGATCACGGCCTCACTAATGAACAGTTCAACCGAGGACCTATTCTTCCATCTCAGATTATTTATTCCGTGGGATTATAAGAGACCTGTATTGGTCCAGCATTTCACAAAAAAATGTGTATGTTTTGTTTTCTGAAATCATCTATGATTTATTTTGAAGCAGATCGGGAGAAATTGGGCCGTTACATACATGATACTTGTTACTTAAAATGACACCATGAGATTCGGTGAGTTTGGTCAATCGGACTTACAGAACTTGACATATGTGTTGTTTTCTTTGTTACTCCAGAGCTCCCTGAGAGCATGTGTCTGAACTTTGACTGCGGCGCTCAGATCAAGTTGGGCTTTGCTGCAGAGTTCTCCAACGTGCTCGTCATCTACACCCACATCGTTAAGAAGCCAGAGGACATGTCCTTCCTCCAGGCACACGTCACCGACTTCTCACAGGTGAACACGAGAAAGGACGAGCACATCGTCTCTCATCGGTCTTCCCAATCAGAGAACCTGTGGGCAAACCGATGAGGATTGAGGGAACGCACAATACACGTGTGCGTTTATGTGGGTTTGCATGCACGTTGTGATCTGCCACTTGCTTCTTCTCCTCACTGCAGGACCTGGACGTTGATCCTAAGGAGATGAACAGAGAGACTCCAGAGGAGACGGGGATCTACCTGCTGTCCAGCAACTTGCCGCAGCACTGCCTCTACACGCGAGTCAGCTCACTGCAGAAGCTCCGGGTACAAACAGCTAACCGATGATTAGCTAATATGGTTTGAGGCTCGCTGATAGAACCACGCTGATAGAACCATGCTAATAGAACCACGGTGCTACTGTGGCTAACAATATTTTTGCTTTAGAAGGCAATGATTTTCTTCTCATTCCTTGCTTTGTGATGCATGTCCATCCTGGGAAGCATGTCGCCGAGGTTCTTAACCCTTCTTCTCCTCTAACCCGTGATCCGACAGGAGGAGCTGGTCTTCACCGTGTGCCTTCAGGGCACCTTCACCGCCATGGACGACGAATCCGTCCACTGGACCAAAAGCGTCGACATTGGCAAGCCGCTGATCGCCCGGCTGGACCTGAACCGGGCCGTGCGGCGGAACAGCTGCCTGCAGACGTGCATGATGCCCCACAGCCCGTCCCACAGCCCCTGCCACAGCCCCGGGCCCGAGCACCACCACCACCACCATTGCGGGTCGCCGCAGGACCACAACCGCCTGTTGCCACAAGGCCACTACCTGGACGTCCACGAGCACCAGGGAGCGGTGGGGGTCTGCGGGGATTCCCTGTACGTGGGCCAATCTCACTCAGAAGCCGCGTGCGACTCCAGCTGTGGGCTCTCCAGCTCCCCGGGGAGGCTCAGCGTCCCCATAGAGGCCACGGACGACATCCACGAGCTGCAGACGGTGTTCATCAACAGCCTGCAGCTTCAGCAGCAGTGAAAGCTTCTTACGTCCACGCCTACTTTGTATCATTTCTTTTTAGGAATATTATATTCTTCCAGTTATCAGCATTTTTGTTCCTCAACAAACGGTATCTTGACTATGTGAAGAAGAGCACAAGGTAAACGGCAAGAAAAAGATGCTGGAAGGTTTTTGTCATGAACAGATATGAAATACCTCTTACTAATATTTGTATAACAATAGGAGCTAAACGCGTTGCATGAAGACCAAGATGATACGGGTTCAAGCAGTCTGCGCATTTTAACATTTGTTCACGTCACGAGTCTCAAAAATGCTTTGTAGTCAGTGGAAATATCAGACATGTCTCAAGCCACAGTTATTATTCTTCTGTTTGTCTGTCGTACCAGAAGGCCTCTTTGTTAGAACTCACTTCCACCAGCTGCCTTGTTTCCTCCTTCAGTCTCAATCTGCTCCTCAGGGAAACTTCAGTGAGTTTCGTGCAGAGATTCAGGCCACTGTTCACTTTATTATCCCCGACAAGTTAACGTGGCTACTTGTGGACTGTGCTCTGCCCGCTTTAGGACGTCAGTCTTTGGGTTTGAGAACAACATCTGTAACATTTGTAACAAGGTCACCATAAGGACAGACAGAATGTGCTGCTCCGCGGTCCTTTCTCATATTATTCATTTCATACATGAGACAATGTGGCAAATGCAGAACTGATTGAGTTGCGTCCCTGCTCAACCCCGTAGGACAAAGCACGAGCAGAGCAAGTGATTCAAAACCTTTCTTGCTTTTTACGTGCTTTCTGTAATACTGACAACTTCTTGAGAAACGAGGAGAAAAGACACAAAAAGAAAGTTGACAAACTGGTGTAGAGACAGAATGGGAATGTACGGATGAAGACAGAAAAGAGCACCGCGAAGAGCCGTATAACAACTAAAGTAAACTGAAGGACGGTGTGTGATGAAGATTGTGTGCATTTAGCATGTGTTACTCAGTGTTATTATAAACATAATATAATATGAGGGTTGTGCTGCAGTTTTGTACACGAGCAACAGTGTCACTCAAGTAGATACCTGCATTTTTTTTAAGTAAAGACATTTTAAAAAAATCTCCCTTTTCCAGTATGCTCAAAAAAACGTATGACATAAAATGTATTAAAAAAAGGAAATCAGCTGGTTGTCGTGGTTTTCGTGAGGGCCGACGGGTGACTTCCTCTCACACCAGTAGACACATTCTATTCCCACGGAGATACAAAGAGTTCTGCTCACAGCAGTGCAGCACTGACACCCGGTCTGGTTGAATAGTGAATGGAGTCAGCCACCTACAGGCTGCACAGGGGAACCATTGCTGCGTCACTCCTCCGGCTTCCTCCGGGTTTTTTTTTTTATTTTCATGCGATGCAGCAGACTGGGAGAGGAGAAGGCGGTGAGAAAGCTGCCTGCAGAGAGGACACGGGGAGAATAATCATGTCCGCCTCCTGGAAGCAGCTCCAGTTTCAGATCCTCCTGCTTCTCGTCTCCTGCAGACACATCGATACAAGTAAATGGCTGTTTAGGTTTGATTTTGGCTGAGTGTGGTTGTGTGCCTTCTAATTCCCCCATGAAATGATGTTTAACCTTGTGGGCCGTAGGAGAAATTGTCATTATTATTATTAAGTTATTATACCGGAGTGCAAAGTACTCTATGACAGCATTTTCATCACAGGAAACTGAAAGTATACATTAAAACTAGCAACATTACAAAACAATTCTATTAAAGGATTAAAAAAAAATCAACCTGATGAATAATTTAAGATCCCTTATATAACCGTGGAACCTGTTTTTCTACTGCATTATGTTTCCTCTCAAACATTCACCATTGCCTCTTTTTCTATTCACTTACTTTTAATGTGAAGATTCAAAGTTTGAAGATTATTTGAGGAAAAAGAACATCCTTTAAGAATACCACTGCACTTACTGTTTTGATCTTATTTTACACTGACAAATTACATCGATCGCTTTTCCTACGGACAACTTATAACTTTGTGATGCTCATTGTTGGTTTTCCTGTCAGAGACGCCTGGTCCGGCGCCCCCCCTGCTGCTCCCCAGCGGTTCCCTGCCCACAGATGAAAGGAGCGCAGTTTTGGAAGGTACCCGTTTAGAGACGCAGTATTCCGGCTCAGAGGATTTCCTCCAGCCACAATGTGTATTCAGATTTATTTTTTTTCCCTCAACTGTTCAACGCAGGTGAAAGTCACACGGAGACGGTTGAACTGTTGAATCCTGTCAATCTGTCACTGACGTGCACCTGGACAGGTAATCAGGACAAACAACCCAACGTCACTGCGTCCTGGAGAAAAGACGGGGAGGAGGTTGAGAACAGTCGTGTCACTGTGCGATTGGAGGCCGATCGATATAAGCTCACGCGAGTGTGAGTACACATTCTCAATGTTCCATCCATCCGCTTACATTTTTATCATTAATTGGCTATATTACATATTATGCATCTTCGGCTATTGATGTTTAGCTTGAGAACTTAGGTTGTCTTGTCTCCACGTGGCTTTTTGCAGGTGTTTGCAGAACAAATGTTCGACTTTAGTCAATTTACATGAACATAAAGCACATTATCTACGCATTTTTATACTTATTTTTTATTTTACAGGTTCAGCATCGTCAGTGAAGAAAGCCTCGGAAGTTACTCGTGCTTGTTTGGAAGTGAAGCAAAGATAGAGTTTATTTTGGCTGGTAAAAATAACATTGTTTCATGAGTATATATTCATCCATGGATTGCATACGTAATACGTTTGTCAAGTCCCTTTAACAAGGGCGACCAACATTTACACTGAGTAACTGAGGTGCAGCATGTTACCTTCCAGCTCCACAGGTCGCTGAGTTGCGGGATAAACCAATAGTCAGCTACCTGGGGGACTCTGTGGTGGTTGCATGTAAAATGGAGGAAACCAAACCGAAACCCAACACCTGGAACTGGTACAAAGCCAATGGCACAGACATGGCGAGTGAGCCGCTCTTTGCCTTCACATCTGTTTGTGTCAAAGATTTGAAAGCACAGTCAGCATATTTTCACTGGACGTGTGGCCTCTGACCCGTTTGGCTTTTAACATCTGCTTTTAGGAGCAGATCTCGGCCGTTGGGGAGCCTCTTCACTATGAGATCAGGAACGACGAGAGGAAGACCAAACTTATGGTGCAAAACCTGACGGAGGCCGATGGAGGCCTGTACTACTGCGGCGCGGTGTACACCATCAGCACCACTATGGGCCACGTGGAGCTCAAGGTCAGATACAGAAAGTTACCAACTCGATTGATACGTGGACTCCTCTATAAACGCTTGTTGCATTTTAAGATTAAATTCCATTGTCAACGATGTGGTCGCCAACCTTTTCCTGCTCGTAGCCTATTTGACCTACTTCTTTTCCATGAATCACCTCATGACCTTTCCAAAGGGGACTAGAACTACTGGTTGAGAACCAGCAGACTAAACTACAAATGCTGGAAACTATCACAATAATAATTAAGCATCAGTGTTGTACCATCTAATTATGTACAACGGCCTTCGTACTTTATACGTACAAAGTACATTTGGCTGATACTTTGTGGTTTTGAATGCAGGACTTGAATGAAGTATTTCTACATTGTTGTACAGTGAAACCGTTTCTTGAGTGAAAAATCTCCCGTCTTCCGTCACTGCTGAAGGTCATCAGCTTCCAGGAGCCTCTCAAGCCCTTCGTCGCCATCGTGATCGAAGTGATCGTCCTGGTCGCCGCCATTCTGCTCTACGAGAGGAGTGGGTCCAAGAAATCCTCCGCCGCAGGTACGCAAACGGTGTACTGATACTACGATGCGATTTATGTACAACGGCACGTTGTATTTGAACTTGAAAATATCTGCCGTATTTACAGGAAGTGGAACCGTTGACCAACCGAATACAGTGTGAGTACTGTGTTTTTTAAACTTTTATTTTAATGAATGTTTGTAGTTTTCGCTGATGCACATTTATTTCCTCATCAGGACTCAGGTAGAAAACAACGGACCAGAGGAAAGTTCTTTAACGAGGCAGCAGAAAATTTGAAAAATTGCAAATCCACAAAAAAAACAACGTGCAATAGGCACCACTTAATAATCAACAGTGCTGCCATGGCAACCAGAAGAGTATTTACTTTTTAGTCTTGACGCCTTTATGCAACCACATCCTGTGCAAAACATGACACACGTTCATTTCACTTGGGGCAGGTTGTTTCATCGTATATGCTACGCTATGTTCATCTATCAGAGTTAATTCGTCACCCCGATGGTGAACTATAACCGTCTGTAGTCGTCATCCCTCACCTGCCAGTGTGTAAACATGCAAATTAAACAAAATACACAAGTCTGAAATAACTGCCTTTGCGTTAGTCGACATGGAAGTAGAGATCACTAAAAGGGGAACGCCACCGACTTTACGCCTCAACGTCTGCTCACTGGGCTCGCTAAGAACTACGGCACATGAGGAATGAGGAGGTCCTGAGGGGAGAATGTGTGGAATAAAAGATATTTGATTCTACCGCCTTGTTTTGGTCCGATTTTCCCCCCCTCAGTCAAATGTTACAGAAGCACAATGCCAAGGCAGAGAAGTACTCCTCTAAAGGGACAGCGTGTGTACGAGTGAATGGACGTCTTATTAAAATGTTCTGCTTTTAGTAGTCAGCTGTGACAAACGCACACACGTTCACACGTGTCAATCTGAAAAGTAAGATTTTATTTTTGCCATAAATAGGCTACAGTCTGCACATTAATCATACGCTTTCATACTCACGAGCCAGTTTAATGTCTTTTCTGAATACATTTTATACAATCGGACAAACTTCCTCCTGTCCGACACGCTTTCCGATAGCTTTTCCACTTGGATTTTTACAGAATCTCAGCCGGGACGTTCTTTTATTTTCCTCGGACAGAAACCAGACTGACGTCTACGGCTGGTTCATGAGGAACTGAACCAGGAGCTTGACGACGCCGTCGTCCAGGCCGACCACCTCTCCGTCCTGCACGCTCTCGTACAGCCGCAGGCTCTCGGTGCCCCACAGGAGGTTCTTCCGGGGGTTGCTGGCGTCCGTCTCCACGGAGAGGGCCACTGTGTTGAGCTGGTAGCAGAAGAAGGAGAAGAACTGCCCGTCCGTGATCACGGCCTGGGACACGAAAGGTCTGCGGACGTCCTCGTGGGGCCAGAAACCTGCGGAGACCAGAGGGACGTTAGAACCGCCGGTTGCTTTGCCCCCCCCCCCCCACTCCGGTTAAGAGGCCACTTGATTTGAGATGAATGATTTCCTCACCCTGGTACATGGCCTGAGCCCCCGTCCAGGCGAAGAGGCTGGCGAGTCCGTTGGCTCGGAGGAAGACCTCCACTTGATCAGACTGCTGCCGCCGAGCCATCCGGTCTCTGTGGTACCGGTCGGGCACCAGGTGGAACTGAGTGTGACCGTAGCACGCCGGGTCTGGTAGCTTGGCACCTGAGGATGAGACCAAGAGGACAAAGCTGAGTGACTATGAAACAACAACTATTTTCCCCCGTTTATAATGGCTGTGGTACTAGTCAGTAAGAGAACTGAAATATGCTCTACGTACAAGACTAAGATGGATTATCTTTGACGGAAAAGGTCAGAGTTACAACGCTTAGACAATTAAAGAAAAAAATAATAATAAATCAGGCGGTCACGTCGAGCCACAAATGTAACCATTTGCCACTTTTGCTTAATATGCATTAAAACAGAATTTAACAGCTCCTGTTGTTGGTTAAACAAAAACGTCTGGATGAAACAAGATGCCCATTATGCGTGCTGCATATTAAGGAACATGTCAACTTTGAATGTGCAGCATACAATTTAAGGTCTCAGCAATAGCGGGTAGCATTATCACGCTTTATTATATCAGTAGAAATACTGAGAGCGAAACCACAAACCATTGTTGCGAAACGGTTTCCCCAGAAACAAGAAAAAAACATCTCAAAGACGTGGAGGCGATTGAAGCCGGTTTGACGTCTTGCATTAGAGTGACGTAACAGACAGCGAGCAGCTGCTTGTTGGCGCCCCGTAGTGCCAGTAGGATATAACTATGAAAGTTACATGTGGCCGGAATACAACGGCTCCAATTTATGCGGTTTTGGCTTCTCCAAATTCCCATCCTCCGTACAGTCAGACCCGTGTGCCTGTTCCTGTGTTACCTGTAAAGATGTGGTTGTCGTACTGCCGTCTGAACAGAGGCATCAGGTCAGGAGCAAAGCTGACCTCTGGAACGTCGGCTGCATAAGAGGCCTCCAGCGGGGCAAACTAAGAGACATTTAAAACAAACCACATGAATGTTGGACATTAAAAAGGGAAACTAATAATAATTTATCTTGTGAAATTTTTACACCTAATAAATTTGGACTTTTTTTGATGATAATATTTTTAACTTTTGAACAAATATAATATTTTTCATTTATTTTTGTCACCTGTATGTTTGTTTAAACAATTTGTTTCCTCCAATGGTTAACAATGATTATTTCTGGCTTGGAAGGTTTCATGTATTAAACCCAACAGAGACTGAAGTGGCTGGTGGAGGAAATGCGGGCCACCTGTTGCAGTTGTTGCGTTATCCTGATCTGGCACTGCGGTTCATCATCGATCTGGAACCTGGTCGGCTCCAGTCGGCCTCTCCGGTGCCCCTTTGGGATGATTCTCTGTCCTCTCCTCCAATAAAAGTTTACCCGAGGAGCAATATCTGATAGAGAAACACAAAGTAGGATAATTTCAACGTTTATTATTTTATACAATACTTTATGGTCAGACAGTTTTTTTATATAAACCATACATTGATAGGTTTTAGGTGTTTTTTCTCAGCTGCTTGTTTTTAGAAACATTTGAGGTTTTGTGTGGACAAAACAAAGTGGGATCTCTCTTCTGCTGGCATTTTTTTGGTGAGGTGATCCACATTTATTTAACAACTTACTCGTGTTGGAGCTGCAAATATCCTGATTGTCAACGTCATTGGTTTTCATCAGGTAAATTTAGAGCGACATGGACTTGATGGACTAATTGAAAAGCAGCTTCTTTACCGGAATGAGCTCACGTGTTCTCCAAACTACGTCACGTGATCGGCGTAGAGGTCATAGATTCACAGCGACACCTTACCGGTCCATGTAACAAACAAACCGGCCACGTGCATTGAGTTACCGCACAGATTCCGTCCAACAAAAGCCCGGAATGCATTGATAACGTGTGTATTTAAGTGTGTGGAAGCTCAACAGGCCGGTGTCGGATCAAGGACTCATACCCAGACTGGAGAGGCGCAGGAGCGGGTTGAACCTCCCGACGCTGTGCGTGAGTCCGGCCACCATGTTCCTCACAAACGGCCCGACGTTCTGCTCCTGCTCTCGGTACAGGAAGGCTTTGCGCTTCTTCGTGTGCCAGTGCTCCTGCAGGATCACGCGGCCCGACCAAGGAGCGGATGTCCGCGAACGCAGCGCCGTCCACCGCCGGCGCCGGCGCAGGTGCGCCGCCGGCAGGTGAGCTCTCCTCCCCGGCCACGGGCGTCGTCGTCCTCCTCCCCGGGCCGAACCTCTCGGGCAGCCCGGGGATGTACGCGGTCTTGGTGAAGTGCTGGTACCATTTGTCCGCGTTCCGCGCGAACGTCTGGGGGTAAACCACGAACTTCTTCCGCTGGATGCGCGTGAAGAGGGAGATCTTCTCCTCCACGGGGGACTCGCGGATCCTCTGCACCCGCTCGTCGGCCTGCCGCTGCCGGGCCGCCTTGCTTTTGGCCGTGAGGGAGGGGACCACGGGCGGGTACGCGGGCTCCTTGGCGGCGGCGGCGGCAGCAGCGGCCTCCGTGTGTGCTGGCCTTTGTCGTTGAAGCGGAGGCAGCGTTTTGGGGAAGAGCAAGGGCAGCCGTGCGCGCGCCGCCATCTTTCCCTTGTCACTGAGAACCGTTTTTTTTTTTTTCTTCTTCCCGTGGACGTTTGAGGCCTTTGACTCCCACGACGTCGCCCCCTGCTGGACGAACGACGGAACACAAAGAAACCACCACCTATGAACCGAGACACTTAATTCAAGAACGTATTTATAATTTTGCTTTCATAAGGCATCGTAGTGGGACGTGCTTTAAGATAAAAATAATAATAATGGAATAAATTATTATATTTCTCTGTTGCGCTGTGCCATACATGACATTTATGTATGATTTAAATTATACCAAGCATTTTTATATTCAGATTCGCGTTTGTGGGTGTGCATGCCGTTTAGCGGTGACATAGAATACATAATAGTACCAATATACTATTTACGCATGTATAAGTAATGATAATACTGACTGCAAGTGTGTAAATTGTGATTGTCAATAAATAATGTTATACATGGGTTTTTCCCCCCGAGGCGGGTGTCTTTCGTCTGTTTAGATTAGATTCAACTTTATTGTCATTGCACAGAGTACAAGTACTGAGGCAACAAAATGCAGTTTAGCATCCAACCACGAGTGCAAAATAGCAAAAATTGTTTATGTGCATATGCAAAGTGTAATAAGTGAATAAATTGATATGTACAGTAAGAAATAGATATGCAATATGAACAGTAAGAAATGGATATACAATAATGTTTATTAAAACAAAACATAAATAAATTCCTCTACATTTGCAAATAACGTAAAGATTTTTTTCTCAGGGTGTGTCGTTTCTCGGCAAACAAGGTGCTACGGTTGTGTTACATCACGCTTCCTGCTCATAATGGGAAAAGAAAGTGGACTAATCGCCCAAATAAGCTGTTAAACAAAGGATACACACGTATCAATCAAAAGGCAAGGGGAAATTTCATGGAAATGTCACGGCTGGTACCAACGTTGGAATAAATACCCCCAAATTGGGGGAAAACCGGAATAAAACACAACATTGCGGTAACTGTGGGAGTTAAATTACTCCAGAAGAGGGCAGGCGTGCGATTCTACAGTTGCAAGTTGCCACTGAAACCTCAAGAAGAAGTGGAAGTAGCGGCAGAAGAAGAAGAAGAAGAAGTAAACATTACACACAAAACTAGCGAGTACCTGAAGGCAACGCAAACTGTCAACAAGAGAAGTGCAGAGTTGTGTCTAAATACGAGTTCGCCCACAAACAGGTCCGCTGGAGGTGCTTCGACCGGCCGGCTAACGTCATGTATCTCCGGCAGATCGTGCGGACTCTGCCCGTGCGGACCCGCTTGCAGCGCGTCTGCCGGGCCGAGGTGACGCTAAGACGAGCCCTCTCCCCCCCGCAGAGGCCGCTGTGCTCCAAAGGGGTCGAGGTGAGCTCGGCCGAGGAGGCCGTCAGGACGCGCGGCTCCGCGGCCGCCACCATCTTCTCCAGAGTGATCGACAGAAGCGTCCCTGCAGACATCATTCACGAGGACGAGAAGGTAAACACCTGCCGCACTATGAGACATTAGTGAGAGAAAGTTGCGCAGTTTCACATTTCGTATGAATTATTGTTTTTTGTGTGTGTGTGTGTTTGTTTATCAGTGTTTGGCATTCAGGGATGTCAGCCCACAGGCCCCTGTTCACTTCCTGGTTATTCCGAGGGTCCCTATTCCCAGATTAAGTGAAGCCACAGATGAGGATGCAGAGGTAAATCACACACCCAAAACGATTCATTTCAAGAGCAGCTTTTATTGACCAGCCTGCTCACATGCACTGAAAGTCCCGTCTTCAGCTCTCTTTTCATTCGACTTCAGCTCTTGGGGCATTTGTTGGTTGTTGCCAAAAATGTGGCAAAGCAAGAATCTCTGGATGAAGGATACAGAGTGGGTGAGTTACAGAAATGGGCTTTATAGTATGTGGAAAAATACATGCGAATAGAATTCTGAGAATCTTTTTGTCCCCTGCAGTGATCAACGACGGGAAGCACGGCGCTCAGTCAGTTTACCATCTTCACATCCACGTCCTGGGAGGGAGACAGATGGCCTGGCCACCAGGATGAGGCTTTCTGGAGTCTTTCACGTTCAACTCTACGAGCACAACCTCATGCCGTCATTAAAGAAGTTCTCCAATGCAACATCGCGATCGTTGATTTTGAAAACGATGAGGAATTAATTTAAAGAAATGTGGATATTATGTTCAATGTGGCTGCAAATAAAGATGGAAAAATGAGAATTCAGCTGACTTCATTAATCTGACATCTAGGATCTGCAGTAAGGGAACAGAAGATGATACAGGTTATACCTCTACTTGTTTCAAAATACAATGAGAAGCTGAATCTAGACACCAATAGTTAAAGAATATCAGGAAATTTTTATTAGTTAAACTGATTTAAATTTTATTTTAATGCAAGATGTTCCACTGTACAAATATATATTTATATGTATAAGAAATGTATATATATAAATTAAGCAAACTGAATTTATACACCCCAACATTTATACACACCCAACTGTAAATGTATACCAAATATATATCAAATGAGTTGAAGCATTAAGAATAGTTGGAATACTTTTTATCTAGATAGTTACATTACAAATGTTTAAAGTCTGTATATAAAAAACGGCACAGAGAAAACTGGTGTGTAGTTTTTGTAATATATATAAATATATATTATTTGGTGTTGCCTTATATATGTGTATATATATATATATATATATGTATATATATATATATATACGTGTATATATATATATATATATATATGTATATATATATATATATATATATATATATATATATATGTATATACATTTGTGTGCCTTAAAACTGTTTTCTCTGTGCCGTTTCTATTGTACCCTCGAGTACCCTCGAGCAAGGCAGGTACGAAGGTGGTTGAACTTTATATTTACATTACGACCAGACTATCAGACGACAAAAGGGACGACACGTAACGTAATGTAAAGTAAAGTATTGGCCAACGTAAGTTGTAAGTAGAAATCATGCTTTCACTTTGATATTTCTTTGCATTTTTTTTCTTTTTTATCAAGACGTAAAAGAGTAGCAGAATAATTAGGAGTTGTTTAAGAAAAGGTTGACTAAGTAAAATGTGCAAATATCTCAGTTCATTTAAAGGTTAGGTTGAAAAAGTTACACAACTTTTGTTGAACTGTTGAAAAACTGTTTGTTTGGTTCAAAGTCTCATTTGTCTCTTGAACCTGAGAGAATTTGACATTTTCTACATACAATAATACCGTAGTCAGGTCTGGTCAAGCATGCGTGATAATGACATGTCTTAGTGGGTCAATCAGGCGTGATATAAGTCTAAATACAGTCTACACACACACACCTGCAGGAGCAGTAACATTTGTTAAGCTTTAGTAACAAGTTTTTTGGTGTATTTCTAATTGGTCCACTGAGTCCCATTAATTCGCCTAAAGCTTAAAAGACTTTTTCAAACTAAGAGGATTGCGAAAGCGGTTAAAGTTCTGGGCGTGAGAGCAGGCAAGTTGGCATGTGGTTAAGCGAGTTCTCCAGAGGCTGATGTTCTCTACAGGGAGCAACAGACCGGCGCTGGGCAAAGGTCGATCGGCGTCTCCCCTGCACCTGACTGCGGCTGTACGTCAGCTCGTTCCCAGAGGTAAGGGATCTATTTTAAGATATTCTTTTGATGCTAAGGGTGAATTTAGTTGCAATATGTTTCTACCCCAGAGTAGCATATCCTAACTAAGTGTCTTGTGTGGGGGATGATGGCATGGTGGAGGCATTTTCTGCTTCAAATTATCATTTGGGCTGCATGCTCTGCATGACTAGTAGATGGAAATACTTGACTCCTATAGGACTTTCTACCACTGATTTCCTTCAAAAGCAACGTCTGCTATAAGAAATAAGTTGTGCTTGCATTTTTGGCTGTAAATTCAAACAATACCCTGTGGCACGTGGCCTTTGCCTGTACTGCATGCTGTTGCATGTGACATTGTGAGCTTCCACTCATGGTCCCTAATGCTGTTCCACACATCAGATCAGATTGACTCATTAGATTTTGCTCAAATCCAAGCAAAGCCAGGCAATAATGTGCAATTTCTTCTAATACAATTGACGTTGGTTTGTTACTTTGTGTGATTATATGCTTCAAAGAGTGTGAAAGCATCTGAATGCTTTAATAGTTTCTGGAACTACGTGTGGCACACAGTTTAAACATTTAGCGATAGCGGTCATTGGCTCTGACCTGTTTGTCCGTCTTGCGTAAATGACCAGAGATGTGATGTTTCATAACCAGAACAAGTAACTTCTTGTGCTTATTTGATGTTTTTTTTAGTTATTCCAGAAAATAGGAGATAAGCTTCCAAGAGAACTCCATTCAGAGCAACAGTGTTGCAGTCATGGATGTTAAAGCTGAGAGGTATGAAAATGTCCCAAAGCAAAGCAAAGCAGAACATCTCCACCACAGTGGAGATTGGATCCATTTCTACTACGAAACTAACAATGTATGTCTGCAGCATCTCTATCCATGAGGCATCGGCAGACTTCAAGAACTTGAAGACTCACTCCCCCCTCGTCAACGGAGGAGCCTCCACAGCCGAGCTCTGTGAAACATCTGAGCTGGAGGAAGCCGCTGAAGGACCTTCACTGGGTAAGAGCGTTAGGTGGGAGCAACTAATCAGATGTGGAAAAAAACGGCTCAAGAGTGAATAAGGGGTGGAAAGACCTGTCAAACTAGTAATTGTTGAGCGCAGTGGTTCTCAACAGCCTGTAAAAACCCGTAAATCACGTTGCTCTGTCAATACACTTGTAGGAAATCCACATGGTTAATCCAGTGATGTCTGCAGTCCTCTCAAAAACCACACTCTCCTTCTTAAACTTGCTTTCTCGGTTCTGCAGGGGTGTCTTTTAAAATTTGACCTGTCATCAATTGTGACTAAATCCAGCTGCCCATGTTGTCCCAACGCAGAAGAGCCCAAGGCAGTTCCCTTGTTGAGGGCGAACGTACCGGCCCCGCTGGCCCCGGCGGACCAGCTATGGAGCACGAGCAGAGACAAGGCAGTCAGGCTGAGGATGGAGGGCTCAGGTCCGGCCTCAGAGACGCCCATGACGGTGCACCAGCTGTTCCTGGAGACGGTGGGAACGCACGGGGATCATCCAGCATTGGTCTCCAAAGAAGGGGGCCAGTGGGTGACGCTGACCTGGAGGCAGTACTACGAGCAGTGCCGGGCAGCCGCCAAAAGCTTCCTCAAGGTTCGTTGGCAAGTTGACCTCCTGTGCAGTTGCATGTTGTTTCGGTTTCTACTGAAAAAAAGGGTTTATTTTGAGTTTAAATATATTTGTTTGAGTTGGAGTGGCTTTCGAAGCAAAATGTACGTCAAGTCTAAAGGAGGCAATGTGCTGCTTTGCCATTCAAGATACATGCTCTTCTGAAAAACAGAAAAGAAAAACAACCACAACTCGTGTGCTCTTTAGTTGGGGCTGGAGCGTTACCACGGTGTCGGGATCCTGGGATTCAACTCCCCCGAATGGTTCATCTCAGACGTCGGCTGCATCTTTGCCGGGTAAGATCACACAGAAGGAACAGAAAGCAAAACCCTGTAGACTTGTAGAGACGCCTGAGCATCGTTTCACATGACAAATAGAGCAATTGTCCTCAGATAAATGCGCAAAAACTTTACTTGCAAATGTACTTTCTGCAGTAGAACAGATACCAAAGTATCATATGAAATGCATTAATGCAAAAGCTGTTTCATGCAATTTATGTTTTTGGGTTCATACGTGTGGTTTTTAATTGGTTGAGAGCTCTTGGGTTAATTAGAGTGCCAGTTTGGCTTTTCAAAGACGTTCACGTTCAACTGAGCTTTTTACCTCTCTATGTCTGTTTCTTAGGGGTCTGGCAACTGGAATTTACACCACCAACTCGCCCGAAGCTTGTCAGTATGTGGCGGCCAACAGTGAGGCCAACGTCCTGGTGGTGGAGAACCAGAAACAGCTGGACAAAGTCCTGCAGGTCCGGAGCATCACATGAGTGCTGTAATAATTATTTTAAAGGTCATATTGCTTTTGTTTAACATGTACTTCTATGACAGGTGAAAGATCATCTACCTCACCTGAAAGCCATTGTCCAGTATAAAGGTGAACTGCAGCAGAAGGAACCATTCCTGTACACGGTACGTTCTCTCAGGTAACATAATGACTAAAAAGAAAAGTCACATGGTTGTAGAAATTCCTGTTGTGGAGAACAAGAATTGTAAATCTAATAATTAATGTAACTGATATCAAATGTATTAAACTTCACAACATCAGATGGGGTTCAGTTCAGTCTGGGTTGAGATGCACTTTGTCAAACATCGTCTCTTTACTCGTGTAGTGGGCGGAGTTCATGAAGCTGGGAGAGGAAGTGCCCGACGAGCAGCTGAATGCCGTGATTGACAGTCTCCGTGCCAACGAGTGCTGTACTCTTATATTTACCTCTGGAACCACTGGCAACCCCAAAGGATGCATGTTGAGCCACGACAACGTGAGATATCCAGACAACATACTTTCCTTTATATTAGCTTGCATCATTTTTATGTATGATTTCTTCTTTGGCTCAATTCTTCGAGAAGGAATAGATATTTGACAAAAAATACACACCGTGTTCAAAAGAGGCAGGTTTAAATTTAAGTTTATTTTCTTCTTTTCATTAGTTTTTTTACTGCACATTTTCATTGATATTTGGATTATTGATGTTTCCTTAAACCAGAATTTTAGAAGCAATACGAGCATTTTAACAAGATAAAATAGTGTTATTGTAAATGAAAAAACAGAAGAGGACCCAACATAGAGCCATGGGGAGCTCCTCAAACCACTACAACATATAAAGAAGAATATGAGTAAAATGAAATAACATACTGCTGTCTCCTCTCTGTTACGCAGCTGACGTGGACGGTCCACAGGGCGGCTTCAATGCTCACCTTGAAGCCCGCTGAGGACGTGATGGTCAGCTACCTGCCGCTCAGCCATGTGGCGGCCCAGCTGGTCGACATGTGGATCGGTGTTTATTTTGCCATGACCACCTACTTTGCAGAGCCAGACGCCCTGAAGGTAATGATGCCAACTGTTGGCACACACATGATTATCATTAGTGATGATTCACTATCTTTACTTTAATAATTTCTCCAGGGCTCGTTGGTGAACACGCTGAAAGAGGCTCGTCCGACTTGTTTCGTGGGGGTTCCTCGGGTGTGGGAGAAGATGCAGGAGAAGATGCAAGCTGTCGGTGCAAAGTCCTCTTCAACGAGGAGGAGAGTGGCGGGCTGGGCCAAGTCTATTGGGCTCCGATACAACTACAGTGTCATGAGCGGGTGAGGGAGCGGCAAAGATCATTTGCCAGAACTCGATGGGAATGACGGTAGCCCTGCATGCTTTTGTATAAAATTCCATTCTGTACATAGTTATTTATTTCTCGGGTTACGTTGGTAACACAATGGGTTTAAATTTGACTTTATCTTTTTGGTCTACAGGAAGAAACAGGTGCCCTGGGGTTTCACGTTGGCCAATAATCTGGTCTTTAAGAAGGTCCGTGTTGCGCTGGGCTTAGATCGCTGCAAGTTGTGCTTCACAGGCGCCGCCCCCATCACCAAAGACACAATGGACTTCTTCATGAGCCTGAACATCCCTTTGCTGGAGCTGTACGGCATGAGTGAAAGCTCCTGCCCACACACCATCTCCACCGACACCCATTACAAAATCACAAGGTCAGCAGCAAAGCGTTGTGGGACATGTCACGTGGTTAAAATGGTTGCTGATATGGAAATGAGAAGTTAGTAATCTCCCCTCCAATGAGTTTTCTTTAAAATAGCGCAAAAGACAACCGGGGATTCTCTCGTCTTTAAATCCACATCCATCTCCACTGTCTGCAGACCTTTAGCTCTGACTTGTCACAACAACACCGACAGTTAATCTCCCGCATGACTCATACATATTTGGGATAAGTGTGTCTTTGTTTTGTTTGTAAAGCACGTCGGGCTGCACCTTCACTAAAGTCCTTGGAGGGTTACTGTTATTATCATAGTTCGACTAACATTATAAGTCTGCTGTTGTCTTCCAATCTCATACGAAATCCTCCCCTTCCTCCATCGGCACTAAACCTTAAAGCAGAGGCTAAACAGCTCTTGGTCAGGTCGGGTCTCAATCTTATGTTTTGTCCCTCCAGCTGTGGAAAAGTGATGCCAGGCTGCAAGACGAAGCTGGAGAACCCGGATGAGGACGGGAGTGGAGAGATATGTATGTGGGGCCGGCACGTCTTCATGGGCTACCTGGACATGCCGGAATTAACAGCCCAGGCCATCGACCAGGACGGCTGGCTGCACTCTGGAGATGTGGGACGACACGACCAGAACGACTTCCTGTTCATCACAGGAAGGATCAAGGGTAGGCCGTTGTCCCTGTGGCCTGGGCCCTTGATCCACATCTTAAATGTGCATGAAGTTGTTAAAACAGGTCCTTCACCAGCTACAACATCAAAATGCTGCTTCAGTGTTAACATTCATCTCATAAGGTCATACACATTTCTGCAGAAAAAATGCTTTTTATTCTTTTGGTACATTTTGATGAATATTATTCTTTACTTTTATGTCATAAAGATTTTAAATTCAGAACTTAAATTGATAAAAGTATTGTTTATTTTTGGCAATTTCACTTGAATGAGAGATCTGAGCACTTTTTAATGAACAAAAATAAAAATGGTTAGTGCCAAGTGCGCTTTTTAGTTCCTTTCAGTTTGAATTGTAGTCATAGGGAGTGGGGATGGGAACACAATGTTTAGTCGTGTTCAGTTATAATGTTTTCTATAACCTCCGTTATAATGTTTCTTCCACAGAGCTGATCATCACTGCAGGAGGAGAGAACGTCCCCCCCGTGCCCATCGAGGACTCGCTGAAGTCCGAGCTGCCCATCGTCAGCAACGCCATGTTGGTCGGAGACAAGCTGAAGTTCCTCTCCATGCTCCTCACGCTCAAAGTAACCGGGCCTCCGTCCCGACCCGGTCACACGTCCGAGTAAGTCCAAACAAACCCCACGATCACCCGTCTCTGTTTCCGCAGTGCGTGGTGGACGACGCGGGGGAGCCCACGGACCAGCTGAGTCCCGAGGCGCTGGCCTTCTGCCGGCAGCACGACGTCACGGCCACCAAGGTGTCCGAGATCATCGCCAGCAAGGAGCCGGCGGTCTACACGGCCATTCAGGAAGGCGTGGAGCGCGCCAACGCCAGAGCGACGTCCAACGCCCAGAAGATCCAAAAGTGGGTGATTCTGGAGCGAGACTTCTCCATCGGTGGGGGCGAACTGGGTGAGTTACTGCGCCGTGCTTCATTGTTTTGGGGCGTTTCATCTCTCGCTCTGAGATATTTTTTTAAGCTCCAGTAGGTCAAATGTCACCGCGTGGGCGTCGCTGAGCCGAGACAAAAAGCTTGAGATGTTCATTTATTCAACGTGCCTCTTCTTTTTTTCTGTCCATGCAGGACCGACCATGAAACTGAGGAGGCCCATTGTGGTGAAGATGTACCAGGAGAAAATAAATGAACTGTATGCAGTGAACACGGCAGCACAGTAGATTCTACATCGCAGAGACGAGACAATACTCACGTTGTGCCCAGACGTCACCTTGAGAAATGTATGAAATCTATTTTCACCTGAATGTTAAAACTGCAAAAAAGGTTTGAATTATGTTGTATTTAAGAGAATGTATGCTTGTACTTTGTTGTTTGTTTCAAGTCAGTATTTAAACCGTTGAATGTACATTTTAATCAAGTACGTTTTTTTCTCCCTTATCCCAAAATCAAAAATGTACCTCAGAAGGTTTCACGTTCTGTACAGATACAACGTCCTCTGTCCCTGGACCCGTACATGGAGACGGGGAAAATCTCCCTTCCAATAAAAACCGTAACAGAAAGCAACAGAGAGCGGATCCCATTCCAAGGATGGACAGAAGAGCCTGCAAGAGGAATCCCTCGGGTCCTGGTCAGCACACCAGTACATATTTTTGAAGCAGAAATACCTTTTTAAAGATGTTACAGCATTCCTCAAGAGATGTTATTTGAGATTGGGTGGAGGTTGACTTTGTAATAATTGAGCTCAATCACAAGGACACATTCGTTGCTGTACAGTTGCTGTAATTAAAGAGCCCGTTTTGGACGTGCTGTAGATGTGATGCTGCCATCGTGTGGATGAAATTGTGCACTAAGTGGTCCCCAGTGACAGAAGACCAACACCAACATAAATAAATGCTGACAGCCAGACGGATTAAACAGTTTGAAGAAAGAGTCTGTGAGTGACGTGTGATATTTACGTCCAACCCTCTTCGAGGCGGCTTTGTCCATCAGATCAACGTGCTTTCTGTGTCAAAAGTGCCAAAATCCTGCGCAACTCCAAACACAAATCTAAGGTCAGACGGTTCACGTTTCACCTGCTGCTGCGACGCGGGCTCAGTGGTGTCATGATCCCTCACTACTAGATACCCAACTTCATTTCCTGATGTGATTGTGGGTTGTAATCTTCAAGTTCTGCTCTGAGACGGAGAGTCAGATCCGACGCTACGCGGCCTCACTGTGAGGCTAGAACATCTTCTCCAAAGTATCAAAGCAGACAACTTTTATGAGCTTTAAAGGGTGAACAGACGAGCACAGTGTCATTTGACCGGGTCCACGTGAGGACCCTAGACGATTCCGCCCACGGTTATAGAGAGAAAGTTGTGCAATTCAACACTTCACACACAAGTTGGGTTTTTTTTTCAGTGTTTTTAGGGGTATCAGGTCCCTATTCCCTGAATAAGTGAGGTCAAAGATGAAGATACTCAGGTGTATCTGTACATCTGTTTTCTTATAGTATACGTATATAGTATAAGATAATTACTTTTTAAAAAACATACAGGTTTTTAAATATAACAGGTGGAATTGGTTATCAAAATTAACCATAACCCTAACCCATTACTAATAATTAGTAAAAAAGTTAAATAAAATGAGAAAACCATTCAATGTCCAACAGAATAAAAGTTTAAAACACTGATACACATACAAGGAGTATTACATGTAGGTGGAATATACTTTGTATTTGGATAGTAATACTGTTATATATTTGGACTTTTTTGAGATACACTTTATATTGTGCTCTACAGAAGTATTTTTCCAAATAAACAAAACTAAAAATCCATATTTGAGAGACGCTGGTTTTAAGGCAAACAATATAATAAGAACATATTACCTGCAGCACCTCTCCGTATTATCTATGCATGTAGTCTAGTTTCATTCCACCCTTTTTTGCATTGCTGTCACAAATACCCCAAATACAAGCAGCGGGGGTCAGAGTCTAGACAGATGTGGTGTGACTGGGTGGTATGATTTAGTGACATTGGTGCCCTTGTGCAAGGTGAGGGGGGTATTGAACTTTCCTCTAGATTTGCTTTTTACCCCGGCTATCAGACAAAAGAGGAAACGATGGCTCGTAACAAGTATTGATCATGGCGAGTCATGGACTCTTACTGATTTATGTTGTAGTTGCACAACTTTGTAGAACTGCTGAAAAACTGATTTTATGGTTCAAAGTTTAATTTCCCCTCATGACCCTGAGAGAAGTTATTTAGTTTGGTCGTTGGCCTCGACGGGTCTGGTCATGCATATCTGATATTGACGTGTCATCATGAGTAGATGAGGGTTGTTATAAGTCTAAAGACCCCCCCCCCCCACTCCGACCCCCCCCCATCCAATCCCACACCACCCTCCAGCATTTGCCTGCAGGTATCATTAATAGAAGCAAAGCAGATTTCTACCAGTGGCCGGACGCGTCTGTGTCCATGTCTTCGTCCCCTCGAGGAGCAGCAAACTGATGTCAAGCCTGTCGGTGGAACTTTAACTGGTCCACTTGGCCTCAGCAGCAGTTATTCAGAGGGTTGCAAAAGTCTTTGGAGCTCTGGACGCGAGGTGTGAGTGCATGGAAATTGGCGTGCATTTGCGCAAAGTTACCAGTAGGTTGATATTTTCTAAAAGAAGCAATAGAGAATAAACACTAGAGCACCTGAGCCGTGCAAAGGTTAATCCGCTTTTGTCCTGCACCTGACGACGACTCTCAATCTGCTGCGTCGCAGGAGAAGGTAGGAAAAACTTTCAATTTCAATTTTTGACGTTGCATTGTGTGAAAAATGAGTTATGTTGTGATGGATTGCCATTGTGACCGCATGAGGATGAAGCGCTTACATATCTTTTATTACCAACACTTTGTAGCTCTTTTCTTCTTTAGCTGATTGTTATTAAGTAAGCAGAAGGTAATAAATTCATTTCACAATTAAACGTTATCACAATTGTGGTTTACATCACGCTGCTGTAATATAACATTTATTTGCCGCCCGGGGTCCTTACATACTGGGACTAAACATCTGGAAACAATCTGGGCTTTCAGTTATCTCTTATAAAGATTTAACAAAAACTTTTCTTCAAATAGAAATCCTTTTGGGAAATGTGCAAATCCAAGGCATTAGCGACACTGTAATCCATCAATATTTGCACAACACAAGTCCTTTGGTTACCACACTGTAGTTTGTAAGTTGTATGAACTTTGGCACGGATATATTTGTAAGTTATAAACTGAGGTCAAACTGAGAGTCTGCTGGATTGACAGATCTTAATCAAATGCTGTTTTATGACAAGGTACTTTTACTTGAGTATTTATTACGTTACTGCTCTACTGGCATATAATATATTATATTATTATAATATATTGCCTTTTACTCCACTACATTTATCTGACAACTGGAGTTTTTAGTTATTTTACAGATTAAGAATGTACAATAATAGTCTATTAATGTTTATTGAGGACTGAGTGGACTGTAGATATACAGTAAATTCAATAATTATACATAACAGAACTGAATAAAGGCACAGCTGTCTTTAGGAGCACATTTAATTTAATCCTAGCTTGAATGAACTTGCAATGACTGAGATGCAGTGAAATGAGAGCATGCAGATGCCCTCCTTCTGGCACAATATTTGGAGTTTCAACATTTAGCGACGGCAGTCATTGGCTCTGACCTGTTGCAATCACTTTATCAGTCGTGTATAAATGACCAGAGCGGTGCCGTTTCATAACTGGAACTCCAATGTGCTCGGAGGATATCTGGAGTGTTTCAATGCTGATTGTACCTTGTGCTTATCTGATACAGTTTACTTTGCAAGTTCCAGAAAATAGGAGATGAGCGTCCAAGAGAAGTCGATTCAGAGCAATGGTGTTGCAGTCATGGATGGTAAAGCTGAGAGGTATGCAAATGTCCCAAAGGGGGAAAACACATCTCCACCACAGTGTAGATTAGATCCATTTCTACCACGGAACTAACAACTATGTTTGTCCGCAGCATCTCTATCCAGAAGGCACCGCCAGACTGCAAGAACTTGAAGACTCACTCCCCCCTGGTCAACGGAGGAGCCTCCACAGCCGAGTTCTGTGAAACATCTGAGCTGGAGGAAGCCGCTGAGGGACCTTCACTGGGTAAGAGCGTTATGAGACAGCAGCTAATCCGATGGGAAAGAACCCGGCTCAAGAGGGAAAGAGGTGGAACGACGATTTAAGAAGACAATAAATGGCAATAACAGAAACATAAACCAAGATAAATTAGAGAGGTTTCTGCCTCACACATGTGTAATTTACAGCTAAAAAAAATTCAAATATTAAAATCCTAGAAGCTGCCATCACGCTTAAGGTAAGCAAACACCTTTTGAAACATATTTAAATCCTGTGAAAAAAGGTCATAAATAGACATTACGTGACTGCTGTAGAAGCAGCTGCACTAAGGACGATGTTTGGGAGGCAGGATTGTCATCCAACACAACATGGCGTAATCTTTCCACCCTTCAACTGGAATCAGAGAACGTCCCTTAAATAGCATTATGTACTTGTTATTGCAACGGGGTCTTTGTTTTTTTGTAGGTTTTAAAGTCTGAGATTAAATGTTTCACTGTATCAAATGATTCACTGAGATCTTTCAATTTTGTGACCTTTTACGAAAATAGTTGTGTGAAACCAAAATTTAGAAATTAGAACCAAGTGTAATTTATGTGTCAACGTGTTGCATGATTCAGGACTTTAGGAGGAAGTTGATAATGAGATAAAAAAAAACACATTTTTGCAGAATAGGGGACAGAGATTTTGCAAAAAGAAGTAAAAAAAAAAAAAAGCGATCAACACCATCCTATTGTTGGTTTGTTTCAAGAGTGCACGATGAAAAAAATACAATTAAGAAAATAAATTACATAATTTTAGCAACAAAAACAAATGATTGTGTCTGTGCTTTTGATCCTCTCGCCAAACTTCCTCAAACCAAACCGGATCGGCAGGTATGAATTGTCATTTCTGGGCACAGGTGTCATTACACCCCGCCCACATTCAGAGCACACCTTTAACCCGCGTTGGAAGAACCACTCAGGTGTTCCTCCAGTGAGTGAGTTGCTTCACTCGGTTCGACGGCGCTGTCTGCTAGAGCGCGACTTGTTGTCAATGGCGACTAAATCCAGCTGCCCATGTTGTCCCAACGCAGAAGAGCCCAAGGCAGTTCCCTTGTTGAGGGCGAACGGACCGGCCCTGCTGGCCCCGGCGGACCAGCTATGGAGCACGAGCAGAGACAAGGCAGTCAGGCTGAGGATGGAGGGCTCGGGTCCGGCCTCAGAGACGCCCATGACGGTGCACCAGCTGTTCCTGGAGACGGTGGAAACGCACGGGGATCATCCAGCCTTGGTCTCCAAAGAAGGGGGCCAGTGGGTGACGCTGACCTGGAGGCAGTACTACGAGCAGTGCCGGGCAGCCGCCAAAAGCTTCCTCAAGGTTCGTTGGCAAGTTGACCTCCTGTGCAGTGGCATGTTGTTTTGGTTTGTGCTGAAAAAAGGGTTTATTTTGTCAGGGTTTTATGATGCGGATCAGCATTCCCCTAAAACTAGGGCACAGAGTACAGAAACATGCTCTATATTCTAATATCAATATGAACACCCACAAAGCTGAAACCCAGTACTTTAAAATTTACGGTGCGCTGAAGTACAACAAATAAACACTCCACTAGAGTGCAGCTCATGTTCTGCCTGGACTGTTTTCAATATACTTACATATAATTTGTAACCTAAACTAGTCCAGCAGAAGGATTTGCTTTGTAGGTTAATCCTGTTTCAGGCAGAAATTCCGGTTTTGGAAACAAAACCTGGGAATTTCCTGCCTGCCTCACTAAATAATCTGTGGGGTGAGATCGGGCTGATCCCAATCAACACGTCGGCGTGTAGAGTTCACAGTTTCTGTTACATCTCCTGTTACGTGGACATTTAAAGCTGAAACTCAAGCTTAACTCATATTAACTCTTTAGTACAGCGTGCTGCAGCGTAAAAATAAGTAGAGCAAAATAAACATTCCACTATAGTAGATCTTGTTATATATATATACATATATAGTATATCCCGTGTTCTGCCTGCACTGTTTTCTAATATCCAGCATGTTGTAATCTACTAGTTCAGCGGAAGTATTTGACGTGCATTATGGTACAGGAATAACAGGCTAAACAACAAAGTAAATTGTTTTTCTCAGAATTCTCAGAATTCTCAGAATTTCCTCCCTTTCTCACTGAATTATCTGTGGCGTGGGATCAGAGAACAGAAACTTGGGTGTATGAAGTTCACAGCTTGTGTTACATCTCCTGTTACATGGACTTAATACATTGTGTCCCATGAGGTGGTTCCATTTGAAACAAGATGTACGGTTAAGTGTAACTTTATTTCATGAAAGATAAAGTAAAAAAGAACCACAACTCCTGTGCTCTTCAGTTGGGGCTGGAGCGTTACCACGGCGTCGGGATCCTGGGATTCAACTCCCCCGAATGGTTCATCTCAGACGTCGGCTGCATCTTTGCCGGGTAAGATCACACAGAAGCAACAGAAAGCAAAACCCTGTGGACTTGTAGAGACGCCTGAGCATCGTTTCACATGACAATACATATTTATCACTCTACGGGCTAATCTCAAAGTAAATCTCTGTGCCCCCATCCGAAGCTGGCAAGGCCGTATCAGTTAACAAAGTTAAGCCAGTAATGTGGGTGTTAAACCTTTAGCCCGTAAGTTGTTGTGTAGTGTGTATTTAACTCGCCTTTTTGTTTCATTGAAAATCCCTCATTTTGTACTGAACAGATAAATCAAACATTAACTTATTAACTTACTAATTCTTATGGGTCTCTCTAAAAAAACTTGTGCTAAATCTATTGAGACAAACTGTAGTCAGAAGAGCAAAATCCACATTAAATCATGCAGGGGAACATTCACATTCCACTGAGCTTTTTACCTCTCTATGTCTGTTTCTTAGGGGTCTGGCAACTGGAATTTACACCACCAACTCGCCCGAAGCTTGTCAGTATGTGGCGGCCAACAGTGAGGCCAACGTCCTGGTGGTGGAGAACCAGAAACAGCTGGACAAAGTCCTGCAGGTCCGGAGCATCACATGAGTGCTGTAATAACTATTTTAAAGGTCAAATGGCTTTTGTTTAATATGTACTTCTATGACAGGTGAAAGATCATCTACCTCACCTGAAAGCCATTGTCCAGTATAAAGGCGAACTGCAGCAGAAGGAACCATTCCTGTACACGGTACGTTCTCTCAGGTGACATGATGACTAAAAAGAAAAGTCACATGTTTGTAGAAATTCCTATTGTGGAGAACAAGAATGCACTTTGTCAAACATCGTCTGTTTACTCGTGTAGTGGGCGGAGTTCATGAAGCTGGGAGAGGAAGTGCCCGACGAGCAGCTGAATGCCGTGATTGACAGTCTCCGTGCCAACGAGTGCTGTACTCTTATATACACCTCTGGAACCACTGGCAACTCCAAAGGATGCATGTTGAGCCACGACAACGTGAGATATCCAGACAACATACTCCTTTTCTCAGCCTCATTGTTCTGACATTTATACACCATTCCTTACTCAATTGACAATTGTTTTTATTATTAATTAATCTGATAATTAATTGATTGAAGAAAAATAAAATAAATAATTATGCTAAAATAAATAGTTATGGTCACACAAGGTAGGCCAGAACCAATCATATATATATATATTATATACACATACATTAATAAACATATTAAAGCTGAATAAAGGAAGTTGGTGGTTAGTAGTTTATTTTGTATTACCCTTTTGTCATATTTAATATTGAGATTTCTGTACCAGAATTTGGGGAGATAAAGTACACTACAACAGAATCAAATAAAGTTTCTCTTTACGGAAATTAAAAGAAGACCCAACATAGAGACCTGGGGAACTCCAAAAACCACTATAAGTATGCAAAGGCAACAAATATGTTAGCATATGGTAGCAACCAGACCAGGAAACTTCCTACTAACTCCAATGTTTCCCGCCTCCCTCAAGTGGAGTTTTTTCCAATCCAAGACTTATTGATCCAACTGCACCACCACTGGAACAGTGGCTGTAAAGACAAAACCTCAAACAACTGAACTCTACTGCTAAAGGTCTCAACCAGAGTTCCTTAAGCTACTGATTACACTCTGTGTTAACAGAACATGTGTTTGACGCCTTGTTTTGCGACATGCAGCTGACATGGACGGTCCGCACGGCCTCTTCGATGCTCACCTTGAAGCCCGCTGAGGAGGTGCTGGTCAGTTACCTGCCGCTCAGCCACGTGGCGGCTCAGCTGGTTGACATGTGGTTGTGTGTTTCTTTTGCCATGACCACCTACTTTGCAGATCCAGACGCCCTCAAGGTAAGAATGCCTACTGTTGTATTAAAAAAAAATAGTTCTTATTAATGTTTTACTATTTTTACTCTAATCGGCCATTGTTCCATTGCCATCCAGGGCTCGTTGGTGAACACGCTGAAAGAGGCTCGTCCGACTTGTTTCCTGGGGGTTCCTCGGGTGTGGGAGAAGATGCAGGACAGTATGAAAGCCATCGGTGCCAAGGCGTCCCCATTGAGGCGGACGGTGGCGCTCTGGGCCAAGTCCAAAGGGCTGCAGTACAACTACAGTGTCATGAACGGGTGAGAGAGCGGCAAAGAGCGAGTTTTACATGTTAATAAAGTCTGTCATCGCTGTTCTTGGTTCCAAACAAATCTTAACTTCAAACAAACGGTGGGTGTAATTCTGACTTTTTTGGGGTTTACAGGGAGAATGTGGTGCCCTGGGGCTTCATGTTGGCCAACAATCTGGTGTTCAAGAAGGTCCGCGCTGCGCTGGGATTAGACCGCTGCAAGTTGTGCTTCACAGGCGCCGCCCCCATAACCAAAGACACTCTGGAGTTCTTCATGAGCCTGAACATGCCTTTGCTGGAGCTGTACGGCATGAGTGAAAGCTCCGGCCCACACACCATCTCCACCGACACCCATTACCAAATCGCAAGGTCAGCAGCAAAGCGTGAAGGGAAGGGAGGGGAGGGAAGGCAGTCCTGGGGGACATCAGTGGGACATGTTTCCCTCAGCGTCAAGGGCAGAGATTATTCTGCAGCTGAGCCGGGACGATGATAAAAGGATCTCTGCCTAATAACCTTCATTTCATGTGGCGTTTAACACCAGTTTGTGATGTTTGCCCGCTGCGATGTGCAACATCTTCTTCTAGTATTTAGGATATGTGCGTCTCAGTTCAAAGCACGCTGCGCTGGCGTAGAGATGAAGAACAACTCTTTCCCGAGGTCGGGTCTCAATCTTATGTTTTGTCCCTCCAGCTGTGGAAAAGTGATGCCGGGCAGCAGGACGAAGCTGGAGAACCCGGATGAGGACGGGAGTGGAGAGATATGTATGTGGGGCCGGCACCTCTTCATGGGCTACCTGGACATGCCGGAAAAAACAGAAGAGGCGCTCGACCAGGACGGCTGGCTGCACTCTGGAGATGTGGGACGACACGACCAGAACGACTTCCTGTTCATCACAGGAAGGATCAAAGGTAGGCTGTTGTCCCTGTGGAGGGGCCTGAGCACCTATGAAGTTGTTAAAACTTTCCCTTTACCAGCTACAATAGTAAATTGTAACAATCGTACAAAATCATATATTTTAGTTATTCTTTACTTTTACCTAAAAGGTTTTGATTACATGGCTTTCATTTCTAATAGATTATTGTTGTAAAGATCAGTCAGAAACTGCAATGGTCATTGTGTTCAGTTCTAATGCTGGACTCTGAACGTTGTCAAACAGGCGGCATTCTTCATACCAAAGCTAAGTTCTATTTCTTCCACAGAGCTGATCATCACTGCAGGAGGAGAGAACGTCCCCCCCGTGCCCATCGAGGACTCGCTGAAGTCCGAGCTGCCCATCGTCAGCAACGCCATGTTGGTCGGAGACAAGCTGAAGTTCCTCTCCATGCTCCTCACGCTCAAAGTAACCGGGCCTCCATCCCGACCCGGTCACACGTCCGAATAAGTCCAAACAAACCCCACGATCACCCGTCTCTGTTTCCGCAGTGCGTGGTGGACGACGCGGGGGAGCCCACGGACCAGCTGAGTCCCGAGGCGCTGGCCTTCTGCCGGCAGCACGACGTCACGGCCACCAAGGTGTCCGAGATCATCGCCAGCAAGGAGCCGGCGGTCTACACGGCCATTCAGGAAGGCGTGGAGCGCGCCAACGCCAGAGCGACGTCCAACGCCCAGAAGATCCAGAAGTGGGTGATTCTGGAGCGAGACTTCTCCATCGGTGGGGGCGAACTGGGTGAGTTAAAATGAAAATTAGAGCAAACACGCCAGTGGTGAGGTAATATCGTCAGCACTGCTCTGATCTAGTTGAGTCGCCTTTCCATCACGTGAATTTTGGAATTCGGACCTTGTGACCGTGCTGCGTGCCAGACAACATTCCAGTGGCGTCGGTCGCCCTCGGACATATTTTGTAAGCTTCGTCAGCGCGTGGGCGTCGCTGAGCCGAGACCAAAGCTTGAGATTTTCATTTATTCAACGTGCCTCTTCATTTTTTTCTGTCCATGCAGGACCGACCATGAAACTGAGGAGGCCCATTGTGGTGAAGATGTACCAGGAGAAAATAAATGAACTGTATGCAGTGAACACGGCAGCACAGTAGATTCTACATCGCAGAGACTGTATAATGTACAAATCTCTTTTCACCTGAATGTTAAAACTGCAAAAGAGGTTTGAATGATGTTGTATTTAATGGAACAGATGTTTCTGCTAGGTGTCAATATGCGCCGATTGTCTGTTTCAGGTCGATATTTAAGCTGTCGCGTGTTCCTAAGCTGTCACAGAAGCTGAGCACGTTTTGTAAATAAATTATCCTCACCAGAGCCAAATCGTGCCATTTCCTCGTGGCACACAGGTACATTGTATGCTGCCACACCGGAAAAGACGCCGGATGGTGTCAGTCATCATTTTTATAGTTTATGAAGGAACTCTTGTGAAACCACTGTCTTCTTTGTTTGTTCTGTTGTTTTTGTTGTAAGAAACAACAGCTGGTCGGTCTCAAGCTTTGAGATGATCCTCATGCATGGAAACAGCAGACATGACCTCTGAGGACTGGAACTGTTAATAAAAGAGATGAGAATCCAATCCAATCACGTGCAATAAAGTGTGAATTGTAAAGCATCCCTTTAAATTGTTGCTTCTCCATGTACAGTTTGACAAATAGTGAACTGTTTTTATGTGATGAATGCGCATGATTATCAATAAAGTGATTAACAAAGTTTCATTCAAACATTTTTTATATATTTATGTTCATATTTTCGAAGTGCAGTGTACACCTAAATGATCTTAACTAATGCTATGATGCATTTAAATACGGGACAGTACGGTGCAAAAGAAGACAGCAAATCTTTACATTTAACTAATAAACTATCAAGACGTATGGCTAAATATGAGGGAGGATTTAAAAGATTACCATTACCACATCATTTTAATTTTCCTTACATTTGGGTTTATTAAGTAACCAATGAAAAATATGGAATAATCAAATGCTGGAAAATGATGTTAATGTTAATACTTGACACTAAATGCTTGAATTTGTGAGAACCTCATTGCCCAGAAGATCCAGTTAGGGGTGTTGATTTAGAGAGGGGACAGCTGGTGGGATTGTGCAGGTTCACAGAAGGTTTTCATGTGGAGAAGCCACACCGGCTACAGAAAGCATTAGTGAATTGTGAAAGAAATTTAAAACATTTTTTTAAAAAATCCCCATTTTTTGTGTAAGATTAAAGATTACATTTGTGGGGAAGTAGTTGAGTTGGGGGAACAATGTTTAAGATAAAAGTTACGACAGCATTTCCCAGAACTGTCCCAGTAAATGAAAAAAAACATCTGACCATCTCATCCCATCTGAACTATTTGTACATGAGCTGATGGCTGCACGTGACCTCCCACCCAATTCCCTACTAATCTTCAACCTCTAGCACAGTATAAAGCAACTTCTTTCTTCATGATCGTCTAACAACGTTTCCTGCTTGTTAGATGTGAGTGATTCCATCATGCATGTTTGAATTTCTAGTATGAAAAAGGCCCTTCTGCCGGCAAACCAATTGACCCCCACGGACGGACTTGACGCGCTCACGCCATCACTTCAAAGGCAGCGGCTAAAATGTTAACCACGCAGGATCAATAAAGAGACACCGCTGCTCAGCGTCCAAAGAGCTGCACAATCAAAACTAAAAATACTCTTGCGCACCTCTGCAGAAGAAATGATCCTTTATCCGTTTCCTTATTGTACATTTGTTCAGCAGAAGTGATACAGTACGTATGTGGCTATGAACTGCTCTGTGAATACGCTGTGCAGCAGCAGCTGTAACTAAAGAGCACGTCGTGCTGCCCTCGTGAGGATGACATCATGCACTTCACTCCGTTGTGTAAGTGCACCGATGCCTCATGACGCCGGTGACCTCTGATAGTAGGAGCACCAAAGTAAATAAATGGTTGAACAAGAGTAAATAAAGAGACAGACTTGGCTTTATAAGACATTTAAATAGTTATATACATTGAGTAAACTGTTAGTGGGATTATTCAGTGATGGAAACATAACGAATACATTTCATCCCCTTATTTGGTTAACAATAGTTGCATATTTATACATTGAGTAAATAAAGAGCAGCATTGGCATTTATTCAGAGTTGAATTTCTGGTTTCGTAATGAATTTAAGTCCTATAGTGATACTCCTTTTGGCCCACGGTGCTTCTGCATTTCGGTCAGGTGGTCCACAGTGGATCCATCAGAACTGGGACTTTGAAAACAGCGACCGGCTGGTTGACAAGCGCAGTGAGAGTATATAAAAAAATATGGACAGTAGGCAAAAATGTCAAAAGGCCGACGTGTCACACCTATAAAACATGTATAGAAAAATGGCTGGATACCAGAGATTTGTGATTCAATACGTTGTGTGCTCTGGGTGAACAGACTATTTATTAATGCCAGCAGTGACTCCTTCTTTCTCATTTGGTGATGATGGCGACTCCCTTCTTGACCCAGGCGTTGGTGTTGAGCAGAGAGAGCATGAAGCGAGCCACGTCTCCCCGCCCCGCCGCACTGCCGCTGCCGTCGGGCACAAAGTATCCCTCGTGGGTCAGGAACTCTTGAGCTGCAGAGGAGCAGGGGAGCATTACCACAAACGCCATTTCTCAATGTGGAGTTGAGCGCCGGAAGCTCAGGGAAAACGGCACCGCGCCGACGGGTCGTGAGGCGGAAGGGCTGCTTCTACCTGAGGCCGGCAGGTTCTTGAGACCGGGGGGACGAACCACGGTCCAGTTGATGTCCTCGGTCTTCTGCAGAAACTGCTCCATCTCGTGCATGTTGGTGAGAACGCTTCGGATCATCGGCAGCAGAAGGAAGCGGATGAGATAAGGGGACTGCACCCCCGAGTTGGCTGATACAAATAAGAAAAAACAGTGAAATCTCCCTCTTAAATCCCGAATATTTCATGTTTCATTATTGCAACAATCTATGAGAAATCAAATGTCTGAATTACATTAGATTACATTGATACTCTCAGGTGTCCGTTTGCATAAACTAAATTAAATGCTCTTTCAATGGAAACCTTCCATTAAAACAGACTAAAACAGGCGGCTCACAGCTACCACGCCCGAATCCTCATCTGAAAGCCGGCAATCATTTTAAAATGGAAAAACATGAGGAGGTAAATCAAAGTATAGCTGCACAAAAGAAGTAGGTGAGCTCTTCATAATCAAATCACGGAAGAAGCCCCGGGCGGCATCGTCCCGTCTGCACTCACGCTCGGTGTACCAGGAGGTCATGGTGATGATCCTGTTGACTCGGGCCTCCCGCATGGCGCCGACCACGCTGTTCATGGAGCGGCTGTAGCCCGTCACCGGCGAGAAGAAGGAGGGAGGGAAGCCCAGGCAGGACATGACCACATCCTGTCCGCTGAAGTGAGGCTTCAGACTGTCTTCTGAGAAAATGTCGGCTTCCACCACCTGAAAGCAGCCGGCCGGAAGCAATGAGTAACCAAAAATGAGCTTTTCACTTCCAGTCCAGATTACATGCAAGCTCTATTTGGGCCGCGGACCGTCATTTATTTTTGTATTTATTTTAACAAATGATGCATTTTGAATTGCAGCATGTATGATTCGGCCGCAATTAAACATCTACACGGACTTAACTTTGAACACGCAGTGATCCACAGCGGCACAACGAGGAGCTGAAAGCGAGCGGCCCATTACCTTGAGGTTGTCATGATGCACGGAAAGTTTTCCCGGGTTCCTGGCGACGGCGGTGACAGTGTGGCCCTGCTGCAGCGCCTGGTTGACCAGATACTGGCCAGTCTGTCCAGTGGCTCCCAGTACGACAATCTTCATGCTCGGCGTCTGACACGAACACAGAGCTCAGTCAGGGTACAACCTTATCAGTGGATGATGTGTTGAATGCGATGACGCCTCAGACTGCAGAGAAGTCCACTCCCTGTTGTTTCAAGTGTAAAAAAAAGGATTTTAAATGGTGCCATAAAGAAGCTCTGTCCGAGCCATTTGGATGTGTCATCTGATGTGTTTTGCAACAAAAATTTAATGTAACACTGCCTCCTTGTTTCTGCGTAAGCCTCTGATTTAACAGAAACGCTTATTAAAAAAAAACATGTACAAATTAAGTGTATTATTTGACACTGTACAAGCTTTGAATAAGGGTGCAAACATTTCATAAGAATGATGTTGGTTAGAAAGTAAATATGTTTATTGGTATTTTTACACAGCCGCTGATGTGTTCGCTATAACTCTGGTCAAAGCGGAGCCAGATGTTGCACGTGGCTATTTTGCTCTTTTCCTGCCACTTCTTCATCTCGAGGTGTTTCATGTGAATGATGATAGAAGGTTGCAGGTGACGCCAGCACAGAAACAGCCAAGTAGCAAGACATTAAAGGAACAACTGTGCCCATCCACTCCCAAAGAACTCTCCCAGTGCCGCAGTAGATTCTGAAAGCACGCATTCAGAACTCAACAACTCTCCACTAAACCTCATCTAAAAGAAGAGAGCCAGCGGCCTCTGGCGACCACCGCTAAGGAAAATCCATTAAGGAGCGAGAATATGGCCCCTTTCTACGTGGATCTGCACAGACAAGCTGGGACTTAAAAGGGACAAGTAACCTAACTGACTCCGAGCGCATGATTCTGCGTATTGTAACAGTGTCCACGCTGAGGCCACTTTGAGTCACGGTCAGCTGACAAACTACCCGGAAGTGTTGATTTCCTTCCAGCTTCACTCACAAGGCTCATAACCGCTGTACGGAATGACTACTTACTAAAAGAATAATCACATTTACAACACTGTAACCCTGTAAAATACAGATTTTGACTGGTGTAACGTTAGTTTTAAGTAGGTCGTTTACCTAATAAACTGGAAACCGTGTGACTGACCGATCATCTAACAGGGGTGAATCCGTGTTTTTGAGCGACTCAAATACAAACCGATGTCAACCAAAGAGTCGGGCAACATTCGTTTATGAATCTCCATAAACCGTCACACGAGAGGAAAACTCGCCATTGTTAAACGTTACTGACTAGTTAACAAACAAAACAAACCACACGCTGGCTGACTCACTTCCGCCATACGTCACAGATTACGTGACCGTCCAGTCAGGGAGGCGTTCAAGAGCGTCGAGGCACCAATGCGTTCAGGTGTGTTAGTAAAGTTTTTTAGAAGCATTTCAAACGCGTTTTAAATAGTTTTTATGACACTTTCAAGTAAATGTTGAAGCGACTGAAAATCCTTATTCGAAAAACAACATTTTAACGTGAGATTATTACCCAGTCAAGACATACCAATTAGTCTTTTTGCTATTGTGCATTGTATGCTGACTGGTTACACAAATGTTGTTCAGTGACAATTAGTACAATTATAGAAATACCCCAAATTTGCCGGTTTACAGCATCTGAAATGTAATAAAAACTTGTTTTTTCAGTTTAATGTCAATTTCAAATGGATTTTTGTGTTCTTCTCCTCAGATGAAATAAAGATATGAAGCCCAAACTTAGAATTTCAAAGTATAAACGACAATATAACATCGAGGGATGCTTTGTGCCTGAAGGCAATATACGATAATATCACAATATGACAGTAAGGATTTGACCATTACTTATATCTCATACAGAAATATAACTATTGACTGTAAAAACATTTTTTTTTAATAAACTCAACTCATTTGCAAATGAATACTTATATTTCATATTTACACTTAAAGTGTTACAGATTCTTACAATAAAACTGAAATGAGGGACAGGGCAGATTCATTTAGGGAGGTATTGGTCTTTTCTTCCAGCCTGTCTTGGCGCAACCTCTAAAGTCAGAAAATGTCAACACTCAAATGAAACATGGAGGTGTCTTCTTTCTCTTCATCATTCGGTAAGACGTCAACACCAACCGGGCCGACCACACGGCGATGGAATTACAATTCCTGTAATTAAAAACATACGTTTCCCTTTGAACTTTGCAAACTACCTTTAAAAAAAACCTTGCAGAGTCGCATCAAGTCATTAACTCACGTAATCCACTTGTGGCTCGGTGTCTGGACAATGCGATCACACCGATGGACTAAAGACTAAACCAGTTTCAGCACGGACCCATCGAGCTCCACGCATGGGACCTCTCCGGTGACTGACTGGGTGCTGCTTTGCTTCTCACACACACTGATCGGATCCTGGTGGACCGGTGGAGGATGAAAAAGAACAAATGGCTGTTTGAATACTCGTTGAAACTGGGAGCCAAACAGGTGACGGGATAGGGAAGGCCACCACGTAAGTAAAACCTGGACCCTGAGATTTTAAAAGAGAGAAGTTTAGATTTTCTACAGTGGTTCGATTAATTCACCAAAACCCCAAATGAGCATGAAAAAGAAAATCATACTAGGTATCAGAGTATGTATGTAGAGTAGAGTATCATCGGAAACATTTTGCAGATCTGGTTCAAGTACTCATAATGACGTATGTATGACGAACACTAAAAGCGTCTTGTGACAAGTACGATTTTGACCTGCTGCTAAATGTCTTTAAATGGGATCAAATCCCCATCTGTTCCTTTTAGGAAGGTCAAAACACAATAAACACAAAGGTTTAAACACAGTTCAATGCAATATATCACATTCAGATTGAAGCAGATAATGTTTTATTGGGTTTTGTAAATCGTAAACAATCATTTGTCATCATTTGTTTACCTAAAACAGATGGATATGTCCATTTGATTAGGAATAACTTGAGCTAGCTAAAATAAGATATGTCTTGCCACCTCAGTTTCATTCATTGCTTAGTTTAAGCCTTCGTAGAATGCAGATAAAAACAGTCCTGTGCTGCAGGATTGAGGTCAATCACAGAGATGAGGAGTGAACCAGCAGATAACGAGATTAGAAAAAGGTCAAAACGTCCTCAAGCTGGAAAGCTCAACTTGAATGAATGGGTCCCTCAGAGGCCAAGACTGCGCCGCAGATCATTTTAATGTGCGTGGGGTCATAATGTGAAATGTGTATGTGTAATCAGATTTATGATGCCAACTCATCATGCGTCCAATTAGAGTGCAGTAATGGATTCATTGTGCTGCAATACTAGTTCAATTCATACGTTATATTGGGTAACTTTTATTTGATGCTCTGAACAGGAGCAGTCATGGGATGTGGCGTCTCAAAATCCGACCAGTTCCACAAAGGCTCCAGAAAAGGTGACCCTGATCTTTGGATATCAGACGGACACACCAGCTCAGAAACTTTCTCATTTGTTTGTGTTGTTTTTAACGCAGCTGTATTTCCTTCCCCTCTGCTCCGCCCGACGCAGCCGTCACAAGTAAGCCACGCCCCGTCTTACCGTTGTGCGTTGTGCCGCCGGGGCTTTGCCAGATGTTGAGTGTGTGTCATCTGGGTCGGAGTCCAAGTTTCCAAAACTCAATATTTCCTTTATCTCAATAAACGGCAAAGCAATACATCTAAATACCACAACATTATGAATATTTTGTCAGTTTTCCAAAACATGGAAAATGTATGGAATATTATATGAAATATTCAAAATGTTTCATTTAAAAATTAGTTCATTGAGGATCTGCCCTTCTGCTGCGCGATCTGATTCTGCCTCAGTGCAGATTCTGCCGTCGGCTGATCACCTGTTGTCTTTCAGCCATCAGATCCGCCGTCCTGATTCAGCGATGGTACCGTCAGTACATTGCTCGCACGGAGATGAAACGCAGATACACCTGGCACATCTTCCAGTCCATCGAATACTCTGGAGAACAGGCGCAGATAAAGGTGAGAGCCAGTGTCGGTTCTGCAGGTTTCATTTGAAGTAATAATAATAATATAAAATAACATCAACTTCCGCAGCTTTATAACTTCCTCGGCTACCTCATGGACAACTTCACGCCCGCAAGCAATGAACGTAAGACTTTTTTTAAATTCTCACCTGACAAACCGTGCCGCTGAGGGACTTCCCGAATCTTCATGTCGGATTCCCCTGCAGGGAATTTGATCTCGCACATCTTCAGAGAGAACGAGGTCTGCCGCGACGCAGAGTGGGAGAGGTACTTCTGCTACAAGAACATCGAGGTGCCAGAGATCTACTCGGGACCTCACCTCACTTTCCCCTTGACGGTGGAGCAGGCGGTCGGGCTGGTGGAGGCCTTCAGGAACAAGAAGGTAAACGCCGGCATTTTCAATTCAGATGTATTACTTCAATCAGTGAGAAACACAAAGGGCAAATATACACCCCCAAAAATTAAGTAATCTCTGCGCCCAATGTGGCCGAGATCAATGCGACTAAATATTTTAACCCAGTTAACGCAACCTTGTTTACTTCCGGTCTTCCGGTGTGCCGGAAGTAAACAAACAAAACCGCAGCTAGCAGCGGTTAGTTAGAGCGAGAAGTCAGCAGCTGAAGTCGGAGAGCTTTTTGCATTGGAAGTACAACAAACAGAGGCCGACATACAGCGGAGAACTGTGCAGAGGAATTACTCCACGTGTCAAACAGAAGGGGGGTGAGTGGAAAACGGACCACTTTATGCATCGCTAGGCTAAGCTAGCTGCTAGGCTACTTCCATCTCTACATCTACCCTGCAGAGGACGACCACTGTGTCGAAAAAACGAAAACACACTTTTAATCGGGATTAATGTTTTTCAAAATGTGCGGATAATTAGTTAATTTATATATTTATTGACAGACGTAATTATCATAGAAAGAAATATGTATTTTCCTCCACTCGGCCAGTTGATATTCGGAAGGTGGATGAAGACACATCATTTGCCTTAATATGGACTGTTTGTTTTATCTGAAAAAAGGAAGTACTCATCTACATAAAACACACTCCTGAAATCATGTAAATGAGCTTAAGAAAAATCTTCCTTTTCTCCTCAACAAGGGGTTTCTGCTGGAGCAGAATTTCCCCCAAAAACCTTAAACAACTTTTTTAAATTTCGCACATTTTCTTTCCTACTTGTGTATTTTGTCTGAGTACATATTGCAAAACAATCTTTACATGAAATGCATCATCAGCATATCGTTGTTTTCATTCAAGTTACCTTAAAAAATGAGGTCAAAAAGCAGATATCCATGAATCTCATGTGTCTGAAACCGTCTTGCTGATAAGTTTTTCTCCCAGCAGCAGCTGCACTCGCGCTACGTCCTCCAGCTGTTGCTTGAGACGTGGAGACAGCTCCGGATGTTGCCAAATATCAACCGCATCTCCACCTGTCAGAGCAAAGAAATCACTATTTGTGGTGAGCAAATGTTATAAATATCTTTAACTGAATCTTTGTGGAGGGTTTAGAATGTTTGGGTTAGAAACAAGACACTTAAACGTGCTCTATTAATATCATACACCAACCTTTTTTGAACATTTAAAAATATTCTACTTACACTCATCTTCTTCCTCACAGGGGATTTGCACGGACAACTGGATGACCTGCTGCTGATTTTCTACAAGGTCCAGACTTCTTCCAAAATCTTAACCACGACTCAATACATCAATTGACTTCCGATTACAGAATTATCCTCTGACACAGCGGTTCTATTGTTACAGAATGACATGCCGTCCTTGGAGAACCCCTACGTGTTTAACGGAGACTTCGTAGACCGAGGCAAAGACTCCATTGAGATCCTCCTCATCCTGTTTTCCTTCCTGCTCGTCTACCCGAGTGAAGTCCACCTCAACAGAGGAAACCACGAGGACCATATCATCAACCTGAGGTGGAACTCTAACTGGAGGCACGGGGAGTTTGTTCATTCCTTCATATCCATTTCTAACGATTATCTCGTGTGTCTGTGGATGATGTAGGTATGGCTTCACCAAGGAGGTGCTGACTAAATACAAGGTGGGTTTACTTTTCCTTTACCTTCCTTTGTTTACTGACGGGTGTTAACTCCTCATCCCTGCTACTTAAATCAAAGAGCGCAGGCAAAATGTGCCCTAATCCCTTCTGTCAGTGGAGCAGCGACTTACATCAGTATCAGCCTGCACATTCCCAGCAAAGCTTGATATAGACCACGTACTAGACCAGATACCCTCCCGGGGCTGAACACTATCGATAACATAATCAAAAGACCGTCCATCGGACTCTGTTGAGTTCTGAGTCAGGCAGGTCGAGTTGGATCAAAGATGTCTTTGATTTAATGTCCCATCAATCAATCATCTTTGTGCTGTGCTGTCAAAAAAGACAACAAGACATCCTGAAAATGAGACCAACAATGGTTTTGTTATAGACTTATCAAAGGTGCTGTTATTGGTATGGTTATTTCTAATTCATTATCTAAAACGCAAAATAGCACAAATGCAAACAAGAAAAAGTATCAACCTAAACATCCTATACAATACAGCACGGCTCACTGCCTGAAGAAGAGGAGGGTGAAGCAGTATTTTGGCTTTTTGTCCCCAGTTGCACGGCAAACGGATCCTGAAGCTGCTGCAGAAGATATTCAGCTGGTTGCCGTTAGCGACAGTGATCGACCAGAAGGTGCTGGTGCTCCACGGCGGGATCTCCGACACCACGGACCTCGCCATCCTCGCCAGAGTGGACAGACACAATGTGAGCTGTCCATCGCAGACGCGTTCACTCAACTTTTTTTTGGAAGTTCCCTGACATCGCTGCTCTTCTCTGTTCCTCAACAGTACGTTTCAGCGCTGAGGCCCCCGAAGAAAAGGCACCAGAGCTCGGCGGGGATGTCCATCGACTCGGACATGGACTTGGACACCTCGTGCCGCCATAAGTCGTTCCTGCGGCAGAACTCCCTCGCGTTCCTCAAACCCATCAACCGCCAGAGCTTCCAGAACCGCTCGCTGCAAGACTTCTCCGATCGGCTCAAAGTGAGCGCGGTGGAGGAGGTGGAGATCAGCGGGAGGAGACGGTCCATCCTCGACAAGGACATCAACCCGCCAGAGAACGAGAGGACCGCGGCCGCGTCCTCCGAGTCCCTCAACAGTCTGACTGTGGTTGACGAGTGGAAACAGGTGATGCTAGAGAGCAGAGGTGTCGGCTCGCATGCAGATTTTATTATTATTTCGAAAAACCAACAGTGTCTTTGTTGTTGTTTCCACATGACAGCTGCTCTTTTCTAATATCTTCAACTCCAGTTGTGCACGAGATATGTTTTATTTGTACAAACTGCTTTACGGTCCCAGTAAAAGCGTTTTTAGCTAAAAGCAAAGGATTTGATTCAAATTACATTTGGGCGTAGAATATAGTGCAGTACGAAGCCGCTTCCATTGCAAAGATTTATTAATAGGATGGCTGTCATATTATTGATTGCAATTGGCTAGCAGTAGCCTATTTGAGCACACTTTATATTTGGTTTTACGGGAAGTTAAAAATCAATTTTATACATAGCAATTGTAAAGTAAAGAACAATTTGACATTAAAAAATGAATTTTTCCTATTTTTTCATGAATTTAAAAAGGTGGTGAATTAACAAATAAAACAGAAAATAAAACCCCATCTTCTGCAAGTAACTGTGATACGATTTCATTGATTTAATATTCCATGGCAACGATTTACATGTCGTCTTAAGAGTAAAAATATGACTTTACAAGACCAAGAATACATTTTCATTTTACACCATAAAAATACACTCAAGTGTCAAACGTGACACATTTATTTAGTTGACTTGCAGAAGAAAAACTGTTTTGATCAGACGTTGTGGCCTTTGTGTGTGGGATCGCACTCACTATGTATTGTTGCCAGTTTGAGCATTAACATGCTGTAATCCACCACGTCATTAATCCCAGTAACGTCACCAAGTACAAGCTGTAGAAGTCAATGGTCTCACTTGACTCCGGTACTTGGTCTGTGTTCAGAAATTCAGAGTCTAAATTGTAAAGAAATGAATTGCAAAGTGATGCTCTCCAGTGCTGCGTATTATACTTATTATAACGCACATATAATCAAAAGATGGGATTCGACAACTTTAAGATACCTGTATTGCAGCTTTTTAAAGTTTGCCATTGAGAAGTACAGACATATCATGTCCTTAGAGACACAGTTTTGCCATTTTATATCTTCATACCTCAATTTCTGAGCAATCTCAAGGACTTTTAACCTACAGATCCTGGACCTGCTGTGGAGCGACCCGATGACCCAGGACGGCTGCGTGCCCAATGAGGTGCGGGGCGGCGGCTGCTACTGGGGCCCCGACGTCACGGAGGACTTCCTGAACAGACACAACCTGCAGCTCATCATCCGCTCCCACGAGTGCAAACAGGAAGGTTACGAGTTCTGCCACAACCGCAAGGTGAGCTCGGGACAGCGACGCGACGGGCCGCTTCCTCCGCGACGTGCCCACCAAATCCGTTAAAAGCTTTCTTTCATTCCGCCAAGGTCCTCACGCTGTTCTCTGCCTCCAATTACTACGACGTGGGCAGCAACAGGGGGGCCTACGTGAAGCTGGGTCCAGACCTCGTGCCTTATTTGATTCAATACCAGGCCAGCAGCATGATCAGAGAGCTCACCGTCAGGCAAAGGTACCGGAACTACACCTTCCCACAGCCGGAGGCGACTTCTCCAAATGTTTGGTGGGAGAAACCATTAGAAATGCTACAAATTTGCAATGTGTCGTTATACTAAATATTTGATAAGAAATGGAAACCTCCAAAAATGGAGTAAGACCTTTTGGTAAATTGCTAAAGTTTGTCCGTTACGTAAGGTAAAAGTTGGAAACAGCTGGCGTGTACAAAGGTAACACAATTAACCTGGAAGCAGATTAGAATCCCATTATCAAACACGTTGTACCTTGTTTGTTTACCTTTGGACTGAGCCGGTGTTTGAGCTAAGCTCACCTTGACGTTTGCCGAGTGTGGCCTCATTGATCAGCGGCAACAGAGTAGTATTGATCCTGTTAAGCGGGACACAGCGAGAGCTTTTACATAAGAGGGTTCGTTACATTTCCGTCTCTTTGGATTGCGTAAAATGACACTGAATCCGTTAACATTATGTTGTCGTCTTGTCTGCAGTGCCGGGCGGACCGAGCGCTCAGCGCTCAAAGTCCTGCGGGAGCAGGTGTTTGCGCACAAATCTGACCTCCTATGTGCCATCAAACGGTTCGACAGAAACAACACAGGTGTGTGGCGTGACGGGCCGGGAACCGGATCGGGGCCTCAGCGGATCGGGTGTTTCCTTGTTCTGTTGGGAATCATTGTGCTTCCCCTTTTTGGTTCCCACAAGAAGAGAGACACCTGAGCTCATCATCTTTAATCCCTATTCAGATTTGAAAGAGAAAAAAATGTGGGTGTAGCTCCACCCAGGAGGATTTGACAGTTTCACAGAAACTGAGTGGGCTTCAAGCACATATTAAAGTAAAATCAATGTAATTTTCATGTCGCTCAGCTCCTCATGTTTAGTTACTAAGTTATTAAAGTCGATCCATTTGAAAAGACGATGTGATGCTTTGGATCAGAGTCCGACAGATTTTCTTTTTTTTTGTGCTAACACAAGTATATACACAGATATATTGGCCAATGATATTGATCCACTCTTCCAAAGGTTTTGGGCTCGATTGATTTGAAGTGTTAGCCGATTAGAAGACGACTCGGCGTCACTGTCGTGTCCGCCTCCGTCAGGTCTCGTGTGTGTGAGCGACTGGGCGTCGGCGGTGGAGAGCGTGATGCACCTCGGCCTCCCCTGGAGGATGCTGCGCTCCCAGCTGGTCCCGGGCAAGATCCACGGCGGCATGATCGACTACCACGAGTGGTTCAACGAGCTCGCCATCAAAGGAGTCAACGCCGATGTGAGGCCACCAGGATGCACGCTGGTCACAGTAGCGTCTGATTCAGGGACATTGTAAATGTCACAGAATAACGAGGAGAGTGCTCTGTTTTCTTGCAGCACATCGACCAGAGTCTGCTCGAGACTTTGTATCGTCACCGCTCCACCTTGGAGACCATCTTCAGAATCGTTGACTACGACAACTCGGGTAAAAAAAAAATGGAGTAATAACTTTAACGTGCCACGTGTGTATTCATGCAGACATTGATTTTTGTCTGGTCGACACGTCGATTGAATCAGCACGGTGACTCACAGAGACGATCTGTCTGCTTCGAGTGTGTCGGGTCCCCGTGGACCGTTTGTCACGTCCAGAGAGGGACGGTTACGGAGCTCAGCCTCTGTAAATCTGTAGCACGCAGGCCACATTACGTCCCTCCCGGTTAAAACAAGGATTAACCCACTGATCTACTGGACTCCCCCTCCCCCACATATAACCACGCACACTTTCCCCCCCGTCCGTCGGCATTAGCCTGCTTCAAAAAACCCTCTAATCTTGCTTCTGTTAACCATGAACAATCCTCCTCCTCTGCAGGCTTTATCAGCATCGAGGACTTCCAGCAGACCTGGAAGCTGCTCAGCGTCTACCTGAAGATGGAGATCACGGACGACACCATCGCCGACCTGATCGTCACCATCGACCGCAACCAGGACGGCAGCATCGACATCGAGGAGTTCATGGAGGCCTTCCGGCTCACGGACAAGAAGAGCCGGCTGGAGCGAGGGCGCAGCATGTTCATGGGGACGGCCACGGACCTGACGAAGCTGGACGGAGATCCCAACATTTGAGGAGGGACGCAGGAAAAAAAAAAAAAAGAAAATAGAGGGTGACCTCAGCAGAGACTCCCGCCGGGGGAGGGGGGGGGGGGGATAAAGCCGACGCAAGCTGCTTCAGTGACGCACTTTGAGACGTAGGGCGCCGCCGAGCAACAGACGCGTAGATCGCACGGGATTAGAGGCGATGGTGTTTGACAGCGAGTGTTTCATCACACATTTTGACGCAGTTTTGTGCAATGAGAAGGTACGAGAGAAACACAACTCCATTTAGTCTTTTATGGAGCTAGAGTAGATAAAAGGGCGCAAAGACAGAAAACATCATATTTAGGCAACATTTTTATTGTCATTATTAGTATTATTATTACTAGGAGTATTGATCAATCAAATTGTTACATCAAAACAAAAATATATTAATTCAGTTAAGGGGGGGAGAGAGAGACTTAATACATATTAGTAATACATACATATAAGTAATACTGCAGAGATCCAAACGTGACTTTTGTCTTGCTTTGTCCGACCAGAAAACCTAAAAATATTATTGAATTGGTAAATGTCCACATAGAACATTTCACTTTAAAAAATGACAATTATTCTGTGTTTCAGTTGAAAATGAACTGATAGGTAAAATATCTGGAAATTATGATTATTTTTCTGTGGATTCTCTAATTGTTTAAACCACTAATTACTTCACAGTTGATGGTGATTCGCAGACTTTACAGATACCAGAAACGACGCATGAACTAAATTCAAAACAGGCTTTAATTGTGCAGCTCTCTGTTTGCACTCATTAAATGTCGCCGGTGCCTTAGCAGCAGCAGGAGCGATTCAGCTTCTCGAGGTGAAGTTAAGACTGCACTGATGATGTTCTGTTTCAGTGCCAACTGCCAACAAATTACTGGGGTCCCTCCTGGTCTCACGTGGGATTCGACCTTCACCTCGTCCAGAACTGAGAACTCGTACACTCGTGTATTTGTCTCCTAGAATCTATCGCTACCTTCAAATTGTTGCTTTCAAGCGCTCATTTTGAGAACTGTGTTTATTTGCTTGCTTGCTTTAGTTGTGTCCGTCTGTCCGGCACCACGCCGGAGCCGGCAGACCGTTAGCGGAGCATAAAAAGTGGAAAATGGGGGAAACAGCCGGCTTGGCTCCGTCCGGAAGAAACACAACTTTGTTTAATCCGCTGCATAAACTGCTTTTAGAGATCGTGACTTTGGTATCAATCTTTTTAAATGAGTATGTTATAAGAACGCACATAATAACCAAAATGTTGAACTATTCCTTCGAGATACGGAGACATTACTTTTTTAGGTGTTTTCTTTGTCAGATCTTCCGTTAGGAAAGTCTCCACATATCGCTGAACATATTGGTGAAGTTTTGTTTTATGACAAATTAAAATGTTATTGTACGTGAGTTTTGGAATGCCGAACATGTACAACTTTTACTGTAAATACATCTCAGTCAAATTTGTAGCATTCATTTGTGTGTTTCTTTGTTTGAGGTAAGTGATGTTTAGGGTTAGAGAATAATGTAAATGTCCTGACTGATCTTAAAGTGGCTTAATGAAGCACATGTCTGCTCCTAATAATACAAAACTGTAATTTAATATAGCTAATATAAATGTTATGTTGTTAGCTATTGAGGCAGCCTGCATACAGATACAGCACCTATCTGCTGTATCGGTTCATTTATTATTCCCCGAATACTTATTGGTCTACTACAAAAAAAAGGATGTCATTAAACTATAATATTGTATGAGGTTGAAATTGAATGTAGATGTGTTTTTTTTATTATTAAATAATTCAGAATAATAATATATATTTTCTTAAAACATGTTTACGTTGAATAAAGTCCACAGACTGAAATTAGAAAATGCTTTAACACGTTAAAGCAGATTCTATTTACCAGATTGTGTCATGAAAAGCCTCCTACACATTTTCAGTCAATTGTAATTGGCTTTGAATATTAACTTGCATCAAATTATTGTATTTTCCTGGACAGTCGAAGTAGTTTCCGTGGACGCCAGCAGGGAGCACAACAGACACGCACAAACGCGGCTGGCTGAGATGCCTGAATGCTCCGACTGGTGAGTCACCAACTGCAGCCGCAGGGACAGTTAGTAGAAATTAAACCGCATTATCTCCCTGTGAGCCGACAGTGGTTCAACCGTCAAATGATAAAGTGTTTCAAGCGGGTGGGTGTTAAAATATGAAACGAGATTTGATGAAGTTGCATTTCCACACAGCATTTAAGTTTGTGCTAAAAAATTGACCTGTTTTCAGCTCCTGGTTCAGATATTTTGAAGGGAATAGACACATATTAATAAAAGCAATATGTGAACATTTTATTATCAATTTGTTTCACTTTCTCTTCAAGAACGAGCTCATTTACACACCACAGCGCATAACTAAGAGCTGCAGCCTGGCTGGCTCATCTCAACTACTTTCTCCCTGTTATCGCCCAAAGGTAAAGGTAGGTGTCCGCCTACCCTCACCTATAAAAGTCGCTTATTAAAACGTTTTCATGTGTATTAACACTTTGCATCTTTTTTTCTCTCTTGTGTGTTCGTTTAAGTAAAAGAAAGAAAAGAAACCAGTCGGCCTTTTCGTTTTGCACACTTCATTTTGACGGCACTCAACTCAACTCCAACTCACTGTGAAATGTAAAAGTTGATGGTTTTTAAAATGAAATAGAAGATGCATGAAAGACACAAGAAGTGAGCTTTGAGTTGGCTGTTTGTTATGTTCTTCTTTTCACATACCAGCTCCCCCCTCAACCCAACAAAGAGGCTCACATGCTGGTGACAATGAAAGAGACAGTTAACAGTTGGACCTCTTCTCCCCAGTGTGTCGCAGGGGGGGGGGTCGCATCTATTGTTTACTGTCTGCAGGTGGTCTTAAGCTGCTGGAGCGTTGCCCTAATGGAGACATTTGAAAGAAAGATTCTCAATCAACTTGAGCGTCTTAAGGCGCTGGATGGATTAGGCCTCTGCTGAAGGCCTAACTTCACTTAACTAACATTAAAGTGCCCCCCCGGCCCGAAAGGGAACAAGTGGTCGATTACGGTTGGTATTTATGTTATGAATTTATGGAGCTTCATTTGTTGGCAGGTTTTTGTCACGTTTGTCTTGTTAAACCTAATATAACATAACTTTATTTTTAAAATTACACTGTATTACCATCTTCAGCTCAAATTGCCAGTTTGCTTTTATATTTTAAGCAATTATTCACTAAAAAAATGAACCCAAGTGGACACTTGTCTACAATATTTTATTTAAACCCAATAACAGGAAATACTTATGAGCAACACATGGCTTGAACCATAAAAATAGGTGATAATGACAAGATTTAATTTAATTAATAAATTGTTTATGAAAACATTTGGTCATTAACTGGTCTTTTGAGCGATATCTCTAAAAGAAATGTAGGTTCCTGTCAGCCTTTTACTTCATTTAGTTGTCAAAGTAAGTCAGATTCATAACTGAGTTTTTTCTTGCAAAGGAAATGGGTTATTCTAAGTTCAAAGATGCTAAAGACCACAATGACACTAGACTTCAGAGGGTACAAGAAATGAGCAGCGGATAAGCGCGTCAGTCAAAGCGTCAGCCTGCACGAGCGTCGACCCGATAAGGTCAATCAAGTCCCAGATGAAGTGAGCACTGTACAACTGATGGAAAAAAAGCGAAGACGAGAGAGGCCGCGCGTGACGCCCGCGGACCCTGAAACGATGATATCGAGGACGGACAAATAACGCGAGGCCTCGAAAGAGTTCAAGCGAGGAGAACGCGACTTCCCCCGAGGCCACAAGTTTGAACACAGCTGCAGCCGCACGACTCACATCACCCGTGTGGATTTATCTGCTACACAGACATGTGACCTGTGGACGCAGTTCAGCTGGTGTTTTTCCCCATGCGGGAGAAATGAATAAAACGAGTGAAGATATATCTGTTCAGTGTGCATAAATGAAGGATTTTGCACCTGGATGCGTTGAATGTTGTTATGAATGAGAGAGATTAGAAAAAGTCCTTGTTCTCTGACCTCTGTCTGTTTGTCCGGCTTCTCAAGGGAAAAAGAAAAAAAGAATAATCACACAACTTTGACCTGTATGTTTATAAAAAAACAAAAAGATGTCAGTACTGCTTTTAACACACTTTAAAAAAAACATAAAATATAAGCCACATGTTATTCATGGGGCATTCAAGGGCATTATGTGAAACGCTGGACTTTATAACACAAGGTGATGTTTAACCACTTGTGAATACAATAGGGTAGGATTCTAAAGCAGATGTTTGATGATTTGGACAAACATGCTTGTTTGTGGTGAAGCTGGCAGGTTCAGCGTAGCATGGAAATAAAGCTAAAACTGCGAGCGTGGCTTCGCTAATGCTAATAGTTGAGTCATAATAGTTTAGTGTCCTTTGATGCTACGCTAAGCTTTAAAGATGTAGCCTTATTTTGATTTAACAATATGAAAGTGGCAGCAATACAAAATAAGTGAAATAAGCTAAACCCTGACTTTTAACCGTGCAACTAGAAGTAAATTCAACTTCACTCAAGGTGGTAAAAATAGATCATTTAGATGGTTTTAAAATATTTAAATGCTTGGAATTGAGTATTTAGTTTGCCAAAAGGTATTCAGGAGCCATTAAACTCCAAATAATGAGTTTAGTTGCTTACAAACTGAAACCTACTACGTTCATACAAACCTACCAAACCAAACCTATTAATCTCATGACCGTTAATCAAAAGACAGCAGACGACTGTGACCTTTTGCACTCAAGTGCAGCTTTTATTTTTTTGCAAATACACTATAAATGTTTACAAAAGCACTGTAGAAACATCTGTGCAGTGTAAATTATCAAAACTAAAAATGGATATTACTTATTATTCGTTTTGCACCGCACATGACAAGGATTGTCATTTTCAGCAGCAAAACAAATAAGAAATATCAAGAGGAGACGTCTGTTAGTGACTTCAAAACATCAAACTGGGCAGATGCAGTTGTTACAACAGAGAGGGAAACAATAATAAAGGATGGTATGGCACTAGTGCTCATCCCTGAAGGAGGGCTTCATTCATCTAGATTAGGTTTACACAGCATCAATGTGTTACTTTACTCAGTCATCGAGATAATCAGCCTTCCAGTAAAAAAAACCACTTCGGTTCGACAGATGTGGTGCTTGAGCTCCACAAACAAATTCACTCACACAAGTTCTCAGACACCCAAATCTTAAACCATTCATGAACACGCTTACAGACAGTTAACAGGTCTCTGGACAGCTCACACTGCCACATACTGGTCCATCTTTAACACTTTTTGTATTTTCAGTGTTGAAAAAAAAATGAAATCAGTAATGAAAAGTAATAGAACCATTAAAGAAAAAAACTAAATAAAAGGAAACAAGAAATGCTTCAGTTAAAGAAAAGATACATAAATATTGTGTGGCCCCTTACAAATCGATTAGTTTTACACAACGCCGTATTGCTTTGTCTTATATAATACTGACATCAGCTCACAAAGAGCATCAAGTACTTTTCTTTGCTCCTGGTGGACAAAAAAAAAACAACAAAAAAAAAAAAAAACGGCAATACCCATCAATCCAACTTGTGAAATTTCTTCTGTTTTCTTGCCTTATTGTAGAAAAGGCACATGGACACATGTTAACGCTCACACAACACCGCTGAAAATACTTAAAGGTTGCACAATAAAAAAGGAAAAGAAATGTGTTGGCCGGTGGTTTTGTGGTACGAGCGTTATGACAGGAGAGTAAACTCGGCGCCGGGGCAGATCTATTAGGTTATCTTTGGTCAAGCAAGGATTGGACCCAAAGGTCGGTGCAGTAGAGGTCAGACAGTGGATGACCCGGGTGTGCGTGTTTGAAAAGACGCTGTGCAAGCACGGCACCACACACACACAACTCCCGGGATTAAGGTCTCTACAGGTCGTTTTTTTTCTTCTTTTTTTAAAAAGGTTGATAACGATGTACTGTGAGTTTGCACAAGGCGGTGCTTGCTTCCATGTAGGTGGAATAAAAAGGCCTTTAGTGAAGTGATTCAACCTTAATGGAACTTGAACGTCTCCACCAGTGTTAAACGAACCCGGAATCCGACCTCTATCACCGATCTCAGACAAAGCGATCCGCCCTCTTTAAGCTTAGTACTCCTACAATGCTCCTACAATGATTTCTTACTTCCACACCAGGGATATGGTCACGGTCAGCTAAGAAGAGGAACGAGTGTGTTAAGTGAGATACATTTACAAAAAGTGTTGCTCGTGATAAACTAGCTGCTAATTCCAATAAATGGAAGCAAGTTTAATGTTTTGTATCTTGTGCTCAGTTGTCAAAAAGGGGGGGTTGGCAACACAGAAAACCTCTGTGGGTCAACCTGGAACAGGATACGAGCACATATGTACAAATACAAGTCCATTAGGTTATGGCCTTTTTTTTTCTTTTTTTTTTTAGCAGCAGCAGCAGCAAATAACAAAATACAAAAAGTATATCAAAAGAAGACACTCCATGTGCTGAAAAGCAAGTAACAGAGGCATGGATGCGTGTTCACATCAACATCCTTCACACTCGATAGCAACAAACCATTGAAATGTATTGAACGTATGGACCACCTGCATTGAACCAACGAGACAAACGACAAGGAAAAACGAAAAACACACAGGGCACAATTTCCAGGAAAAGTGCAGGGAATATTTCCACGATGACAGGATTATGGCCTTGAATTCACTTGCCATTAGCGACTACCACTGGGTTTGACTTGGCGAGGCGTGCGGTGGACAGAAAAATGAGAAGACACGAAACATAAAAAGACAAAACAGTGATTCAAGTGCTGCGTTTTTGCCCGAATGCCTCCAGCTCCTCGGCAAACCGATGACAGCACGGCGGCTCCATCAAAGCCGCCAAAGATCACGCCTTCTTTTTTTTTAACATATATATATTCATGGCACTTTTGACAGTGTCTTTGACCAATCAGCTGTAAATATATATAGTAGGGGGGAAAAAAAGGAAAAAAAAAACCTGGTAGTTGTGAGAGGACTGCTTTACGCAAGCCAAATTGTGCTTTATCTAATAAGTGTAGACGTGCAGGAGCGGTCGACACCGTCGCAAAGTTAGTGTCTTTCAGCACACCGAGAACGACTGTTTGCTGGATTTCGGTCAGAGGTATCGTATTGGTTCCCCTTTTACACATGTACAATAACACATGGAGACGTTTCCAGCTCATCTTCACAATGCAGGAACGCGCTGAACCATTGTAAGGCAGAAAGCAGGTTCAAGCCTCCCTTGGAAGTTCCGTGGGCGTCTTTTTGAAGGTGTGAAGAAGCCGAGCGCAAAAAAGGAGCAACTCTAGCAAGCTACTGGTGGCATCTTTAGTGACGTCATGGCTGAAACAGCCATCACCTTCACCGATGAGGACTTGGAAATTCCGCTGAATATTGGTTTAACTAGTGTTCTGGAGGGATTGGGAGGGGGTGGCGGTGATTGGGTGCAATGATTCACCGTAAGGGGACAAAAAGACAAATGCTATAAATAGTTCGGCTCAGTGTTTTTTTTCCTCTACACTCTTTTTTTTAATTTATTTTTTCTTTGTTTCTACAAAAAAAAAAAAAAAGGGTGTGCCAAGTCCAGTTTTTAATTAGCATAAGAAACACGTTACGCTCCAAGCGAAGGAGCTCAGAGTTCTGTCCTAAGCATTCGGTTGAAGGGGGCTTTTTAAAAAAAAACAAAAAAAACACACGTTCTCCCCTGACGGAGAGGAAAGAAGCGTGGAACCCGTCAGTGACGCCGCCCGCGGTTGTTCTGCTTAATACTAAAACCCTCTCGGCGCGACGTCAGCCTGCTGGGAGGATCGTCGCCCCCAGAGACACCTTTTCTACGCGCTCCCTCGGGAGGAATTATGGAAATAAAAAAGGGCCCGCCCGGCACGCGCCGCGCGCCCCCCGGGGTCCCTTAAGGCCGACCGGCGTGGAAAAGGAGGAATGAGAGTGTGGGAGTTTGTTTTGCGGTACGGCAGGCAGTGAGGGCCATGCTCAGCAGGTATAGCGGAGGCCGTAAGAGGGCTCAGTGAGAGCAGCATTGTTTTTGTTTGACTAAACATTTACAGGGGTTTGTGTCCCGCCCCTCCCCCTATCCCCCTGGAAAAAAAGTACTAAATTAGCCCGCTGTGTATGCACATCTGACACCCCTGTGCTGCTCCCTCGGGCCCCTTTCCTGAGCCCCACACTCTGGAGGGGGTGGGGTCGGGGTGGGGGTAGGGGGGGTCCTCGATCAACACTTCTGGGCCTCCACTGGAGACATGGCGATGTAGGAGCCGTTCCTCGTCGGCTGGTTGGCTGACGGCTCGTCGGGTTTGTCGCTGACCTGAGTGTAGGCCGTGTCGTCTTTGACCGTCTGAGCAGGAGAACAGAGGGAGAACCGTCAGTGCAAACCGTCAAAGTGGCCGGACGCCCAAATATTTATACTAAAAATGGGAATAAATGTGTGAGTGAAATGTGCACAGTACATCATGTTTGTCTGTGTAAATAAATATATATGTTCACAACAACCACTCCCACAAAAAGCATTAACTTCCACTGACAAAGCAATTACACTCAAAACAATATCATGTCCCATAAATTAAAAATGATAATGAATGATGTGTAAATTAAAAAAAGAGGAATAGCAAACAAGGCAAAAATTAAGACTTACAGTAAAAGAATGAAAAGCTTCAGTAAAATCAATACGTTTTACTTCATTCTAAAACAGAAACAGAAAAAAGGGGGAGTTACAGAAAATTGAAATTAGAACATGGTTAATACACTTCACATTGCAATTACGCATGTTTTTAAAAACACCCTCTCAATTCTAAGCTTGCGGTCTCAAGTGCAGTGAATGCTAAAGATACGGTTTGGCATTTCTGTAAATACTTCACCAAGTATTTGGATGCGGAAATTGATACCACTCATGTCCGTGTGTGGAATGCGTCGCTTCAGTAGTTAACAGAGTCTACTTTAGAGACTGGAAACAGGCTCTGTTCAAAAGCTCACTGACAGTATAAATGTATAAATCTAAGTCTAACATCAACAATTTATCAGGCTAAAAGACGGAGCTAAAGGAAGCTGACGCGTTTCCAGTCTCAAATCAAACATTTAACACACTGGCATGAGTTTAACATCAATTCTTTCCTCCAACTCTCGATTAAACAAAGTGAAACATCTTCCACATTATTAACCATTAAATATGTTCCCATATTGCGGGCGACTGTTTGGACAGTGAATGACCTTAACGACAGTAATCCCACGAGGGCGACGGTCAGGGTTCAAATCAACAGTCGCCAGCGCAGATAAGAGCGGTGAAAGTGTGCGGCACATTATTCTCCCGGGTTTTCCAATTCAACGCTGAGTCGTGCTAAGCTAGCTCGTAGCTACACTGGCTGTTAAAGAACTGGGACCCTGAATACAAAGAGGCATCACCTGATAAAAAAAAAAAAAAAAAAAAAAAAAAGGAAAAAAAAAAAAAACATAAGCACCATATCAACCCGAAATTTAGGGAAAACCAGATCATTCAGGATGCGTGCAGCGTGTTAGTTAACATGCAAAGTTTGGGGTTAAACCTGCCGCAGCTCAGTGAAGAAACACCCTAATCATGCAAAATCCCACTTCCACAAAAACTCAGCATCTTCTGTGACATTCCCACTAAATGATTTACAATGTGGTCAGTGTCTACCGCACACGCACACACACACAGATTAATGCTACAGTGCAGTCGACAGCTATAAATGAGAGGGGGGTGTGGGGGGTTGTACCTTCTTCTGGCGGTTTCGGCAGAACAAGACGACGAGCACCAGCAGCAGGATGATGCCCATGCCCACGATGAGCAGAGGGAAGTTAGACACGAGAGTCACGATGAGGAGCATCGTCCTCATCTGGGATGCAGAATCGTCGTCAATGGTCGCCGTCTACAGTCGGGGGGGAGGGGGGGAAGCATTGATTTTTGAGCCGCTTACGGGTTTTTTTACGAGAACGGGGTTGTGTCGAAATAAATCCTCACCTCATTGACGAACATGATGGGGAAAATGGTCTCGTTGATTAACTTGGTTATGCTGAAACGACAAAAAAAAGAAAAGTGAGACTGAAGTCGGGGGGCGGGGGCGGGGGGGGAGGACATCTGGCTCGACATGCGGCCCGAAATGAGGACATCGGTGTGGCAACAGCAAAGCGGGTCAAAGTTTGACAGAGCGCGACTTACGGGAAGCCTTGGACTCGTTTCAGGATGATATTGAGCTGAGCCCTCTTGCAGGCCCGGATGGGGACGCCAGTGGTCTGAAACACACAGCAGCACAAAGACGTCTCAGAGCGGCTCCTCAAATCCGGGAAGGAGAACTCAACTATTAACTCTTCGTTTCCCCATGTCACGTTCCCCTCCTCAGTATGCGTTGTGTTGTTGTTGTTGTTGTTATTGCTGTTCACACGAAACGTCAAGCAGATAACTGCAGGACACGACTGTAGTAAAAACGGATCAACAACTGCTTCCTGTCGTCTGTACATGAATCACACCAGACACACAGTGATCGCTACAACTCCCGTCATTTAGATAACGGCGGTCATTAACCAGCAAGGTTGAACGCAGCTTCCTCTGTAACCGGTCGGGGGGGGGAATGGGGCGTTGGTCGTACCGGCTGCAGGTCGAGGTACGTCTCGTGCTCCTCCTTGTTGGGGCTGAGCCCCTCAACGGCGTTGATGTACTTGGGGTCTGCTTGATAGAAGTGGGGGAAAGACACCACGATGGGAGCACCTGAGGGGGGGGGAAGCAATGGAGACACACATGAGTGTTGCAATCAAACATGATGAGTGTTCCAAAAGAAGGTGCAGCAGATAGTGAGATAGTGTGTGTGTGTGTGTGTGTGTGACCCTAAAGAAATGTTCCCGCAGCATTTAACACCATTTCTGCCTTTCGTACATATGGAGTGGTTTTAATTTGATCAATTCTTTCTTTAAACCTACATTCCCAAATACAAACAGTCCGAATGCTATTCTCAGGTTGAAACTACACTGGATTCAGGTTTAAAAATACTGCTGCTAAAACAGACACCATTTTATAAGCATAGAGCCGGATGGTATTACGCAGAGTTACCTTTTGCATTTAGAACTAAACTGTACGTTACTTTGCACGTGACAACCGGGCTTGGCTGTGATTTGTGAGGCATCCAATGAGAGCCAAAGTTCTCCAATCGGACGCATTTGCCTCATGCGCGGACGCAGGTTTTAGCCCACGAATCAACTCATACAAGTATTAAATTGGTTTCTGCCACAAGGACTTTGTAAGCTGGAATCAAATTAAACCTCATTTGCCGGTTAATTGTACAAACACGGCGAGTGTTCCAGCAGTGCATCTGTGGTGAGAATACTTTGTCCGTCCTCGTGCGTCCCGCCTTATCAGAGCCATCGCACTCCAGTCAATGACCACCATAAAGCACTTGAATGGCCTCCACACACACAGGCGGCCCGGTTAATCATTGAACCGCGCGCTGAGTAAAAATCTGGTTCAAACTGCTGGAATGTCAGATACCAGGCAGGGGGGAGATGGCTGGGGACGGAAAGGAGATTTTTTGGGGGGGGGGGGGGGGGGTGGAACTGGGGCAGACATCCTCGCCCCCCACGGTGGGGGGGGGGGGGGGGGGGAAAAAAATCTTTTCCCTTCTCGACAGACGCTGACTTTGAGCACCCCGGTGCTGAGGCAGTCCCCCGCCGGCACGCAGAAGCCCGCGTTGGTGGGGTTCTCTTTGGGGTTCATGAGAACGTCGTTGGGGGGGGCGAAGCGGTACGCCTGGATGCCTTTCACCTCGACGTCTTTAACATAGCCTAGATGGATGGACCTGAGGGGAAAAAAGAAAGAAAATACAGCTCAGAGACTATTTTTGTGTTTTTTAGATCTACGCACAAAGTCCTGTCAGGAAGTCTAAATTTAGAGCTAACAAGAAGGAAACGTTGCGTGCCGACTACACAAGGAAATGTGGCACGAAGATGATCACTTCCATGTCATTCCTCAAAGCATCTATGAAGTATGGCCGCATGCGTTTGGAGTTCATGGACACCCTTATCAGGCGTTGTAATATCATCAGGGATTGTAACAACCACGACTCGGGTCCCTTATCAGTGGGCTCATAACAATATTGTGTGTGTGTGTGTGAGAGAGACTCGGTTGATCCAGTTTCCGGGGCGTTGTGGTCCTCGCCCGACCGCAGCGCTTCCACTGTAAACACATTAACGACCACATGAGCGGCGAGCGTGCATACCTGCAGAGATCTGCAGCGAAGATGTAGAGCAGCTCGTTCCGGTTGATCAGCGGGTGGAAGACGGCGCCGTCCGTGCCGTTGATCATGTTGCTCTGATTTGAAGACCACCACGACATCTTCCTATTGAGTGAGAGGACAACTGGCGATATTAGTGAACGCCTTTACTTGCAGCCACACCCCAGTACTGCACATATTAAATGTACCGTAAGTGTCGATACCAAGTTGAGGAATTTCCACTTCAAGAAAGTTCAAATGACCAAAAGAAGCAGAGCGTAGAAATGAATCATCTCAACAAATGCGTTTACTGCAGAATGAGTAGTACTTTTACTTCTCATTCTTACAACACTGGTGTATTTTTAACGTGGGATTGGGTTGGGGTCAGTAATTACTGTTAAATGTGAATATCGTGCTTGGGGGGGGGGGAGTGGAAGCCACGTGCCAACAAGAGGGAGCTTATGCCATCATTGAGGAAAGCAGGAAATGTGCCCGACATGAATACACACGTACCTCAAGCCGTTCCAAGTGTCGATCTTGCCGTAGTCCAGGTAGTTCTCCTCCCCGGTGTGGAACACAAATTCGCCTTCATGGGTGCCATTTTTCTGAATGAAACAAAGACCAGGTTTAGAGAAAGCTGCTGGGACGAACAACATGGATACAGCTTGTGTTCAAGGGCGGGATTGAGAAGGAAACGCCGTTTGGATTCTTGACCCTTATCACCCAACACAGCAAGGCATTTGGAAGCAATTAGAAGAGAACATTTAATTTAACATTTAATTGAATAATGGTGAAAAATACGAATTGTTGACTTCTACATTCGACTTTCATTGTCTTTAAATTGCTTGTTTTGTCATAAATGAATAAATGCTGCGCTCAGGATCACAAGGCTCCCGTCGAGCTGCAGACGCTGCTCTATCGATAGGAAGTCCAAGCCTCTTTCGCCAGCATGTGACCGATCTCACTTCTCTTACGGCCGTCTGTCCTCTCAAGAAACCCCCTGACAATCAGCAGGCGACGCGCTTTTTTTCTTTAAAGGGTTTTGAACTACAATAACGTCAAGCTCGCCGCTCAAAGTACACCCGGGAAAGTAAAACGTACCTTCCACATCAGCCCAAAGTATTCGTCCACCTCGGGCTTCAAGGAGTGGACCTTTGTGAGAACAGGGTCTTTGAAGCCCCACAGGACCTCGTGGACCGTGCGGGTCATGAACACCTCGATGCCCAGGCTCTTCAAGTACATGGAAACCGCAGTTCGCAGGAAGAAGGAGTAGGAGTTCAGCTCGTTCATGATCGCCTAAGGACGGAGAATCGCAAAACAAAAAAAAAAGCAAGTCAGGGAAGTGAAAGATGGGCCAAATCTCATGGTAAAAAAAGTGCAAAAGTTTCAGTTCACGAGGCCTGTCGCTCTTTGCCTGAAAATAACCTCAGTTTGTACGTTGGACACAGAATGACACAATAAAACGAAGAGGACAATGGCCTGGAATTTGTTATGGAACAACACTCAGACAGACGTGCCAACCGAAGGGGATGTGATCGCTGGCCGCCCTGAGTCATAACAACACACATTATCCTGTCCAGGCGCAGCGTCTCACCACAAACGGGATGTTCACGGTCCTGATCAGGTCGACCTCGGGGTTGCCAGCGGACTTCTCCGGCACAAACACAAAGGTTTTGGGGTTGAGGGCGTAAAGCTTGGTTCCGTTCTCCAGGAAGGTGATGTTCACCCGCGGCCGGTATTCCCTGTTGTGCGTAAGGCAGTTAGTCCAGATGTCTTTTGTTTTGATTTAAAAAAAAAAACCCAAACACACAGCAGTAACACAATGATTACACAATGACCAGATGTGAGACTTTTAGGAGCACATAGGGGAGAGGGGGGGGGGGGTACCTGTAAGTATATGGTCCGATCTGTTTAACAGCTGCCTTCCCACCCGCCAAGAACAACTCTGGATTTGTGACGTTGGAGAAGTAATACTCCATATAAACGGGTGGAGGTGGATATCTTTCATCCTTCCAACATTTTGGCTATTCTCGGTCAGGGTAATTTCCTATAAAAACAAAACAAAAGCCAAACATTAAGATTGAGCAAGAGCAAAAGTTTTTTTTTTTTTTTGCATTTGGGCGTTTTCAAAGCTCGTCACTGCTGCGGGTGAGAAGCGTCTGAGCAGCACACACGGCACTCTGCAGGCAGCTCGCGCATGGGCCAAAAACAACACACACCCAAAAAAGGGGAAGCAGAGAAAACTACTCGATGGCAGAAAACTTTAGCAAATACTGCACCCCGGCGCTGACCGCAGCAAGGCAAGGCGCCCGCTGTGGGCGACTAGTCGGCAAAAACAGCACAGCAACATGTGGCAATAACAAAACGCAGCGGACGCCATCGAACTACAGGCTGGATGTCAGGTGTGTGTTCACGCTTCACAAAGAGGGGATGGCCTCACAGATGTTTTGAAGGTAATGAGTTGTGGAGAAAAGCAAAAAATGAATAATGGTTTTAGTCATTTAGAAGAAACCTTCGTGGGCCTAAAGTCTCAACGTGAAAGCACAGAGTGAACAACGTCTCCCTCGGAGCTCCCAGCGCGTCGATTACCCACGGGAACCAGCACGCCGCTTCTATTCTTCGTTTGAGGTGTATTTTTAAACCCCCGGGGAGAGGATAAATTACCCAGGCGCACTTGAGAGGCTTTACATTGTTTTCTGCAAACGGACGCCCGTTGTGAAAATATAGTTTTAAAAGGTGTGGCCGGCACTTCCTGCTTGGGTTTCGACTTCCTAACTTCAAACAGGGTTTGTTCTATAGAATCATTTGCATCAGCTTTGTTGGAGCGGTTGAAGATGAATATCTGCTCTGATGGTCCGAGGGACAAATAAAAGTCAGTTAAGTTTACGTTGATATGAAACAGAAAAAGCAGCAAATGTTCACGTTGAAGAGGATTCTCTGCTTGGATGAATCAACCGCGCCGTGCTCAGCATGAGCTTTCATTGCACGTCTGTTGTTTTATTCACATATCAAAAATTACAGAATCACCGATGTGACACGGCGCATTCAACCCAGCTTAGGTGACGTCAATGCTGCGTCGCTGGATGCAAAATATGGACTTTGAGGTATTTAAGCGGAAGGATTCTCCCGAGTCTCCAGCATCTCTTATTCGGTGTCCTGATTAAGGCGTGAAGGGAAACCAGGTAAGGCCACGGAGGCGCACGACAATCACATGAAAACAACGTGCCAACGAAGCCACATTTCACCGACAAAATGAAAACGTTTGACTTTAAAAACATGTCTGCCTGCAGCATTGTGTGTGTGTGTGTGTGTGTGTGTGTGCGCAGCCTGACATGAAGCCTTTTGTTTGCGCACCTTGAACAAAGGTCCTTCAAAAGGCCTTCAATAGTTATGTGAACATCATTTATCGCTCAGCACCCCCCCCCCAAAAAAAACCTTGATCTATTACGAACAGAAAAACAAAGTGGAATGGTTTTGTGTCAAGGCCACTAGCAAATAAATAGTGTGTTCCCTTTTTGTCAGGGGATCAGGGAATCAAAACCCCGGCGGGGCCCAGCGGGACGGCGTGTGTGAACAAGATTCGGGTTTTTATCGGCACGGGGGAAAAAGGGGGAACACAGGGGGGGCATCCAAAGGCCGGGAACCGGGTGTCAAAAGTGACCTCCCTTCGTTCCTCAAACTCTTTAATCAGTCCAAACCACCTCCAAAAGGCCCCCCCCCGAGCAGGCCCGGAGAGGAGCGGGCACGCGTGGGTGCGTTTAGTCCCTTCTGGTTTCCGTGGTCGGGCCAGGCCGACTTGGGCTGAACAACAAGAGGCAACAAAGGTGGCTGGCAGGCACAAAATCACGCCCTGCAGGCCAAGAAGTCCTTGAAATTCCTCGCTCCGCACAAACAGGGAGGGAGAGAGATTCTGCACCCTGGAGGCAACTTTCCCCAAACAACTCCCCTGCATCGCTGCTACAGAGACACACATGCAAACGGGACATTGGGTCGGTTTTTTGGGAGAGACGGAGGGATTAGCCGCGCTGTCATTTCGTGTAAGCTGCAGCCGCATCAGAACGATGTGCCCCCCCCCCCCCCGTTGATGAACTTTGACTAACTCCTTTAAATTGGGTCCCCTGGGTGGCTGGCGTGATTTAGAAAGAGACAAAAATGAGCCCCACCGCGCCCTAAATTTAACTATGGACAGTGTCAGGGAGGGGGGCGTTTTGGAATTTCCAAATTGGACAATATTGTGTGTGAGCTTTCTTTTTCCTCCTTAAAACCCAGAGGGGAGCGACAGCGAGGCGAAGACATCTGAAACTGGAAACAAATTGTGGCGTGAAAGGGGGGAATGAGAGAGATCCTAAAAAAAGCAGGGTGGGATAGAGTGCCAGCTGCCCACGACCCCACCAGCCCCACCCATGAACCGAGGGCCCCACCCCACCACCCATGAACCGAGGGGGCCCCCCCAGTCACTCGGACGTGCAAGTCCACCAGTCGCAACACCCTTCTACACAACTTGGAGTCCGGCGCACGTCAAGAATAAAAACTACACAACAACTTATAATTAGAACATCAACGTGAATGTGAATCACGACACAAAAAGTCAACGAGTTCCCAAAATTGTCCCCTGTGTGTGCGCGTTTACCCACCAACAGAACTTGTCTCAAGGCCGGGAAGGAATTGAATGAGCTCTGACTGACTTTTGAAGCAGTGAGGATTTTAAAAAAAGACCTGTGTTGGAAATGAAAGTGTCTTTTCTTTTTTTTTTTTAAATCAGCAGTGTTTTGCACACGCACGCACGCACGCGCACACACACACACACACACACACACACACACACACACACACACACACACACACACACACACACACACACACACACACACACACACACACACACACACACACACACACACACACACACACACACACAAGCAACATACTTAATTCTCAAACATTTAATCCTCTCAGTTAAGAAATGCAAGGACGTGTCAGTCGAATTGATGCCAGTGTGTGTGTGTGTGTGTGTGTGTGTGTGTGTGTGTGTGAGAGAGAGATAGAGGGGTTTATCCAACAGAAGGCTGGATTTCTGCCTCTCATCCTCCTCTGGATGTAAAACTTTCACACAAGTCAAAGACTCCCAGTGCACTCACCCAACACGCCCTTCCCCCATCACCCCCCCACAACCCACCGTGTTTCACTGCTACAACCAAAAGAGTCAACACTAATAAGAAGTCAGCGTATTAAGTCTGTCAGACTAAATCATGTTTTTCCCCCCATTTCTACATGAACTAAAAAGGACCTTTCATTCCTGCGATGAAATGGGTGGGGGGGGGGGGGGGGTGTTACGACATAAAAAACTCCCCTCGTGAGAGAGGGGATTTTGGGGCGTTCCTTCCCGAAGCAAAACATTTGTTTTTTTTTTAAAGAGCTGCATGCCACGTCCGATGTTATTTAATCGCCATGCATTAACGCAATATTCATTAAAAAAACAAAAAACGAAGCTGCACAATCATGCAATGGGACGCTGCACAGACTCGCTGGGATCCTGCGGACCCGTGAAGGTGGGCGGGGGGGGGGGGGGGGCATCCTGCTGAGCTGAAGCTGCAGAACGCAGCGAGAAAATGCGAATTATTTCTCATTCCAACGGCAAAAACAAAAGAAAAGAAAAGAAGAAAGAATTTCGACAATGTATCCCGTGGACGATCTTGTGACCCTGCATGCAGCCTATTCGACGGGATGATGAATGCGCATGATTGACCACTGCAGATGACGCGCTAAAAGGGGTGTCAGATGGAACAAGTGCGAAAGCATTACACACGGTTGTTGTAAAGGAATGAAAGAAAAAAAAAAAAAGAGACTACCGGCTCACCTTTTTTAAGCGGCTGTGGATCATTGTTTGGAAGACTTGAGCCACGACCAGGGCGATCCCCACGATCAGGAGGTGAGCGCACACGATGCCGGTGGCGTAAATGCAACAGGACCTGCGAGTCATGATGCCCGGTGGATGAGGCGTCCTCTCCGGGGAAGATATTCAATAAACAACTTCACTGAAGTCGATGATAACTTCCTCCTCCCCCTCCTCGAGAAATTCGTTCGGGCGATGTGCGGGATCGAGAGAGACCCGGATCCGGCGTTTGTCTCCGGGGCGGCAGCTGCTCGCAGGGCGGGTTTAAACTTCGGCTCTTCCCGGCGAGGCTAAAACGAAACGATCAAAAGGAAAAGGGGGGGGTAAAAAAACGAAAAAGGATGGCACTTTATCATCGAAATGTGAAAGAGGACGCCTGAGCCCGAAAGGGGAGAGAGGGGGGAGTGAGCGGCTCGCAGGCGACGTTGAAATGAATCGGCAGCGCTGAGAGCATCGTAGAAGAAGAGCTGTGCCTCCTCCTCCTCCTCCTCCCCTTCCTCTCTGCGCAATAATGAACCCGGTCAGGCGCAAAAAGCGGCGCTGTGGGAGGCCGCCCGGTGGGTTTGTGTATGGGATGTTTTTGTTTTTATTTCACGGGGGAAGATGTCACCGTTCTAATAAAATAAAAACAAATCAATAAAAAAAAAACGCGGTATATGAACTCAAAACAAAAAAAAAGCGGAAATAGCTTTTAATTGTTATTTTTGGTGCCCTCGAGCGCAATATATTCGTCGCTATTAACTTTAAACCGCCTTTTGTCGCAGCGATCATTTAAAGGCGTGATCCCGTCGCAAATAAGCGGCGGGTGTGAACATGCCGGAGGATTATGAATGAATGGGCCGCAGCGTGCTCGGGATTATACGCGGTAGTATTCCCGCGGGCGACTCTCCGTGAGACTCCACGGGGGTGTTTTGATGCAAATGTGCAGGAAACGATCCAAAACGTCTCTCTAAATTTTTAATGAATAGCTGCAAACTTTTGCGGCCGTGACATTCCATCGTGCATCACTCCCCGGTGGTGAGGATTGGGGAGATCCGTTACTTCTTTTCTTTTTTTTTTTCCTCCCCGTTTTTTAAAATACCCGCATTCCCCTTTAATAAACCCAGCGTGGCCGTGAATAATGCCTCTTTCAAGCAAACCCACGAGCGCTGACGCGAGGTCTTTGTCCCGATGGCGGGGGCTCTCATTGGCTGCGGCCTCACGGACCACCGAGAGGCACGCCCCCCCTGCGCCCGCCGATTGGTGGGATACTGGCGAGTTCGATCGAGAACGTGATCGGCTGATGTTGGGGGCGGGGCTCCCGTTAAAGGGGATTGCGACGCCGCGAAGCTCTCGGCCGACGGACGGAGAGAGGAGGCTCGGCTTTAAGGAGGCATGATGCTGAGGAGGAATAACGGTACAAAAAAAAAACACACAAAAAAAAAGTTGGTGGAGGATAAATGGTCTGCATTACGGTCATCGCGGGGAGAACTATACTAATATGAAATACACATAAATCACAGGCAAATAAGAGCAGCTAGGGGCCTCTTCGCGGAGGGAACGTTGAGCAGTGGAGTTGACAGGATTTAGATGAACCGAGAGACAAAGTGTTAAGGGACACACACAAAAATCTACACAAGGAGTAAAATATACTATAATATGTTCTTGAGTCAAAGAACAAACAACATGTCGTGCAATTTTACAAACAGGATGAAGTGAATGTCAAAAATCACTTAGAATATTGAATATCTTCCACCTAGACAGCATCGGCTAATTTCTTGCCCTGATATCAAAGCTGGAAAGCGTACGTTTCATTACAGGTTTTTCTCAGCCCTATAAAGACTTTCTGTCTTTTATCTGCGCCGTTCAAACTGGTAGAGGGCCGAGGTGTAAAAAGGTGATGCCACGTCATTCTGTTCAGCGCTTCACATTCAAAATACAGCAGAATTAACAAAGCAGTTGGCTGAGCGCTGAGTCTGCTTGCAGCACCTGCATCCATAGGCTGTTTTTAACCTGCCAAATGTCACCGCCGCCAGAGAAGCGTGACAACCACAAACATGGCCGTCTCGCTTCTCGGCACCTGCAGGGGGCCGATAATCCATCTGTGTGCAGTCACCATGTCCAATGCAACTGTGAATGTGTGTTGTGAGTCCACAGTGTAGCGTGTGCATAACTCGGACCATGTGCCATCCGGCTTTGGTGAAAGCAGTTCCTCATTGGTAAAGATGTCATAATTGGTCACGGTGGTGGTCTAGATTCTCAATGTGACATGCAGAAGAAAAAAACAGCAATGACGTTGACTTTTTGCAGCTAAATTCCAAGAAATCAATTCTTTCCAGCGCAGCAAAGATGCATCTGTACAAGGCTGCTGGTTGGACAGTTTTCTCAGAGCTGGGAGCCGGGGGAATATCGATCTTTTGATCAAAGCAATTTTTTAAAACTATGATTTGGTCTCAGCAGCAGATGTAACACTAGTACGGAGGTACCTTCCTCCCCGTGGTTGTGGCAAAAGCATTACATTCAAACCAGATTCCTTCAAATAGGAAAACATTACAGCATGTCAATATCTTTTAAGAAGGCGCCACACCTTTAATATAATATTCACAACACTGAGCTTGTGAATGTGCAACCAGAAATGGCGTTAAACACAATCAAGTTTTGACGCCCCCCCAAAGGGGACGTTTCTCCAGAGCTCTCCAGATTCCTCAGCACTCCAAAGCATGAAACCTGTTTAAGGCTGAAACGGGACACGAGGAATCGAGATCCACCACCCACAATGTTTACAGACAACACCAGCTGCTTATCTCAGAGCTTTTACCCAGAATTCCAGTGGACGCGACGTCGGTTCAGATTAGAAGTAAAAAAAAGCAGGCTGGATGAATCTGTCGTTCAATCAGTTTCTCGCAGAATTTCACCAAACTCAGTGATGAGTCTTTTTTGGGGGTTCTGTTGGTGGTCAACATGTTAGCATGCGTCGCCGCTATAAAACACTACTTGAGGGTGAGCAAGTTCATGCAGCTACCTCTTTCAAAATCCATTCATAAATAAAGTAGAACAAAAGACTACAAATATTTCTCAGGAAGTTATATACGTCGTACGGTTTGATGTGGCTCAATGGAAGGAACTCACTGGGCTGGACTTTCAGCAGCGATGCATTTGAGTCGTACCTCATTGTGTCAAAGCCTTTTTGCGATCCCACAGGACGGGGGTTTGCAGGAGGGGGCCGGCATCTGTTCAAACAAGAGAAGTACAAAATGCTAAAGAAAATCATTAGGGGGGGGAAGGATAACAGTCAAGTAATGCAGCAACATTGTTTCTGCCAAAAGAAAGGGTGGGAGGGTGAAGAGGGGTAAATCAGTTCAACCTTTGTAATGGGCTCTTTTTATGTTTGGTCAGCAGAGCGACACAGATTCTTTTTTTTTGGTTGGAGGCTGAAGACACCCAGCTTTGAAGGCCCTGCACAAAGCTATTCGATGACTACAGATTGTATTTATGTGAATAGGTACTGCGTGATGAAAGGGGTTCATAGTGAAAATAAGGCGAGCATTCATGCATTCCACAACAGGGAGACTTTTCTCAAGAGGGTAAGAAATTTCAAACAAGTGTTTGTAGTCCCCATAAATCTTTCATTGTGGTCCGACGCGGTTTGACCTAAAACAAAAAAAAAAATGGCACCAACGCTTTGGGGTTTTCTCTTTGAAGACGCTGCTGAAGCGCAAACGTCGAGCAACAGCGAAGCATTTTCATTTGGACACAAGTGTCCATTCATGGGTTTGGGAAAGAGGGTATTCTCTGAATGTGTCACACATTCTGCACAGTCAGCTGGTTGGAGGCCTCTGCGACGGACACACCCGACGATTATAATTATAATAAAAGTTTAATTGAGGACCCGTGGCTCAATGGGTGAACCTGAGGTTGTTATCCAGATAATGCAGAGTGTGACGTGACAGTGGACGTAGTCGTAGCTCAAAGGTAAATCCGGTTTGAGGTTTGATGGGTGGATTTGCTGTATACTTTGCGCAGGCAAAATGTAAACACAGGTAAACTGTTTGAGGGTATATATCGTCAATACACACGCGTCATGCAAACACATGCATGAAAGGACTATTTGTTATGCGCACTGCTGTACAAATAAGACGCCCAGTTGCCGACACCCAACTGCCAAATTATTGAGATAATCGCTAAAAGAGGAAAAAGAGTCTACAGCGGCGCTATCTGTTAGGCAGGTTTAATGTTTTTCGAAATTTTCAATACTATAAGTACTTCACGGTGTCACACCAAAGCAGCAGTTTGCCTTACAACACTATGCTCTATGTTACAGTTTCTACTGTAATTCTTCATAATGGTTTGGAAAAAGTCTATTTTTTGAAAAAGAAACTCCTTCCCACCCTGTGTTTTAACCACGGAATATACAAGCTTCTGTTCAAACTCAACTGCATGGAGATCTCTCAAATTTTGAAGGAGCCGTATTTTTACTTGACAAACAACATTCAACTGCCTTTAAGATTAGGAAAAGATGTGAAGAAACCCCCTCCAGTCCTCCACCGGTCACATTCCATCATATGTCCTCCCTATCTGCTGCTCCCTCCCCATGACAGCACAGTGGAAACAACATTAACTCTTTCTGTAAATACTGCTCGGCGTGGTAAGCGCTGTCTACCACCCCAGGCTGCGCCCCGGTGGAGCCTGGTACCGGACATTAAGTCACAGCGCCTTGGAGGCTGAGGCCGCCTTTGTGAGGCCACAGACTGATCTACAGGCGCAGACGTCGGAGTGCAGTCTGGTGAGGAGTGGAAGACCTTTTCACTGGAGGTGATGAATGCAGACCCGGGTCACAAAGTGGACCCAGCGTAGAATTTATTTGTGGGCTAATCCATTCCTTGCTCTCCTTGGAGAGGATCACAGAGGCAGAAAGAACTCCTAAACTGCAGTGTTGGAAAGTAACTCACGTACTCAAGAACTGCGCGTGAAGATAGTTGTGAGGCCCTTTTACTTTACAGAACAATCAAGTTGTTTGTTTGTCCTTGTATGGTACTTTCTCAAGGTTTGACTTTCTAGTTTATTTACTCAACAGCAGTTAAGTGATGGAGTGACCGTAGAATTCCTTTGTGCGTGTAGGTGTGGTTCATTTCCCACCATTCAGCCGGTGGGTTTTGTAACAGGGGACAGCGACTCATTGTTCCCGCAAAGAACAAGTGGAAATGTAGGAAATTTAAAGAGCCACTGCTTTCACACCACATTGCAATGACAGAAACATGCTGATGTCCACAACAATTTATCATGAAAAAAAATGTGCATCATGATTTTTTGTTTTGTTGCGGTGACCCTGTTTAGCCCCGATGTCCCGAGGCTTTAGAGGAGAGTTATGCAACAACGCGGTCATTGTGCATTATCAACATTATCTGACAAAGTCAACCCATAGTTTGGCTTCGCTCAATTTGAACGGGAACTATGCAAAGACATTATGAATACAGTCATGTGGAGGGTTTTGTCCCGATGGGGGAAAAAAGACTTTCGGCTGTATTGTAAAACATGTAAAAAACATGTACTACATTATTTAGCTGCAGCTGTTAAATAACAACTTGTTGTGCAATATTGATAAGTCATCATTTTACAGACAGAAAAACGGCAAGAATTTCATAATTATTATTATTTTAGCTTCTCAAATGTGGGAATATGCTGCTAATGTCTGTTTGATATCATTCAAAGCTGAATATTATTGGCGTTCAGACTTCCTGTAGGGCCAAAATAATCAATTTGAAGATGTTGACAAGGGCGCTGGGAAATTAAGTTGGACGATCAATAATGATTGTTAGCTGTGGTTTAATTATATGTAATAATTTAAACTAGAACTAACCAGACACAGACCAGAAAAAAAAGAATAAGGAATCACAAAGAAAGACAGAAAAAAACAGAATTACTTAAAAAAAAATGTGTCTTGAATCATGATGTAATAAGTTACATTTCTATTTCTAGGATGTTGTTTTTAATTCAGTTTATGACAATGAAGGGCAGGTGGAGCTCTAACTTTAAATAATGGTCAGTCAAATCGATTACATTCCAGCCACAGTGGACAGGACCTTGAGGACACTGAAGACGTACGTATAGGAAAACCTGTCGTGCCAAATCCTGTATGGCATCCTGTACTGAAAGGTGATGGGAGGTTTGCACATCCTCTCTGTTGTATTGTTACTCAACATCCCAAAGGCTCTTAAAATGGTATTAAACTCACTGGAAAACCAGCGTGCTGCCAAACCCTTTGATCAACAGCCTTTCCTGCGTATTATCCTCTTTTCCTCCTATTGTACTCATCCAAAGAATTAGAAAGTCTTTCGTGGATCTGTTGTTGTTTCTAATTGTACGTGTGTAAAAATAAACGAGAACATAACCCGCCTCCCTGGGACCTCTCTGGGTAAATCAGAATGCAAATAAAGGGCTGACATGATAATCTTAGTAACATCCATGTAATTGCGGATTTGTTGATGGATTCATTTCATAAAATATCATCAGTTCGCAGGTGAAAACTCTCGTATTTCTTTTCCCAAAGGGGCGGAGTTTTCCCAAGTCAGGCCATCTTCGTGCAACCATTGAGAGAGCTGATGGTGGATACTGACAAATTACCCAGGTGTTGTGTGTCAGTGTTTATAAATCAGGCTGCGTGAGAAGGAAACACTTCCAAAGTGGGAAGAAAGGTGCGGTGAACCTGTGAGTACACAACGTTTCAGGCGTTTCCTGGCTGTGGTGAAGAAGATAGATAAGACCGTGGCAGCGGGGAAAAAGTATCTGGCAACGGAGCCGGAGCTCCTCCAGGACAAATAACAGCGCGAGTTCATCCAGGCGCAAATGAATCATCATGACTTGACAAAAAGGACGGATGTGCCGATTCCCCAGAAGGGCAGGTACCTCTGATTTCAGATGAAAACAAAAACATAACTTTAGAGGCATGTTTTCGGAGAGAATTTCATTTGCTGGTCTTCCTCCTCATTTCGAGCACTTAAATGGCGATGGCAACGTTCCATAGTGAAGACACACTAAACAGAAGTTGCAGCGGAGCCAAAAGGGGAAGGACAACGCCTGACGTGACACTCGGCCTCTAGAGGTCACCGCATGTCACCCGGTCTGACGTGGGTATGTGGGTATATGTGTGTGTGTGTGTGGGAAGGGAGGGGGGGGGGTATAAGCACTTTTTACCAGTGTCACGTGACTGAAGCTCCAACCCCTCAATTTCAAATTCGGTAAATTCCTCCCAGAAACGGCGGCACGATGTTGTCATGGCCAGGTGGCCCATTCGCGTACTGCAGGTCCGCGTCGCTGCTGCGTCACGTCAGCGCGCTCCTGTGACAGCGCGAGGCCACGGCTGCACTGACAAAACGCAGCCATTCACAGCCCGCGGACGCTCAAGATCCTGCTGGAAACACCGGCGCGCCCATTGGATTGTGACTGTACAAAAACACCTACAGTCATCAGCCGATGGTTTGTTACACAAGACTCGACTGAAGCACAACAATTAGAAGTTATTCGTTCTACCAACAGCTGCTGCTACTTTAGCGACTCCATCAACCGTCGGGATCTTTTAGGCCTACGAACCCTAATTTAATTTAAAGTATACAGGCACTTGAAGCGGTCAGACGTGCATTCAAATGTCCCAGTTCTGGAGCCAGCTGTGTCACTGGCAAACAAACAAACAAACAAACAAACAAACTGAAACGGAGCGTTAGACAGTTCACTGGCTGCATTGAAATGGTTTACTGGGTTGGTTTGTTGCTGTAAATAGGGAACATCAGTGCTGAGGGAGAGGAGTCAGTGGTCCCTCTGTCCCTGCAGTGTTTCCCCCGGTGTTTGAACAGACGAAGAGTGAACTCGGGGCTAATTAGCTAATTCATCAGGCCCAATGGGAGTGACGTGTGATTAAATCAAGTCAACAACAAAACCCCTTTCTACGCAAAAGAAGTTGTCGGGAATTACCCTGGAATCTTTTAGTTGGCTTTCAGTTCTTTGCAGTTTCAAGAATTACAGTAAAGTACTGCTCCGTGGCAAGTAAACATCAGTTTACAACAAGAACAAATAAAAATAAACAAGCAGAGCCCCAAGTAAATAACAGTTTAGGCTTTATTCAGCCAAGGCTTCAATTTTTTTCAATTTTGATGAAGGTTAAAGGTAATATGTTCTTAATAGCTATACGGTTTAAGAAAGTAGAACAGGGTTAAAATCACTAGTTAAAATAATTTCACAACCAGCAGCCGGATTTCCACTTACAGCAGATATGTACAAATACAAAGCATGCGTCCTTTTAATTGTGAGACTTTTAATCTGGTAGATTATACTTAGTAAGTAAAATACTAAATGTCTTTCACCTGTCTAGTTTATTTACATTCTGGTCTAACTACTAATAAATGGATCCTTTCAGATGCACATCTCAGGATGTTCTGTTAGCAGCGACTAAAGCTCATAGCAGCAAGGTGCCGTGGTAACGGGCCGGCACAACCCGGGCTGGTAATGTTCTAACAGGGAGAGCCCCCTAGTGCTCGACGGGAGACGTCCCGTTTAACAGCTTCAACTCCACAAGTGTGCTGCTGAGTGGACTCATGGAGTGGAACGTTAAAAACAGCCGAGCTCCCCGACTGCTACGAAGCCCTGTTCTGTAACGTCACAGCTGTCACTCGACCAACACAACAGCTGTAAGTTAAACATCCTATAAATATCCTACACAGCATAATCAATCATCACTACTCACTCGCTCGCTCGGCAATGTAAAGTCTATTTACAGTCCGCACTAAGCCTGCCCAGAGAGCCCGGCTGGCAACCCCCCCCCCCCCCCCCATTCATATAAGGCGAGACGTCTATTTCAGGTGAATGTATATTTCTTAAATGAGATTTGTTACTGATTTGCGAAGAGATTTGCTTCCTTCACTCTGTCGCAAAGAGGCCAACAGCCCACCACAGGAGTCTCTGACGTTGCCACGGTTACCAAGTAACAAACCATCGTAAACTAAATGGAGACGGAAGTGAGTTGGATCTTTGATGCCAACCGGCTGCACAACATTACCACAGAAAAAAAGAACTTTCCTGAAGATTTTGTACTGCTTTAAAAAAAAAAAAGTGAACTCAATTATATTAATAACAAGCGATGGAAGGCAAAAACATGAGGCCCCTTGGCCCTTGGTAAGTGAAACTATCAATGGTCTGTGTCTCCATTTTGAGTAAAGAAATGAGGAGCAGTTGTTTCTTTGCTAATTTGAATTTAAAGAATATGTGGTGTCTGTTATTATGGTACTAGAACATAGAACACTTGTGTTAGATTTTAGAGGACAATATTAGTACTGTAGTGCACCTATACTTTCTAATCATTACCCTTAACTTATTTACATCCATATTGTCTCAACAGGATCTCCTCGGTCGGCACTTGTTTCCGTTTCTCATCAGCGAACCTCGATGAATCGTCACTCTCATTGGGGGACCGGGGATGTGTCTTCGCCGGTTGTTTTCCACGACACCCCAAAACAGAAGTCCACTAATTCCGGTCCAAAGGCTAAGAAGGGCCTTTCTAAAGAACATGCTTGCTTCTCCAAGCAGATGACCCAAAAGCAGATTCGCAGAGAATATGTGGCCGCTGTGGAGAAGAAGCTCCAACAGCGTCCTCTGGCTACGTTCCCGCACTATAGGGAACACATGACCCCCCAAGTGAGTGGAGACGACACCAGTCTGGACGACCAAAGCTGTAACGTGTCAGAACCACGAGGCCAGCTCGACACGTCAGGAGGTGTGATCCGAACCCGGCGCGAACTCACGTTTAAAGGGGGTCTTTTTCCTCTCTACAGTTATTCGACGAGGTGGTGTCCATTCTGGACCCGGAGCTGAGCGTGAACAGAGCCGCTACACTTCCCACGACTACTGGAGACCACGTGGAGGAGGAAGACGAAGAAGTAAACAGAGCAAAACACAAGTAAATGTGTAGTATTAATATAATCTAAATTAATACAAATTGTCTGTAATTAGGCTTCAGATTATATTTCAATCATTGTAAAATAAGCACAGTGCCAAACAAACCCTTAAATTCTACTAATGGAAATGTTATTAAAAAGGGTCATGCAGTCAAAGTGAATCAACTGAGAACACACAAAGACATGAAAGTAGCTGCCAAACCTGTCAGCAGATGATTTGCAGGACAGTCGGAGCTAAAACAAAAAGCACGACAGTGTTGAGATCATCATACAATGGATTTATTTTTGACTCTTTCACTGCTGTGAAAGAAGGAATTTCTCAGGACAAGAATGAAATCCGTTCACAGACACAAACAAGCTTTAAAAGTCTCTCAGGCAATTCAGCTGTAAAAAGAGCAAAAGTACACAAAAACTCAGACCCACAAAGTGTCGTAAACACTTTTCTGATTAAAAGGTGCATTAAAAGGACTCACGGGACATGAGCAGGGAGCTTTTGTGTCACATGATAAGATGAAGACTGTGTGAAACAGTTGGTTTACTGACTGAATCAGGAGCTAAAAAAGACGTATGAAACCATATCAATGAGGTGTTATGTAACACACATACTTTAAAAAGAGGAAGCAAAAAAAAGAATTGTCTGCAATGTTTTAGTTTCAGTGCAGAGGAAACATGAAGGCTCAGTGTGTAAGCAGATGTTCAACAGTTGATGCCACGGCATTGTTCACTCCTCTTCCATGTTTGTCACAAGCTTGTTCTGCGTAGCGCCAATATATGATTTATCTTCATTTGGCACGATTAGAGGTGTGAAATAACAACTCAAACACATTTGTTGAATAAAAACTTTACACAATTACACAATATACACAATGAATTACAAAGTTACACCTGATTGGGGATTGCATTTGTTTGACAACTTCATCTGGGGAGCCTTTGGAACAAGAAAAGAAGCTTCCTGAAAGGGAACAAAAAGTGGGATCAATCAAACACATCTCTGAAAAGCCTGATAGACAAGTGGAACACGGAACTCTACCAGTGATAAAATTGATTCTGTTGCCTCATTGAGTGTTGCACGTGCACCGTGACATCTGTTGCTGAGGTCCAGTTGATGAAATCATTACTATGAGAACATAAACTGGATAAAGGTACAGAGTACTCGGCCTTTGTGCAAAGCTATTCAGCTCTTTCCTTAACTAATGACTCTGTGGTATTTGTGTAAATGATACTCACTGATAAGAAGGGCCGGCCTCGGGAGTCACTGTCCGCTGTTCGGGTCAGAGGTCAGGAGCGAGTACACTGGCGACTTGCGACCCAGTGAGCGCAGCAGCGGGGAGGAAGTGAACCTCGCTGCAGTCGCTGGATGTGAGACAACGCCCCCTGGAACGGTCACATTTATGTCGCAGAATTCAACATTGGTGTCAAGTAAACTCCACAATTTATACATATATATATATCTCAAATAGGACGGGCTTAAAACAGAGAGAAGAAGTTACCAGCTGTGCTTCAAAAATAACCGGAACAATTTACAATTTCACATTTGCAGTTTACGTTTTCTGTTCACAGGCAAACTTTGTAACTAAGATGTTTGGCAGATTGCAAACGGCATCCATAAAAGGGGGTCAAACTTGTTTTTGGACTGCATGAAGATGACAAAGTTGAGAGAACTCACTCTCACAGAAGGATTTCTTGTTGATTGCTTCTCCGCTGAGCTCCGCCTCCTTTGGGAAATGTGTCTCGCTGTACACGGTGTATGCACAAACACATGCGCATTACATCCTGTTACACAGCTCGCGGCGCCATGCATGTTTCATGAGGGGGTGAAAGGTCGCGGGGAAGACGGTGCTTCTAGCCTGGAGAAGAGGCCATGCAAAAAAGAGTCGGCGGCGTTGGCGGCGGTTCGACTTTGCTTTTGCGAGCGCCCTACCTGCCGCAGGTTCTTCTTCTCCATCTGGAACCAGCTTCTACTCCTTCTGCTTTGTCAGTACTTTTGTGGGTGCAGGGAAATATCCAAATACAGAGAGAGACATTTAATGTCAATGATCGAAAACAGACATCTTAAGATAAAAAGGACTTTTTGAACTGGACTGGAGTCTTTTAATGATACAGTACGGTGCAAGCAGCAAAACACGGTGTGGTTATTGCGCCCTTCCTCCTCACCCACCTCCGCTCCAAATGACTTCCTGCATACTTAGTAGCATCACATGATTTTTAAGTTGTGACCTAACCTCGCCTAAGAGCGAGAGATAATCCGAGCAGTGTGTGGGAACCGAGCCAGACGTACAATGCGGTTCCGTGCTCTCTCTCCGGCGCAGACCTCCTCCTGACTTCTGTGTGTGGTCTGTGGTTCTCCGAAATCACTCCTCGCAGCTCTCGGACGGGAGACCTGAGCCGCTGGGCGTGGCACCGCTGCGGGAGGAGAGAGAGAGAGAGAGAGAAAGGCAATGCACTGCTGTGCTGATATTTTGAGTTTGAATACAAGACAATGGCGACAATTTCCGCGAGCATCAGCAACAGGATCTTTCATTCTTTAGTCAGTAACAACACACAAGGCCACACGTAGTAGCGCTGCAACGGTTGCCAATCGGCCTTTCACCGCTTGGTTGATATGATTTGAAGTTGGGCTTACAGGAATGTAATGCTGCGTGTGTGTTTTTGATTTAAAGGCAGAGCAGATGTGCCGAGCTTGTGTCCGTGCAGCCAAACAAACAATCATTCACATATTGCGTTGGACGGGCCGGAGCCGTGGGAGAAAGGCGGAATGCAAGGAGCTCCTCGCTGTACCGTGATCTGGGCGTTGAAGACGTGCTGGGAGGAGGGTGGGTCGCTGAGTGAAGATGGGGATGGGGAGTCCGGGTCAGATGGAGGGACATTTGGAGCTGTGTGCAAATTCTGACCTTGGAGCTCCTACAGAAAAGACAAAAGGTTTGTTACAGGGGATCTGTACCTCAGCTCAATTTAAGAAAGTAAGTATATAGTAAGAATAAGTCCAACTACATAAAGACATAAATACCAAACATGCATGATGAGGTGAAGCTTAGCCTAAAGCATTTAAACAACATGCATACGCAGACTGTGTATAAGTGTAAAAGCCCTTTTTCCTCTCACAAAAAGACTCTTTGTCTGTAATCAGCTCTACCTTCAAGTCCAGGGCATGTTGGAGTTTCAGACGGAAAAAGTCCTGCTCCTTCAGCTGGAGGAAATCTTTACAGTCTGCAAAGCTCTCTGACATCTGTGGAAGGAAAGAGGATATGACACAATAACAGAGTGATTGACACGAATGGAGACAGAAGCGGACAGATGATTATTTATTTACTTAAAAATATCAACATTTGGGGTTTGTTCCAGAAGAAGGTAACAACTGTCGGGGGAAGGTGGTGGAGAGAAAACCCTACGACATTAAACAATGTTCTCAGGGAGAACAACAGTTCCTCTTAAGTCCGTTTGAGATAAACTCAAAAGGAAAGGAAACAAAACTCACTGACCAAACACAATGATGTTGGACCGTTTATGGTCTCCATTAACTCAAGGACCCCTCATTGATAACAACATTCTTATTAAATAAAAACGGGTGTGTTCTGTTTTGACTTGATGTGTATTTCAGTTCCAAACACCAGCTAACATTTGGTGGTAACATCATAAAGTGTGCATGGGCATCACCTTGTGAAGGATGGCCTCCAGCTGGCCGACGCGCTCCCTCAACTGTTTATCTTTGGAGCGAAGGGCCTCCAGCTCAGTGCCAAGTTGTCTCTTCTCCTCCCCGACGAACATCAGCTGCTGCAGCTGACGGCGCTTCTCCAGACTCTGGAAGCGCTTCTCCTGGACAGAATGTTCAGTGAAATGGGAAGGGTGGGGAAGTTGGATATTGTGTGAATATGCTTTGGTGTCATGTCCCGATGTTATGAATATAGTCATTAATGCACCTTTTCTTTATAGCAAAGATTGCTAATTCAAATGATTGCCTTTAGCGTGCAAAAAGGGGACGGTTTTTTACTCTATTCTGTTATAGGGCGAGGGTAATGAAACAAAATCTGATTTATTATTATATTAAACGATAATAGTGTAATGGTGTAGTTTACTATTTTACAGGGAAAGGCCGTTCCACTAAATCAATTTGGTGTCCAAGAAATAAAATAAAATAAAAAAATGAAAATGCTCAAAGGCTCACATGTCCATGAAGCCTTCCTTCAAGTACAACGGCACGAACTCCCTGCTGACGGGTCACTCGTTGGAGCTTTAGCAGAGTTGGAGCTACATGCGTATTTGGATCTTTTCCCAGAATAATTTAGAAATTAATAAATGTCTTCCAAGGTCAGCCATTTACATTTTTTATATCAATTTGAGACATTTGGATCAGAATGAGCTGAATCTTTTCAACCGCTGGAGGTACACAGCCCGCTGTTTTAGAAATCAGGAACTAATAAATAATTAATAATAATAATAATAATAATAAAAAAAGCTGTGTGACGCAAAAGAAGAAGCAGAAACGCTGGTACGTTGTTTATTTACCTGGTACAGCTGGTCTATCGTCTCCTCCAAATGTTTGATTTTGCTCTGCAGGGAGTCCACCTGCTTTCTCCTGGCCGTGATCTCCTTCTGCATGTCCATGGCTACTCGGAGGCCTGAGGTGAACCGACCAATCAAAACGACAAGAAGGGCAAGGAGGAGATTTATAGCGAGAATCATACACGTAATATACGAGAACATCAGTTGAAATCCCAGAGCTTTTAATCGTGGACAGGCTTAGTACGTGTCAGGGACATATGTTCATGGTTGAACAGATCAGGATTCCGTCTCTCAGAGTGGAGTGCAGCAGAGGAGGATATATACACATTTGTACTATGAGCTGTCGGTATTGCTAGATTTAGAAATAAATCTCTGCTATCTCTCTCTATGTTTCTTTCTACATTCAACTTTTAATCAAGCCTCAGTGTAAATTACGTCAAGAATCTAACCGTGTCCGTCGGCTCCTTCCAGGGTCCTCAGGGTGCACCTGACCTGGTCGCGCTCGTCATGGGCGGTCCTTATTTGACTCTGAAGCTTCAGCACCGCACCCTCGTGCTCATCGTTCTTGGCGCTGTGGAGCTGCTGCAGTTCCTCGTGCTCCTCTGAAATCGTGCCCGCACAAACACATGCATCGAATCCACAGAGCGAAACACACACACACACACATGGAAGAAAGGGCTTGGTTGACAGTGAAAATATGGTTCTTTGTTTTCCTAAACACAGCTGGACAAGAAAAAAAAAATGTTTGAGCTGCTGAGGAAAAAGTCCACATGGAGTACCATATGCTTTGGTAATTCAACTAAGGCTGCATACTTACATATCTGAATCAATTACGTCGTTTATCCATTAACCAAATCAGGTTTACAATTTTTTTATTAATTTGAAATAAAGTGAATATATATTGTGGGATAAATGTAAGTATTGAGTGTGTACAGTGTTCAATTTTATGAGGCTTTGTGCGCATATTTATCTAACCGCTGGACTGGGACACTATATGGGATGCTGGTGGGTGTAAATACATATTGGAATGTCTGCTTTGATGGTAATCCAACAAGGTCACGTTCACAACCAGACAAAAGAAACATTCATTCATTACTATTATTATAGGAAGGCAAATGCTTATCAGTTTGTATTCATAACCATAGTACCAGTAAAAAGTTTGGACACATTTTCTCATTCAATTCAATGAAAAGGTGTGTTCAAATGTTTGACTGGTTCTGTATATTGGTCCCAAGTGTGCGGATGCACATCATTGAAGCTCAACTCACTATTGAGGGAGCGTAACTGCAACCGCTGGATGTCCAGCTGGACGGCGAGCTGCTGCTTCTCCAGAGTTTCCTCCCGTGCACGCTGACTCTGTTCAGCCACAGAGGCCTGTAGCTGCAGCCTGTCCTGCTCTGCAGCGGCCAGGTCGGACTTGTGCCGGTCTAACTCGGCCTAATCAGCATATGTCACGAGAGGAAGGAAGGGAGTGAGAGGTTAGTGATGATATAGGTTGAGTATGAAGGTCAATAAGGCGGAAAAGCAAGTCTGCTTGCTTCCGACCGTGAGCTGCTGAATCGTCAGCGTGCGCTGGTTTAGCTGCTTGCTGAGGAGGCCGTTCTGCTGGTGAAGGTCGTCGATGGTGCCGTTCTGCATCTGTGTGCTGCCCTCTATCCTCTTCTCTCGGCCGTCCAGCCTGAGCCTCAGTGTCTCTCCCTCCGCATGCAGGATCCGGCATCGGCTTTGGGCTTCCTCCAACCTGGCAAGTTGCTGGAAAACGGGCACAAGTTTCCGGGATCTGTGCGGTTATATTCATAACCTCATAAAAACTCATAATGCTTAGTTTCCTTTAGAACATTACGTGCTGGGTTTCATGCTGACGGAGCAGGAGTTCCTGTTTTTTGTCCTCCAGGAGTTCCTGAGATTTCTCCCCCTCCTGGGCCTTCTGCCTCAGCAGGGCCTGCGGGCAATTTTTCACATACAGGTTAGGACACGTAAACCGCCTACTGTCAAAAAGCTTTATCTGTAAGAATTGGGATGAAACGTACACCAATTTGGGCAGCATGAGTAATTTCAATGGAATGGGCGACGTTTAATAGCCCGAGCCTGGCACTCCTCGTTCACCTTTCCCACCTGCTGCACCAGCAGATTACAAACCTCTACTTGTCTTTGTGTGCTCCATCTTAATACGTAGAACTTAAGCATCATTTCAAGGACCTCACATGAAAACTTTTGGAATCGACAGCATGTAGAAGAAATGCTGCTTTTCACCTTGAATTGGTCGAGCTGGGACTGAAGCTCCTCCGTCTGTAGTAGAGAGCTCGCTTTCTCTCTTTGGGCGTCCGACAGGTCGGACTGAGCCTGAATGAGCTGCAGCTCCAGACAACAGACCTGCAATGTCACAAAGAAGAATCTGATTTAATGTTAGTTTTTATTCTGATTGAGGACGCAGCGTGGAGCACTTTCCCATACCCTCATTGCATGTGTTTGATCTTCAAGCTCATTGATCTATAAATATAGTGAAATATTGACATTTAACCGCCCAAGTATCTCATTGCTTTGCATTATATTGTTCATAGTATTCTCGTACACTCCCCGTTACCTTATCTGTATGACGGCAGAGACTTGACTCCAGTTCACTGACTTGACACCGGTGCAGTAATGTCTGTCTCTCTGCAAGTTTCCTGGGATAAACGTACATCATATTTCTGACACATAAACATTTAGTGGCTTCAGACTGAAAACACTCCAATAAATCAGGCACCAAATGAATGGGAACGACTCTTACTTCAGCAGCTCCAACTTGACACATAAAGTGAAGCTGTCGTTGGTCGATGAGCTGAGTTTGTCAGTCAGCAGCGCCACCTCCTGGCCAAGACTTTCAATCAGGTCTTCCATCCTGGAACAGATCAATATGAAGGATGAACACCGCTACAGATAAACTATACTTATGATACACTACGGCAAACCATGGCTTACAGCAGAAGTAATACAAAAGAAAACTATAATTTATATGGAGCTAGTAGGCAGCTTGACCCGGAAATGTTTCCATCTATATCGAATATGACAAAGAAAAGCAGGCAAGCTGCACAGTCAAGAACCTGAGAATATCTGTTATATAAATGTATTGTCTACTGTTTTGACAGTAGCCAATTTATTTTCTGCGGATTGACTAAACAAATATTGAACTTATCGCTGCAGTTCTCCATTCAATTACCTTTCATTTTGCTTATTTACACCACTGCGATCATCACTCCCCAGATGTCTTATTGACTGCTATGAAACAGAAAAATACATTAGATTTAATAATAGGAAAGGTGTTTTTCTATGTCTACAATACACTGCACGTGATGATTAACTGACTTCTAGTCTACTTACTGAAAAAAGTCTCTCCTGTAGCTTCTCTGAATCATTGTTAACATCCTCAGTTGTCTTAGCAGCAGGTGACAGCCGTCTTGGAGCCGTGGCGACGTTAGGACCGGTGACGCCGTTGTCTCCTCGTTGTGTCCCGTGAGACAACAGTGAGTACATCTCTTTTACATTTCGTTCCAACAGCTCTACTTTCCTGTGAAATGCCAACGCCTCGTCCTCCGCCTCCCGCAGCTTCTGGTCCTCGGCCCTTTTGATGTTTTGGAGCTCTTCCAACATGGACAGCATATTTTCCATCTGACTGACGTGTGTCGTTGAATCTTTCAATCTAAAAATAAAAAGCTCAGTGGGTCAAAGAGCTTTAAAGCACTTGCTTACAGGAGTCAACTTGTTTAGGTGTCTTCACCTGAGGTTGGACAGGACGGCCTTCTCCTCCCGGACTTTGTGCAACTTGGCCTGCAGGTTCACGATGGCTTTGTTAAAACTGAATGTCTCTTGTTCCGTTTGATCACGTGGCTGTGTTTGAGAGGGTCGAATAATACATTACAAAGAGAAAGCATTACCAAAGGGGTATTACAGACAGGATCAATACACAAGATCCGTGGCAGGAAATAAAAGTATGAACCTTGTTGAGCTGCAAGTCAGACAGCTGTTGAATACAGTCATCTATTACTTTTCCCAACATTTCCTTTCCAGGACAGCTGATATCTCCTTGGTTTAAACTGTCCAGATCACACCTCGGGGGCTGAGACTCTGGCGTCTGGACGGTTGAAGGACTACTGGAATCCCCGGGTGACTCATCTGCTGAAAGAGCAGAGGAAGTTTAACAGTGTAAGATGTCAAAGACCAGATTTGGTGAAACATGCATTTCTTCATATATTTCTTTACTTATATTTAACTTTGCTCCCCGGGGTGATTTCCCTCACCCATCTGGCCTCTAGTCAGGTGATATAGGTTTTAGAATGATCTTCGGCTTTGGTCATTGTATCATACAGAGGGACGTTTCCCCACTTGTTGGGCTTTCCCTTCATTGTATTGTAACATAGGTGTTTAAAGAAAAAGAATAAACCCTACATAACACATTATCTATTTCATCTTTCTGACTGCTTCCACACTAAGGAAACGCTGTGTGATGCTGCGTGTACTCACAATAATTCCCGCTGTTTTGGCAGCTTTGTCCAGGCGAGCTGTGCGTGCTGTAAATGCTGCCCAACCTCTCCAGGGTTACTTTGGTTGCCTTTTCCACCTCTTCTTGAAGCCTCTGTGTTTCCTTGGTGCGCCGGTCAAGCTCATCACTATAAAAAAAAAGGAAAAAATAGAGAAGACGATTATGAGGGATGCAGAGCATAATTCATAGGGATGCCAAAGACATTGTGCTGTATATGTCATTTAAAGTTTGGGACAGCTAAAGCTGTGGCTGCTGATGCGTTGGAGTTGTTTTTTTAGTTGATACACAATCACCTAAAAGCTGCAAGGTATTTTGATACAGCATTAAGAATAGTTCATATTTTCATACCTCAATTCATCGAGTGTCAGACTGTTAAATCTCAGCCGGGGAATGGCGTCCTGGATATCTGTTGAACAAAGGACTTTAAGAATTGAACGATCCAATAACAGTAGTTGAACGCTAGTTAACTGTAACTTACCCGTTGATCCTGCTTGTGTTAGCTTACTATGGTTTGGCGGGGATTCAAATAGGAAAAGGTGACAGCCATTGTTGCTGGAAGGCGGAATACTCTGGTCTGGTCTGGACAGAAACTCCGATGACATCTCCGTTCACATTGGTAATTAGTCTATCGGTGTACTTCCTTAAGTTAAACTTATTCCTCCTCGAAGCTAGCATCGGCAGCTAACATTAGCCAGTGAGCTGTCGTTGGGGGTGAAGTTCTATCACCATGGAAACATCATCCTGTGGCTATTTCCTTGCTAGCGTTATGCTATCAATAATTCGATGTAGCTCGGTGCTAACACTTAAACAAATTAGCATTGTCTGACTGGCGAGTTTAGTCGGGTATTTATTCCAGTGACGCTGGTATTGCAAAGACAGCAAAAGCAACGTTAGCGCCGACACTTTGAAATAATCGCCAAACATCCGCTTTCCTTCCGCACGGTCCGTGACGCAGCGCCCCAGGGCGCGTGGGCGTTTCCCGCGGTGCATGCTGGTCATTGTCGTTTACGAACCAAGTAGCGGTTGTTTGTTTATTCAGGGCGGACCCTTTTCCTTCTTGCAGAGATCGACGCTCTTGTTTTCAACATTTGCCGACCATCATTGTAACCAACATGGAAATGTGAAGAGCTGAAAGCTGTTAACAATTTGCAGTGTTGGTATTTCCTGCACGTCAGAGGCTCCTCAGCAGGGTGAGACGACGGTTTGTTGATTTACGACTGAAACGACAGAAAGCTAACCTTAGCTAAGTTAATGTTAGCGAATTTTGTCATTATTGATTTTCCAATGCATTCAGCTTTTGGGAATTTATGGATGCTGTTGTTCACCCAAACGTATTATTTCACGATTCAACCAAACCTAAACCGTCTAATTCTTCAGCCTCTTCTGGATTACGTAATAGTAACCGAGGTGTACGTGACCTGTTTCCAGTTGTTCATTATTACACATTTACCCCAAAATCAATGTCAGCATTCATTTTGATTGGTTGAGTGTTAATGATATTGCACACATTGTTCACATTTTTAAGTTTACTGTACTTATGTAACTATGTTATAATTAGAAAAGGAGGAGGAGGGGGGGAGGCGTCACTGGTACGTGACTCCCAGTAGGTGTTGGTTAGCGACAATAATATTTACATGCAGACTATCTCGAAATATTTTGCATTCCAGGATGAGGGATCTTCACGCTATCGACAGCCGGCTCCTGAACGAATTGAAGTCATGTCGGGCAAAAGAGTACGACTTTCTTCCCAGAGAGGCCGGCCTGCGGATGATGGAGTCCGCTCCCACAGAGGTGACCCACCGAGACGCACGCGCTGGTTCTGCTGTGAGGGCCGGCTCACGGGATCTAATGCAGGAAGTTGTATATTTTCAGAATCACAGTGGAGTTTCTGCGAAATGCAGAGACGCCAGAGTGGAAGAACTGTGGGGTCTGACCAGTTTCTTTGGCTACAGAACTCAAACATTTGTCCAAGCTGTCAATTTGCTTGATAGATTCCTCACTATCATGAAGGTAGGAATTCGACAAAGCATTTCATTTCAACATAAACAACTGTGCACGTTTTGTGTTACCGGTATGAAGCGAGCACAACCGGGTTGACTTTGTTTTCCCTTGAATCAGGGGGGGGGCTGTGTGCTCACACGTCTGTTGTGTCATTGCGCCAGGTGCAGCCCAAACACTTGCCCTGCATCGGAGTCGGCTGTCTTCACATTGCGGCGAAGATGGTCGAGGAAGAGAACGATGTGTCGCCCACCCATGAACTCATCCGTATCAGCCAAAGCAAGTTCACTGTGTCAGACCTGTGTCGCATGGAGAAGATTATCTCAGAGAAGCTCAGCGTGGCGCCCGAGGCAGTGACGGCTTTAACTTTTCTACGCCTCTACTACCCCACCTTCACATTCCTGTCTGCTGGAAGGTAAATATTTTCTATTTCGCTCTCTCCTATCGCTGTAGATGCGTTGCTCCAGTTGCCGTGGAGTTTTGCTCAAATAGATTCTGCTTTTTGAGCTTTGTACCGGCGGATCACACTAGGATTCCCTCTATATTTTAAGGGAGGAGATCCCAAGCATTGGGAGACTGGAAGCCCAGCTTAAAGCCTGCTTATGCCGACTTGTTTTCTCTAAAGCAAAAGTAAGAATTGTTACAGGCGACCATTTCACAGCATAGAAGAATTCACGCTTTCAGTCCCAGCACTTAATGATCTGCTACTTTTCTTGTTTAAAGCCATCCGTGCTGGCACTGTCCCTCATTGCCCAGGAGCTTGAAGCCCTCCAGTTCACCGCCTTGTCGGAGATTGTACAGCAATTCCAAAGACACCTAAAGGTATGAAAAGAGTAGCCATGTAACAAGATATTTAATTATCATTTAATACGTATTTCTAATAGTCTGCTTATAGCAAAAAATGTCCATCACAGGTTATTAGAGTCCATGAAAAAGTCTTTGAATGCATTTTTGTGTTCATCCAATAGGCTAAAACAAAAAAAAGTTTATTGCACTAGAAGACTTGAAAATAGAATAAAACTAAAAATCCAAATACAATCTTGAACATTTTTTAATGAGCAGCATTTAAGGCACTTAAATAAATACATTGAATTTCTGCTATTTGGCACGTCATTGTCACTGTCTGATCCCGTGCCCATGTAGTATGTGCAAGAACACTTGTTAATGACATCATAGTTGACAAATATTTCTGTCTGCAACTTCTCAAATGTTTCCTGTCTGTCTTTCTTCCCAGATCAGCGACGGCGAGCTGCTCCACTGGAAGGAGCTTGTGGCCAAATGCATGACTGAATACTGCTCGAGTGAATGTAACAAACCAGACAACAAAAAGCTTGTTTGGATCGTGTCCAGGAGAACGGCTCAAAACCTTCAGGCCAACCACTTCAGCGTGCCCGGCCTGCCGACGATTCCTGAGGCCATCTGGGACGAGAGTGAGAGGTTAATAATCCACTTCTTCCATTTGCTTCACGCTGAATTCCAAAAAGTCAAACTGCTGTGATGATGAGATATTGAGAAAACGTTCATGCTTGACTGCCAACAGAGTAAGTCCTGGAATTCAAGCAAGCTGAATGTAGCAAAATTGCAGCTGCTCACAGTAATTCATAACAATACGTTTTATTTTAGAGTTGAACTGGATCCATGAATGGTTCAATGAGTAAAACCTTGATTTTCTATTATTTATTAGATCACTTGTGATATCACTTTGACCAATGGCTTCAACTAACAATTACTTTCTTTGTTTATTGATGAGTTATTTACTTTATAAAATGTCAGGCCACCACAGATTAACAGAACCGGAGTTGAAGTCTTCAAATGTCTTTTTCTGTAGAATCAACCTTCCAAAAGACAAAAATAATTCAGTCAATGCAAAAATAAGTCATTTTCTGGGTGTTTGCGGAAAAACCTGCAGAACCGCAGGTGACAACAGGCGGGTTCGCTTGTTGATTTATCAGCTCCACCCTGAAGCAGCGTGTGTTAATGGCCTCCTCCCGTCTCACAGTGAGGACTCCTGTGAGGACATGAGCTGTGGAGAGGACAGCCCATGCGGCTCACCAGGAAGTGACGGCGAAGGAGCCTTCTTCCTTTCCACTTTTCTCCACCGCAAAAAGTGAAGCTTCCTCAATGTGCAGCAGCCAACGTCTGTTTGTTTGCCCCGATTGTATCCGATTCAAGGCACTCACCCCGTTTCTTAGCGATAGGTTTCACCTGTCCTACCACCTCAGGTATGGCATGTGGCAGGTTTCAATCATTAAGTGCCTGTGTTGATTCAGTTTACTGTCAGTTTTTTTTTTCTATGTTGATTATATCGCAATATATTGGCAGCTGGATGGTAAAGCGTCTCAACGTCTCTTTTTCCCGAGATGTTCTCGGTGTTTGTTTGTGTCCGAGCTCGCCACATTCATGGAAATTAGTGGAGCACAAAGGACAACTTGTGTCAGTCATAGACTCTGTCTCTTGACTTCCACACTAGCACATCCACCATCTTTTTTTAGACCTGTTTTTCTACTCGCTATCTACATGTATGCAGGATCCTGCTAGAATATGTTACACATATGCACCCAATCCTAATGTGACTTATAGCACGTCTTAGTGTGACAATACCAGACTGTTAGTGCATGGATACATTTAAATATGTGATTATGAACACATTTTGTCCATGTTTTTTAAACCAAAATAAGCTTATTGTAAAAAAAGAAAGTTAAAAAAAATGTATATAAAATGTAAAAAAAGAAAAAAGTTTTGTGAACCCTACATAATGTGTGTTGTATGTGGAAGATGTTGGATGGGTAAGAAATAACACTTCCAAATAAAAGAAGTGCTTTTCATCCTCTTGTTTCTTCTGTTCCAGTTCACTTGCTTGTGTCTTGACTCATCCCCCACTGGTGAATTGGGTTGCTGCCAAAAATGTTGGCATTGATATTGCATGGTAACTCACTGAGACCAATGTGAAACGCCAACGTATTCTCACTTAAAGTCATATACAGAAGATGATTTTGTCATGTTTGAAAATGTTCAGGTGTCCTCATGACACAAACTGCATGTATAAGGGATGAGAATTAATTTTGTATCCTGCAGCAGTTATGCCGTTAAGCATCAGTTATGCTACAAGCCTTTGTTCTATTGCAAAATGTCATAAGTTCATGCATCTGCCTATTCACAATAAAATGTGTTTTATTAATACAATTTCTGATGCGTTAATGCAAATATCATTATGTTATTGTAATGTAAACAAAGATACTAAATACACAGCTCCATATCTTAGTATATGATTTATATACATATTTTGAATCTACTCTCTAGTAGCTGATTGAGATGTGAAATAAAATATACAGAAGGAATGAAAGTGAAATACCAATTCCTTTAAAAATTCAGTGGTGGAATACATTATCACAATACTTACAATACAAAACAAGGTCTTGCATTCCAAATCTAATTAGTATAAAAGTGTTACCATCTGCTACCAAAAGTAAGAATGGCGTATTTCAAAGTAAATTATATTATAATCATCAATGCATCTACGTGTGCATTCGCTGTTGATGTGTTGCTGTCTGGTAAAACAGGATTTCCTTTTGTTTCGTACCCGTAAATCAGAGAGACGCTTCCCGTTACGCAGTGAGCTGCAGTGAAGCCTGTCCCAGTGTGCGCGACCGCGCGTGCGTGTTAGCGTGTGTGTGTGTGAGTGCGTGGAGATGGTGATGCTGCTGGTGGAGGAAGTGGCTTGTCTTGTACCTCCGCTGGGCGCGTTGACACGCATTTCTGCTCCATCTCCACGATCAAACCGGCGGTCCGGAGGCGAGTCGCCGCGCAGCAGCAGCAGCAGCAGCAGCAGCGGCCGCAGGGGGAGAAGCAGCCGCTGGGGGAAGAGAGTGGACCGAGCCGCGGCATCTCCACCATGCAGCCCACTTGCGCCACCCGCCATGCATTTTTTTACGATTATATGAGCACCGGAGTGGCCGTTCGTGTGTTCCTCGCAGGCGCGCAGTGAGCCGACCCGGCGACGACAACACAGGCCAACGCCTCGCTGCAGCTACATACAGGGAATGAAAACGCACCCACGATGGTCCGCATCGCCAAGGCCCTGGGGTTGGTTATCCTGTGCGTCGCCGTGCTCATACTGTCGCTCATCAGCTATGTGTCCCTCAGAAAAGACAGCCTCTTCGGCTCCTCCAAATATTACATGGGAGGCCCGAGGATCATGTTCCACGCAGGATTTCGGTGAGTGTTAATCGCAGTGGGGATGCAGATACTTGTTGTTGTTGTTGTTGTTGTGGTTGTGCATTTTGAGGCCTCGTGTGCACGATTCAACCTGCGTGTGATGTACCGGCTCAACTCATCACTTTCCCCATCAATTTGGGCCGAAAACTTCCCATCAATCAAACGGCGAGCTGTCCAGGTGCTGATGCTGTTGCTATGGGCGATGCATGTGTAAAATACAGTGCTGCTTTATCAGCGACATCACATCCAATTGAGGCGGCTCAGAGGTACATTTACAGTGCCTCGGTGAAGTATAATTTTGAGGTACTTATTATTTTATTGGTGGATATTGTACTTTTTTACACCGCCATTGATTGTACAGTAAAGTTAAATTTGATTTGATTTTTCTCTTCTACCCAGAGGGAGATATTTTACTGTCAGTCCATCCATCCAACCAGCCATTTGAAATGTTAGTAAATTGTCAATAAATGGATTCAGTGTGGATCCAAAGCAGACCTTTTCCAGGAGGTATAAGCTGCTCTAAAGGGTTAAAACAGTCAAAGGGATTTTCCAAAATTTAGCAACCCAAAAGTTGTTGACCCAAAAAATCAGATTAATAAATCATAGAAGGATTAATTGCTTCAGATATATTAAAATGGGTTCTATTTTTAAAAGTAATTTGACAGTTCTTTTTAGCATCAGACTGAAGATTTATAAGGGACAGGGTTTATGTCCAACATTAAGGCTTTTTGAAAAAGATCTTGGTGTGGATCTCTGGTTTAAATACCTCAGAAAATCTGCTGAATCCCGTTAATCCCGTTCTAAAACAAGACCACACAAAAACAAACACAAAGGAGGTTTGTATCGGTATCAGGATTATACGTATTCCTTATGATGTTTTTCCAACAGGTCTCAGTTCGCCATGAATTTCCTGGACCCCTCCTTCATCCCGTTAACCAACGCCCTGAATGAGGAGCTCCAAGGAAAACCCTCCAAATGGAAGTTCAACAAGACGGCGTTTCATCTGCAGAAGTGAGAGACAAACTAGTTTCTCGTCTGCCTCTTCTTGTATCTCTCTAGTGTGTCTTCTTGTGGGATGAACAGCAGGCGTCTGTTTCACTTAATGAGCTTACGTTTAAGGGAACATTTCAAAAGGCAACTAGAGGACAAACAGTTCGTGAGGAATTTGTCTGTTTATTCCAAATTTGACTTCTACTCCAATGAATATTTCAATATCTGACTGCCTTGGTTTAAAGATTGAGATGTATGCATACAGAACATATAGAAAGAGCTCTCAATCACTGAGTCAAAATACATTTATATATGAAATGGCTGCAATTATTACTCATTTTTCTTTCAAAACTCTTTCATCATTCTCACTTTTCAGATGTGAGAAATTGCTGCTTTACCTTTTTTTTAATAATTTGGACTATTTTTTGGAAAAAACGAAGGATTGTGAAGGTGTCACTTTGGGTAATTGTGGTGCATTTATCTCTATATTTAGAAGTGTTAAACCAAACCACTAATCTACTAATGGAGAAAATAATCAGCAGATGAAATAATATTATAAATCATTAGCTTTTCAGTGCTACACTAAAAAGTAATAAATGCGCTCCACCCTAAACAACTACGACAATAATATCCTGCTCTTACACATTAATGTATGAATAATAATAATCCAATGTCATACATAATAATACCCAAATGCATTTTATACATCGCAGTTAAACATCCGCGTCTTCCTCTTCCTCACGTCACAATGTTAAAATATTTCTGTCTCCTTTCAGGAAAGACATCTTCAGCTACATCGACATTCCCACCAACTTCTCCCTCACGAAGAACAGCGTGCGCGTCGGCCAGCTGATGCACTTCGACTACTCCAGCCACAAGTACGTCTTCTCCATCAGCAACAACCTGAAGTCCCTGCTGCCGGACGCCTCCCCCATCCGCAACAAGCACTACAGCGTGTGCGCCGTGGTGGGCAACAGCGGCATCCTGACAGGAAGCCACTGCGGCCCGGAGATCGACCAGGCCGACTTTGTCTTCCGCTGCAACTTCGCCCCCACGGAGGTGTACTCCAAGGACGTGGGCAAGAAGACCAACCTCACCACCTTCAACCCCAGCATCCTGGAGAGGTACTACAACAACCTGCTGACCATCCAGGACAGGAACAATTTCTTCCTCAACCTGAAGAAGCTGGAGGGAGCCATCCTGTGGATCCCCGCCTTCTTCCTGCACACGTCAGCCACGGTGACCAGGACCCTGGTGGACTTCTTTGTGGAGCACAAGGGGCAGCTGAAGGTCGAGCTGGCCTGGCCGGGAAACATCATGCACGATGTCAACAAGTAAGAGCGGTGATCTAATCGGGACATAAGAGGCCAAATGCAAAGTTTAAACCAGGCCAAAACTTTGGAGTTTAAATTTAACAGTTAAAAACGTACGCATGGTGGATTTTACTTAACTGTTGATAATTTGACTACTTTGAGGCCAGACATTTCACTTCATTTGGGGTAGTATTAACAACAAACTGCTGTTAAATATACAGCTTTATGTTTCATGATTTAGAAAAGGAAATTTTATTTTTTCAATAAGCAACTTTGAAGACACATTTTGTTTGGCATTTATTTTACCACCATTTAGACCTTCGTCCTTGAATATGAAATGTCCAGTTAACTTTAACGACAGTTACATATTTGGTCACTCGGATAGCAGCAGAAACAAGCAATACAAGATTGAACATTAGATTTAAATCGATGTGGCCAAAACCGTTCCCTGTTTACACATCCAACAGTGTATCAACCACTCAAGTAACTGCTAACGTTACTCTGCCTCCGAGATGTCGTGAAGCACAAACATATAGTTGCATAAAAAATAGAAAGTAATTGCAAGTATCTCAAATTTTCAAATTAAGCAAAGGACTATACGTGAATTTTGTTACATTCCACCCCTGCATACACTCATCAGGGAAGTGGGATTACGGTGGATTATGGCGAGGAAGGATTAATCTTTTAATGCTGCTGTTTTAAAGTAATGTCCGATTTTTCTCCCACAGATACTGGAAGACTAAAAACCTCTCCCCGAAGCGCCTCAGCACGGGGATCCTCATGTACACGCTGGCGTCCGCCATGTGCGACGAGATCCACCTCTACGGCTTCTGGCCCTTCGGCTGGGACCCCAACACGGGCAACGATCTGCCTTACCACTACTACGACAAGAAAGGGACCAAATTCACCACCAAGTGGCAGGAGACCCACCAGCTGCCCAGCGAGTTCAAGCTGCTCTACAAGCTGCACAGGGACGGCGTGATCAAACTCAGCCTGACGCACTGCTCCTAGGCCCGCGCTGGGGTCTAACCAGGGGGGGGGGGTGGGGGGGGAGGAGGGGGAGGGGGGAGCGACTCCAGAGACATCAGCTCCGCTCGAACTGCCGCTGTGATCCGCGACGCATGATAAGTGTTCGGGCAATTTACGACGCCCTCATTCCAACGACACACACGCACACACACACACACACACACATTCACTCACGCCACGCTGTCATTCCAAATGAAGACGTCGCAGGTTCAGCCCGGCGTCCTCACTCATTTATACCCATGGACGCGCGTGGTTGTCTCCGGCGCTGCACAGTGAGGACTTTTTCGCGCCGCTCCGTTGCTTCCATGGCTCTCCTTTGCATGGCTGCACGATCACGACCATCGGGAGGGGGGAAAAAAGGTGGGATCGGACGCTGAGTCGAATCTTCCAGTTCTGTTTTAACACAGTGTTGATTGAGTCTGCCGATTCTGTACACTGAAATCACTGCCTAATCTCAGGGACGGAGTTAGTTCAGTGTTTTCCTGCAATCGGATTCAAGGCCTCAGGTGCGTTTTTCGGTTTTCAGACCTTTCTTTTCCCCAGTCTGAGGTCGTCAGACAATCTGCACTGCTCTGGAAGATGGTATTTGTTTACCGTACCGTACATATATATATATATATATATACCATATATATGTACCGTATGTATATACGTGTACTCGTGTGTCCTTTATCTCCTGTCCACAAGTGGGACTGCCAGCTTAACGTTTTTTGGGAGATTCTCAAACCTTTGGAATAATATTTGACATTCCAGCAACAAGCCATAAATTCATGGGCAGAACGATAGGGTGTCAATAAAATAGAGCATTTAGAAAATGGTACCGGCCTACGTTAGGTTTACGTTAGGAGGCTATAAGACATTGAAAAAATCGTCCAACCCGTCTATTGCCACGCTAGCGGCTACATTTATGTCACAGAGACTTGATCTTCAAAAAAAATGAATGCCCAAAATGTATTTTCAGAATCCTAAGAGACATTTTAATTATAACCACAAAAACGACTCTCCCTACAACACAGATGTAGTTTTTAAATAGAAAGTAAAATCAATTTCAAACAGATCATTCATTCAGTCTGGCTTATGTTGTAGTTTTTTGAAATACCTCCAAACAGCCGTAACAAACTTTGATTCCAATGTAATATCAATACATGAGAGTCACAACTCTGGGCTAAAGTTGCTTCCAGCTGTTTGTAAATTCGTTCCTAAGTTTGTGTGTAATTAACCTGCAACCTTACAGTGTAAACAAGACCTCAGGAACTCATTTGGGGCAAGAAAGAAAACCCAAATTGTCCCTTTTACAGACATTTTATGTACAAACTAAAAAGGGACATAAAGTTTATGGAGTATAGTGAAGTTTAGATATTATATAAGATTTTCTTACCTTTTCGACAGTGCCAGTTTTGCTTTTGCTTTAACCGACTTAAAAGACACGAGAGAGGTGGCAAATTTTCTCAACTACTTCCCAAACTGACCAAGCCTTTCCTCATTATCTTTGTTCTTGGTTCTTTAGCGTGTTTATAAATGTATGACTTTGCTTGCTATTATGTAATGTAGATGTTCCTGAATTAGTTTATTACATTTAGCCAGTTTAGTATTCATGCAGTTTAGCACAATTGGCAGATAAAAGTCATGAAGTCATCTGCATATAAGTATTTTTCTGCCGTGCGATTTCATATCTCCAAAGTTTACATTTATCGCACATTTCAGATGTGTAGAATTTAACACAAACTTTTTTACTCTTAAACCTGAACAGATCTTATATGCTGAATATTATAACATTAGCTTTGTCACTTGGTTCAATCAGCTATACCAAAACTATTGCACCAGCAGTTTAGTTAGTGTAAATATTTAGTAGAAACAGCTAATATGGTTAACTAGTTGTAAGACATTTCGTTTAGCAAACAGGAGGGAGCAGAGGGAACCACAGCTTCTCGTGACCTAAATCCTGGCGCTAACGTGGCAAAAAACATCAGGAAATACAACATTGTCGGACATCAACAACCTTACCGCTATTTCAATTAGAAAGAGAGAAATCATACATACACACGCGTGCATCTTTTTTTCTATTATTTACCTGTTTCTACTGACACCAGGAGAGATTTTCCCGTAAACAATATTTAAACCCCATCATTTTGTGGGCAGACGAACGGAAGATATAGATGGAGATTTTCGATATAAATCTCTGCCTCTGGTATTAAAAGACGCAAGATCCTATTGATATTCCATTGCAGGGAGAGAGCCAAAACAATGTTTCTAGTGTCAGTTTTAAACCAACCTTTTAGAAGAGTGTGTTGAAGGGAGAAATGCTGATTCTCTGGGCCTTCTGTTGGTAGCGCTGTGGTGGCTATCCTTAGGAGAATATCCCCCCGGTGTCCTTAAAGGGGGGGCCGTTCGGATACCTCAAAATAGACTCCTTATTATATTCCACGTGGGTCCAACACCCCGGAGAGTCCTCTCACAAAGTAAACAGGCTTTATTCTTTAGCAAATGTCGATAATTTCGGGTCCCTGCAGTCCCTGAGGAACGCAGACGGGTGCGTTATAAGGTGTTTCTGTTGGGGAAGGGGGGGGGGGGGTGAGAGGGGGGGATGGAAAGCCGGTCACATGATGCACGTCTCATGACTCTGCAAACACGTGGTCCTTGTTGCAAGCTCTCCGGCTCAGGTCGAGGTACGCTGGTTTATGTCACAAGATGAACATTTCAGGATTTGGAGTCTGGTCTCCCAGATCACGTCGACCACGAATATACATAAGTGATCAAAAAAAGGTTTGAATTTTAGCTGAGTAGTAGGTGGTTTAATTGACGTCATAGATGTATACACGTATGATCATTTCTGTACTCCGTCCATAGGAATGTTTTGTAGGTACACCAAAGACCGCGTGTTCAAAGGAGGCATTTTAGCTTCATACAGATTGTTGAAAGATGTGTGACCACTAGTATGACAAATAACAAGTATTACTGTACAAGAACTGGATTGTCACATTTTTTGATGTTGAATTTAATGTTGAATAACACTTTTTGTGGCACACAAATCTTTCTTTTTCATTGTATTGTTTTATTTTCTTTGTGACTCCATGAATGTCCTTCTATAGGTCGATGTGTTGGAAAGAATCCACTGACATGAATGCAGGTCATTTTACTTTGCTGTCTTATTTTTAAACTAAATCAATGTGTAGAATGTGTTTGAACAATAACGATGCTAACGAAGTCTGTGAGGATTGTATTTCCAGTCCGAATACCGGTATAGCTTTTAGTGCATTACATGTAAATGACAACACAGTGACATATAAATAACCCTAAACGAAAAATGTCTTTATTCCAAACGCAGCACTATACAGGATTTGTTCCAACAACCCTTTAACATTCTTGTACTTGTGTTCAATCTGCATGGCAACTTTGTTCCATAATGCATAAAAAAGCTTGGCTGCTTATGTACATGTCGTAAAAAAAAAAGTCATAGATCATGTCAGTGACTTTGCTATCATGGTTGTTCTAACAAAAACGATCGTTCATATAAGAAATGTAACCACGTCTTAAATGTTTTTGATTATAATCCATGATAAATATACGTTATGTGCCTGCATATTCCTTTCATCAATGCCTCAATGTGTCAAATAAAAACAGTATTTTTCTCTGATAACGAATGGAATTTTCACCTGGAAAACGACCACTTGATGCATTCAAAGCATTTTTTACAATACCGGTATTTACTTGCTATATACAGATCGGTCTTGGTGTCTTGAACGCTCTTTCTTCCTCTCTCTCTGAATGCACAAGCTGTGATAAAGTACATGATGGACAGCAGATGTGAAGTGAAGAATTTACACAGTGACAACAATATCCGTCCGGATTTCCCCTCAATTATGCACATTTTTTTTACTTGATTTTAAAATGACACCCAGCAGGAACCCTGGCGAGTACCCAGTGGCTGCAGGGCGTAACATCAGCAGGCACACGACCCCCTGACGGGAGCCTCCTGGACTTCGTGGCTGGTGACGGGGCTGCCGTTGGGTTCGGAGCTGGGCACCACCTGGGCGCTCTGCTCCATCCGCTTCATCACCAGGTCCAGCAGGGTGGTCACCGCCTGGTCCACGTCCACACCCGACACCGCGCTCGTTTCAAAGTACGGGATGCTGCCGGGGAGCGACAGAGGAGTCAGTCCTACTTTGCACGTCTCCATGATTCACAGGCTTGAGGAAGTGAAGCTATTCAGCATTTGGTTGGGGTTCAAAAAATTAAAACCCTACAAAGCAGAAGTTAATTTGTTTCTTTGCACGTATCTCGGGGCTTCTTGTGGGGCCCCGAACCACAGTTTGGAGACCAATGTGCTGAATCAAATATTAAACCCTCAGGAGGGAGATGGGCAGAGGAGGGGTAACAGCTCGCTAGCACCACCCTGTGGTGTACTGGTGGAAGAGGCAAAGTACCAGCTATCCCTACTGTATTCAGTACTTCAAACTGTAATCATTTGCATTTTGTTATAATAACAATCAAGTACTATCAATACTAGTTGTAAACACACTTTGAAAATATTTAACACGTCATTGTCAAAGATGCTAATTGTGTATATAAAAAATCTTAATAATGAAGCATCATTGTTGCTGGTCAGGCGTAAACGGAGGGCGACGCTCTACCTCTTTTTACATCAGGAGGGATTAATTCATCTGTATTATTATTCGTAGTGCCTCACCCGTATCGGTCTGCCAGGTCTCTGGCCTGTCTGGCCTGAACATCCCTCACGTCCAGCAGGTCCGCCTTGGTGCCCACCAGCACGATATCAGGACTGTCGCAGTAGGCGTTGGCCTGCAGCTGACCTGAAGCGAGGGGGAAATCCCACCGTGAGCAGACTCCCGGCTTTGTTTCTCAACTTTCTCTCAGTGGCGACACGAGATCCAACTGAGAACATTGATCTGCTGCGGGGCGGCGCCGCCGAGGTGACACGTACTCATCCAGTTCCTGACGTTGAGGAAACTTTGCTGACTGGTCAGGTCGAACATCAGCAGGAAGCCCATGGCGTCTCTGAAGAAAGCGGTGGTGAGGCTGCGGAACCTAAACAAGTGTTTATTTGTGAAGTATAAAGCTGCACTATTTGGCCCAGACAGAAATATGTCAGAAACTGTCGGCTGGATTGTCCTAATATCTTGTAACATGGACCCCAGCATGGGACTTTGGCGACCCCCCTGACCTCTCCTCTAGCGCCCCAATGAGGTCGAGATTTGTAGTCTTGAGTGAAACATCTCGAGGACCTAATGGATGATTTGCCATTAAAAATGTGGTTTCAGATGAACAGCAGCTACTTTGCAGAGCAGACTGGGCTTTTTAGGGAGGGACGTTAAAGAGGCGGGATCTAAATTGAGGGTCGACATGCTTACATGAAGGAAGAAATGATTCTTTTGTTGTTTTTTTAATTAAGATTGCATTATATCTCCTTTGTGCCATAACCAGGTCCACTTGGGTTCATTATACTATGTGCAATCCCATCTGCCTCAGCTTATTTTGTTCAGTTGTTTTATTTTTCTCAAAAAAATGAGTTGCTTGTTTTTAGCCCATTTGTCCCTCAGTGTCCTCGTTTGTTGGTCACAGGCAGTAGCCAAAGTCCGAAAAAATACAAAAGCTAATGTGACATAAACGTTTAGATTTACCTCTCTTGTCCCGCTGTGTCCCAAAGCTGAAGGTGCACTTTGAAGTTCCTCTCGGTCTTCCCGTCTGCCCCCCTCCCTGCGTACATCTGAACCAAACCACTTAGTTCCACACGTCTCAAAACCAAGAACCCCCCCTCCTGCCTCCCCGCGTGCACCTAAACGCACCGAGCGCCACTCACCACTCTCTTTTCCCGGAAGTCGATGCCCACCGTGGTCGTGAACTTCTGGTTGAACTTGTTGTCGGTGTAACTGTAGAGGAAGGTGGTCTTTCCCACCCCCGAGTCCCCGAGGGCCAGCAGCTTGATCAGGTAGTCGTAGTCCCACTCGGCCATAGTGCAGCAGAGGGCTCAGACTGCACACACACACACACACACACACAGATGAACTCACAGTTCAATGCTGTGGCCGCTTCGATGGATCATGGACCCAGGAGAGTTTGGGAGAGCGGGAGCTCGCGCGAGGAAACGGCAGAGCAGACGTGTGAAGCGGTTCCTCCCGCGAGCTTCAGTTTCTGCTGTCGGAGGGTTCAGCAGAAGGTTTAGAGGGACGTCACAGCTCCACGCTCATTAGGCCCTGATCAGAGAAGGGGCTGGCGCATGACTCCGGCTGGCTTCCACATGAGCAGTCAAATGTCACGCCTGCTTTTCCCCTCCCCAGATTTAACAAGAGAGGAAAAAACAGAGCTGTTTGGTGGACGGAACTCGCTTTTATTGACTTGCATTCGCAACAAAAAGGCGCCACTAAAAATGACATTTCTTTTCCGATAGAGATGCTCCACAATCATCACTGAAGAACAACGTTTGTTGAGGGCATCCAGGTGTAGTAAGAGTGCAACAGCACAGCGGTGGGCAGGAGACGGGATGCTATCAGCAGTGCGGAGCACTCGAACCGTCTGACCTGCAGCCGTCTCAGTGTCGACCTCACAAACCTGCAAACACCCACTGACACAAACTGTTCCACTTACAGCGACGACAAAAAGCCACATACCTTTATGAGTCTGACTTAGGAGGAAGTGCCCAGGCCCATGAACACGTCGCTCAACCCGATTGCCTAAAATAACCTCATCGGTGATGCGATGGCACGTCCTCAACCCCCAATAACCTCCATGTGATGCAGGGAGGAGTCTCAGGTCAGCAGGGACCCAGCGGGGCTGTGCTTACAGACCTTGTGTTTTCTGGTATTTCACATGAGGGTTAAAGAAGAAAAAGAAAAGAAAAAAGCTCTCTGAAAAGTGGATGTGAGCCTCTGTGGATTTCAGTGGGAATCGTTAAGTAATGAGTCTCCACTTCTAGAGGCTCAGCAAAGTAATCCTGCTTCTGCAAACAATATGAAAACAATACCTGAAGCTAGAGATCTAATTCATGCACGCGTAACACTGAACGTACGGCTTTACAAATGGTAACTCGACGAGGTAAAAGGAGTTTTCACACATTATGTTCAAGGCACAGAAAGATCAACGCAGTTTGTAGATGTTTTTAAACAATAGGTTTTATGAACAATATATTCTTATATTCCAATTCAGCAAATAACATGTAGAATAATACTGACATACTGGGGTGAAAAAAGGCCTTTTTGTTGTGATTGATCAAAGGTGGGACAAAAACCTTCTAAGATTATTTAGCATTATTTTTAACATCCGTTATTAAGTGTATCCCATATCAATTAACAATTGGTGTTGATTGATTACATTGAATTGAATGTAAGTGACATATGTGTATTTGCACATATCACCTGAGAACCAGAAATAACAAGTTTCCACACTCCTAAACGACCCGGAGCACCAGCTTGGCTTTGCCCTCTAACTGGGTTTAAAATACTTCAACAGATTGTTGGCCTGGCTGCCTTTTCCTGCGGCCTTCCGGTCTTTGGTCGTCGGGCTTCTCCCCGGCTTCCTGGACGACGGCGCCTTCAGGACCGGCTTCCGTCGCCGCCATTCGGACATCAACTCCTTCTGGACGTCCGCCGGAAGCTCTGAAAACACCTCGGGGTCGACGTCTCCCGGGAACTCGCAGTCAGGAGGCAGAGGGGGCGGCGGCCTCCCTGCCTCCGTGACGTTTTCTCCCGGGAAAGCGCCCGAGGCCTCGGCCTTGTGATTCACGGCGGTCGGACTGGCGGATTGGTTCTGGGAGTCACCAAATGCCTGTGAAAACTCGTTTTCTGTGACGCGGGAGACACTGACGTCGGCGGCGGACGGCAGCTCCATCCGGACCTCCTCGGGGAGGAGGCCGAACACCTCGGCGTCGACGTTGGGATGCGTCACGGCGACCTTTGGGTCTGACCCCGCTGTGCTGCGGGACTCTTTCACAAGCGGAGGCTTCTTTGAAGCAACAACGGGCCTCTGTTTTCTTTTAAGCCCGTGTAAATCTGCCCCGCAGCCACGAGGGATTTCTGCGGTCACCGTTTCGTGCGGAGGGGTCGGTTGAGCGAGCGAGCGGGGAGCGCTGAACAGATGATCGGTATTTCCACTCCGAGAGGAGGGCTCCTATTGGAGAACGGAAGAGGAGGATTAAGGAAATTCAGAGAACCAAAACGCTATTTCTAAGAAGAGATAATTGTGCCGGCATCATTTAACAGCGCAGCGTGACAGAGGAACAGATCTCTATCAGCATGACGTCAGACTTTGGGCCCTTTTCGCTGCTGCTTCTTTAAAAATGAGGAATTTGCTCGCTTGTTGGGAAAAAGGTTTTGATTGGTAAAAAGTGAATAGACTTATCGAGCCCCTTTTGAGTCTCTATCACATTTTTCATTTCAATTTGGGTTTTTTTCCTTGACCAAACAATTAATTGAATAGTAAAAAAAAAAGATAATCAGAAGAGTATAACTGTCAGTTGAAGCTCCACAAAGTTAAAGGTGTAAAACACCTCCTGACTGCAGGAAATGAACCCCCCAAAAACCTTACTTTAAATATTTAAATCTCTTAAAAACGTATTTTATGTTCACCCACATCATTGGTTCGGTTTGCTGTGTAACCCTTTCTTCATTGATTTAATGAGAACCTGCATGTAGCATTATTTTGCTCATCAATTGGGAAACAACAAAGACAAAAATAAGACTGAATGTTTTTTGCAAATACCCTGACGTTGATTATAGGCAACGCACACCCACATGCCGCTAGATGACGTCCCTGTGTTACCTGGCTTTGTGGTGAGAACATTTCCGCTCCTTTGGGAGGCAAGTTCTGCCTAAAGAAAGACGTTATGGAGCCCTTCGCGCCCACGGCAGGTCCCCTGGCCTGCAGGTTGCTGAAGCAAACGTTGATGAGAGTGAGGTGGAAGGCGGCGCCGCAGTCCACCATCTTGTGGAAGAGCTTCATGGCCAACGGGACCAGCTGGACCACAGCGTCCTCACTGCTGTCTGTAGACACATTACATGACGTAAGCCCGCCCCCCCCCTCCACGGACCAGTTTAACGTGGGACACAACGGTGTCCTTCCTGGAGCCAGAGCTCACCGGAGGCGATCTTCTGTCCTACGTGGTTGGGAATCGGACACTGTCGGCTCTCCCGGCTGAACCACTTGTTGGTTGCAGAGTACCTGCGGAGGGTCAGGCGCAGGGTTTGAGGCTGCCGGCCATCTTTGTGCATCCTGGTGTTCAGGAGATAGCCGAAGGTTAGATCCAGTGGACGGAGCTTTAAAACATCCACAGAGGGGACGATGACTCACCTCTCCATCAGACTACTCAGGAGCTCCTGAATTTTTTCCAAAACTTCTCTGGTTGTTGAAATTTTCTTGAAGGAGTCTTCGTCACTGAGGGACTGAAACATGTAGCGGATGCGGATGAGGGGAAAAAAGCGAGGTGAGATCGATCAAATGAGGTTTTCAGATCATTACTGCGACGCCTTCGTCTACCTGGGGGGCCCCGGTGGGGGCGACAGGCGAGTCATCGACACCGAGGGCCAGATTCTTCAAGCGCCGGGCACTGGGAGCCCCAAACTCCTTCACCAAGTCGTTCAACGGGAAGAGCTGAAGGTCTTTAACGCCGACCAGTCCCAGCGCTTGAAGTCGCTTCGCTGTTTGGTGACCGACCCCTGAAGAACATGTTTTAAAGGGAGTTGCATGCGCCAAAGAAACTTCAAAAAAGGAGTTTGGGATTTAAAAACATTTCAGCAATACCGCACACAAGAGTTGCACGGACGAAGTTTCTCTGACCACGCGCGTACCCGGTACTTTGCGCAGGCCGCTCAGGGAGCCCATGATGTCACCGACGTTCTCAGGCAGCAGCGTGGTCTGCTGATTGGGTTTAAAGGTGCCCGACACCAGTTTGGCCAGCAGCTTGCTGGTGGCGACGCCGGCGCAGCCGGTCAGACCCAGTTTGCTGTGGATGGCGTCTCTCAGCTCTGCTGCGACGTGCGAACCTAAAGCCAACCTCGGGTGATCACTTGCTTTGGCGACGTCTGCACCTGTGCAGGAAAAGAAAAAACGGAAATGTGAAAAAGAGAATCCAAAAGTACGATTTTCATGGGAAACTGAGAGTGAAATGCAAATATCTTTTAGTTTTAGCTTTCAGGTTTGTTTCACAGCTCATTTCTTGGTTTTCAGTGAGCCAGATGTACAGCCACACACAAGTGCGACTCACTGCGATGGTTGTACACGTGTCCTTTGAATGAAAAGTGGTTGGACGCCGGTGTCTCTGCTAGCCTTCTTTCTACCATCTTTGTGATGTCCATGAAGTTTTCGTCAAACCCCAGCCTCTCTACCAGCGGACAGAAGGAAACCAGCAGCTCTGGATGGAGGACGAGAAAAAGGTCAAAAAGAAATGACGAAATAGGAACTGTGTAAAAGAGGAACTCGTTGTAATAGTTGTAGCATCTGTTTGAAAAGAATGTTCCTCTGCATTGCACTGTAGATTTTAGAGTTTATGTAACGCAAATGTTCTGATATTGAGTAGATTCTATTAATCAATTAGTTTCTGCTATCACCTATCACCCTTGATCCACAGATGAGATGGGATCTCTTCATTGCGTGTGTTTTGCGGTGGATTTCTCCACCACTTGGTAGTGGAAGACAGTTGTATTTAGCAGAGATCCGTCCTACCTGTCAGTTTATACGAAATGTCTCTGTAGTGTGTCAGGTCTTCTCCTTTTACCAGCACCAGCTGAGGACATTTCTCCTTTGCATCAGTCACAGACATCAGCTTGGTGACCCCGTGACCTCTTGCCACATAGTTGCAGGTGACTATGATGTATTTCTGCTGAATACCTGATGATTTGAGAGACATTATTGAACTATTTTCGCCAACTTCTTTTCTTCCACCACCCAACATATCGTGCGGTGTCTCGGTTTACCCAGAGGGACGTCTCTCAGTGAAGGGTTTCTGAGCATTTCCACCTGAGCGTAGAAGCAGTCCAGGTCAAAATGCAGAATGACTCTTTCACCAGGGGTTGCTCCTGATGTTTTGTCGAGGCTTGCATCTGAAACAGCAGATTATACGCACAACAATAGTTAAGGCTGCACCTATTAACAGCATGTTAGACAGAGCCCTGTTTCTATCTGCATGAAGCCAGAAAACAAACGTTATATTTAATGTTTACCGGAAGGTGCGTTGGCGCTGAGCGGGAAGGAATCCACGTAACTGTTATTCCACTCGGTCTCATCCTCCCCCGTGTCATTCTCGCTGTTATCCATTCTAAAAGTTATATGTGTCTCGTAGGTATTAGTGGCAGATGGTTGTGGGTCGCGGAAGGGAACAATTCACCCAGATGTGTTGAGGGTGGTTTTGTGCAGCAGCGCCACCTGCCGACCGGGAGGCGCCGCGGCGACAAACAGAACTGCAAAGAACAAACTCGTTTGTGTAATTAACCGGCCTTTTTAATAGTTTTATTTCCCCCCACAAAAAAAAAATAATATTCAGGGAGGAAAAACGTATTTTTAATTTTGTTTTAAAAGCAACACTCGCCTGCGACTATATAAACGAGGCTGACGTCACCGAAGGGTTCAGTTGGAGCACCTGTCGCACGCGCCGATCAGTCAGTCGAAGCCGAACCCTCGCGGCGGTGTTTCCCGATGTTCCCCTCGTCTGGTCTTTTCTCTGGTATAAGTTGTCCTTTCTCAAAACGTGCGTGTGAGCGGCCGCACTGTTTGTACAAACATGCCAAAGAATTGCGGGAGATGCTCGGCGGCTCTCGTCAAACGCCGATAGTTGGTTTTGCAGGTCAGTGCTTTGAGGTATCCCGACGTGTCAACTTATCGTCACACGTTTTTTAAATTATTTACTGAATCACTTTTTTTTGGCATTTAAATGAGAAACACACTACTTATTTTCCTGGGATTTATGTTCTCATCCCTGTAATGTTACTTTAAATTAAGCACATTGTCTGTCCAGTGTGATTAAAAAAAAAAAAACCTTTTGGGTTCTAAAAGCACAAATTATGGATGTGTAAATATGCATAGCGTGCACACAGCTACATGTTCCCCCACCAGCACCAACATGTTATGTGTGTTTGAACCTCCTGTTTCAAATTCCTTTTTGTACAGGGGAGCAAAACTGTTATGCGGTGAATGACGAGGCCAAAGATGACTCCCTCCAGGAGCTGGAGCGGATCAACAAGGAGATTGAAACCGTACGGCACGAGGTGGAGCAGGAGCAGAGGCGGCTGTCCCGCTACCAGACCGTGCTGGCAGACGACAGAAAACCTGCACCTTCTCTCTCTGCTTCCAAGTCTGAGGCTGTAGGTAAAAAAATGGAAAGAGGTCCATCGTCGTGCGCGGCCCCAACTCGCTCGTCTTCCAGAGGAAAGAAGTACGTGGTTGACAACTCAAAACCCAGGACAGATTTGGAGTACGACCCTCTGTCCAACTTCTCTGCTGGCTTGAGGTCTTGCGGTTCCTCCGGTAAAGAGCAAAAAGGCAAAAACGGGAGAGATTTGAAAAGGGAGAGAAACGTCACAGACGAGCCTCCGCCCTCCCGGTTGCCATCTTCAGAGCCCCTTGACGACTCTAACGAAGACGATGACTTGATTATTGACATTCCCCCCTCGCCTGACAAAAAGAGAAGGACACCTGGTGACGTTGTCTCGGGCAAACTCATCCAGAACCAAGCAAAGGTCAAAACCCAGCCTGTTCTACCTCTGAACGCGTGCGAGGCCACAACTCTACCATCGCCAAAAATGGAAAAAATGAGAGGCCATAGTAACTGCAATGACGAGAACATTCGAGATTTGTTTGGTCTTTATGAGCGTAAAGAGTGTGAGGCTGTACCAGTTGACGGGGGTGCAATTGATTTAACCGGCTATTTAGAAGAAGTGCAAACTCGCTCTCTTGCTGAAAAAGTAGTGGCGGCGGGCCCTGAACCTGCGAGTCCTCCTGCCACCGCGGACCAGCAAGACGCCAACAGCAACCACTTGTTGGCGCAGGAGGCCGACGACCCGTTCCAGGTGGACCTTTCCCAGTGGGAGCTGCCCCATTGCGTTGGGGATAAAATGGATCCACTGCAGCCGCATCGTTCTCACCCAAAGAATTCCCTTTTTGACGACCCTCCGGGTGCTAACTCTGACTCCCCGGGTGCAACGCGGGTCCGGAGCGCAGAGCAGCGCGCTCAGAACTGGCTCAGTAACCAGTGGCTGCCAGAGATGCCGCAAAGCCAGGATGCGCCAGCCAAAGTGCCAGGACAGGCGCCAACGGAGCCGGCTTGGTCAAACGGCGCCGAGCTGATAACTGGACAGCTTTTTGTGACGGAAGTGGGTGGTGGTGGTGATGATGATGAGGAGGAGGTTATACGCATTACTTCCAGCTCGGATGAAGACGAGCTCAAATATTCTGAGGCGGAGTTCTCCGACAGTGATCCGATGGAGGAATGCTACAGGATCTTCATGGAGGCAAATGAGGAACGGGGGGATGAAAAGCAGCCCGACGTGTCTGTAAGGATGCTGAGGACGATTCATTCACTCTCACGGTCTTAACAGTCGGTTTCCCCTCCAACATTTTTCATGTCCACGCGTTTTTAGGTTGCCGCCGATGTGGAGAAGCCGAAGTTGAGCGTCAAACCGCAGGCATTGCCAGGAAAGAGGGTGGCTCATGATGCCAAACATACAGAGGTACACGCTGCCTTAAAAGTGATTACTTTAAAAATAAATTTAAAAATTGTTGTTCGTCTTCAATATCAAGCAAGTACACTGGACATTTTGACTATTTTGTTTAAATGATCAATATATTCACGTAAACTTGTATATAATTTTTTTTTTCATGCATTTGCTCTGTTAAGCTGCCTGTGGTTAAGAGCAGACCTCAGCCCCAGGTGCTGGTTCCCCTACGGGCGCCAGCGGTGTCTGGATTTACCTCCCGGCCCTCGACCACCTGCAAGGTCCAGCAGGTCCAGCACAGAGCCGCCGCGCTTAAAGGCGGTCAGGCCTTCGTTGTTTCCTCCAGCTATCAGAGGAAGCCAGAGACCCACAGTGCGTCTCTCCCATCAACCCAACCCCCCGAGAACCTGCAGTCCGCTCCTGTACAAAATGGTAAGCATTTTGTTAGCTGCAGAGAATGAAATTAATAGGGGTGGGAATCTCTTGGCACCTCACCATTCGATTCCGATTCAGAGGTCTTCGATTCTAAACCGATTATTGATTCTATACTGATAAAACGATTATCTATGCATCTCGATTTTCTAAATGTTCTCAAATCTGAGTTTGCTACTCGGAGGTTGCTAATCACTTCCTACTTTATTTGATAATTAAAGCAAATCATCATTTTTTTAAGAGAAAAAAAAATCTTTGTCACAAATATGCTTTTCCATCAACCATGCAAGAACCAATGCAGCTTGCATTTCAACACAATATAAGTAGCCTATGTAAAAATAATAATATATTAAACAGATTCTTCTTTTTAAATGAAGAAAAAGCTGGTCTATGGTCTCAGACCGTATTTGTAAAATACCGGGAAAAAGTCCAAATCTGTGAAAATCTTGCCAACTTTCAATACAGATCGACTTTTTGGAAAATCGAAATAATGAGGTAAGATATGCGCAGGCTCCTCCATAGTTCGGTAAAGTTGGCAAGATATTCAGATTCAGACTGACGGACCGGGCTGCGAGCTGGACGCATTGCTCTTAATGTGACGGTAAATGATGGTTGTAGCTGGTTGTCATCTACGTTCCACTACGATTACCGAAGGGGGGCGTTTGTTTGTTTTTTTGACGTTTTATCTCATAATTTGTATCCCCTTACATTAGTACGGAAATGGGCTTCTATAGTTGTGTGGATGCATCACTCCAGCCAATCCAAAGACGGGGTTTGTAACCAATCAGGTGTAGAGACCATGGTGACTGGCTCAGAGAATCGAGAGAAATTGAAAAATCTTTTTTTTTTTCCACCCCTAGAAATTAATGAATGAATCTCAAATTGAGTGTCTCTCAACTTGAAGCAGCATAAAACGTTTCCTCAAGCGTATGTTAAGTGCTTTGCATGGATGCGTTACCCCCCCTACGTGTGTGTTTTTTTTGTTTTGTTTTTTCTCTCTCATTCTACAGCTCACATGAACTACATATCTTTGGGAACCGCCGTGATCGGAGTGGACAACAACCTGCACTTGATCCTCCCGGAGGGCCTCTTCCCCCTGCCCGCCTCCTCCGGCTCCGGCCACGTGACTTCAGTGCTCACCCCGATCAGCCAGGTGACCACGAGCGCTGTGGCTGTGAGACAGATGTACCACGCACCTGCAGTTACCCCTCTGCAAAGATACCGCACGACCGCCCCGGTGCTCATCCCAGCGCCGGCGCGCAAGCCGTCGCTGGCCTCGGCCTTCGCGTCGAGTCCCGCTGCCTCCGCCGCTCCTCAAGCTGCCGTCCACGCCGCTGTCAAGGTGAGAAGTGGAAAGCGTCCTTTGTTTTTGGTTTCATCTGTTGAAATATTAATGATGAATTTGTCCTTGTTAGCCGGTGCCTACTAAGCGCAAACTGAAGCAGTGTGAGGCCGCCAAAGACAAAGTGCCCCATGAAATCCGACAGCGTTATGTCAACATGTTCACGGAGGAGTTCCTCAAGACCACGGCGAATGTTAATGAAGCTTTTGAAAAGGTGAGATTTTGACCTCTTATGTGATCCTCAATGACAAACGGCAGTCTGGTCCCTCTTAAACCGTGTTATTGTTGACAGGCGCTCAATGAAGAGAAGGCTGTGTACAATCGCAGCGTGAACAAACTGAAATATCTGAGTGTTGCAGTGAACGCTCTGAAGAAGCTGAAGAACCAAAGTGCTGTTTCAGCTAAAGGTGAGAATTTCTGGAAAACTGATGCCGCTCTCAATGAAAACCGACACAACGTAGGATCTGCTTATTGAATCCTTTTTTTAAATTTATTTTTAATATTCTGCTGCAGATGAAAATGAAGACAAAAGCCAACGATCTAAAGGCAACATTTCACTTGATCTTAACAAGTTAAAAGGAAACGGTGAGAATAACGTTCCTTTTTGGGGATTTGAGTATTTCATTCAAACACCATCGCGGCGTCCCAGTGAATTAATTTTCCTCACCAGGTGACACGGCGCTGTACGAGAGTTTAAAGGACTACATTTTGACTGAGGAAACTCTGGTTGAGAGCAACTTTCCTGTCCAGCACCCAGAGAACCCTGGCTGTGCTGTTCTCTTTGTAGACAGTAAGAAAGGCATCGCAGACCGTAAGTGAAAACGTTCTCTCTCCCGGGAAACCACCATGTCGCGCTATTCCCGTGTTTGTCCACCAGAGGGCCTCCTCGGCTAGTGCTCTGCCTGCAACCAGTGTCGCTTTTCTCAGCACTGATTTTATTTTTCTTGCTTAAAGCCCTCAAGAGGATCTGCTGTCGATGTGGATCCACGTACTCTGTGAACCAGATGGGTAAACACACTCGGAAAGAGGAGTGTAATTACCACCACGGGAAAGGAGTCACAAAAAAAGGTGAGTATTCCAGTTTTCATTTTCTTTCTTTTTTTAAAGTCCGACAAAATGTTCAACTAATCAAACAATAATTCAGTGTTTTTATACCACTCGCAATGTGGTCATCGTGTACGCGTTTTTGCGGTCAACAGTGCCAGGTGGAGTGGAGACGCGCTACAGCTGCTGCGAGGGAGTCATGGGAGCGCCTGGATGTCAGGTGTTTCAGGTACGAAAAGACCAGAGCAGGGGAATATACTGTAACAGGATTCTCGCCTGAAACCTCATTGTCCATCTTTTTCTTTTTTTGTCCCTCGCCAGGTGCACGTGCACGATTTCGTCAGCCTGGAAGGGTTTGTGTCGACCGTCCCCAGACTTCCCTCGGACACCAGCTGCCCCGGGGTCTACTCCTTGGATTGTGACATGGTGATTGCAGCTTTTCTTTGTTTTCGCTTCCCAGCGTTGAGCGCCAAACTGAAACACTCCCTGTCCCCATAGTGTTACACCATTCACGGTCTGGAGCTGTCCAGAGTGACTGTGGTCAACTGGAGCCTGCAAGTCGTCTACGACACCTTCGTCAGGCCGGATAATGAGGTCATTGACTATAACACCAGGTAATATCTATTGACCCAAATACGTTCTGCACACCTAAAATAAGAATGTAGAGCAGTTAAATCCAGTAGTTTTGCCAACAAACTGAAAACATTAGGATTTTACTGTACAGATATCCCTTGTGAAGGTTTTCAGGCGTCAGTGAGGAAGATGTGAAGGGTAACCGCACCTCCCTCAGAGAGGTGCAAGAGACCTTATTGAGCTTCGTCAGCGCCGACACCATTCTGATTGGACACGGCCTGGAAACAGACCTCTGTGCCCTAAAGGTGACTATTACCACCGCACCTTTTGATTCTTTCACTCCACACGACGGGTGGATGTTCAAATAGAGGCCATTCAACATGCTCCCTTGCTGAACCCCTAAACATGTTTGTTTGTTTATTTCAGGAGTAGCCCTGTGCATGGTTCATGCTATTTATAAAAAAAAAAAAAAAAATTATTCTACATATATCATTGGTTAATCCAGGCAGCAGTATGAACATAAAATATTGTAAATACCGCACTCTGATTTAACATTTCTAAACAATTTCTAACAATTCTAAAATACACTGATCTAAAGTAACTTTTCTCAAAAGATGACTGTTGGGAAAGTACAAAAAACAACTAACCTCTAAAACTGGAAATACTGTAAAGTCAGCCTAAGAGTCTCAATCATGAACTGCCAGACGCATAACTGCATTGACCAGAAGGAAGTCTACCACGTATGGACGATGAGCTCGGCGTGGTGGTTTATCGTATCCCAGTATAACTTTGAAGGATGGACGGTAACTGTATATCCCGTTGTGTTTGTTTTATCTAGAATCTCTATCTTGGGGCCTCTCAAGGTAACGGCCTGGTGACTTTAACTGTTTTACTGAACAGTTAAAGTATTAGAGATCTCATATTTATTGTGCAAAACTACACAGAACACAAACACACTACAAAACGTTTACCTTGCTCGATGACTCACTTGCGTGTACATTTGGTGTGCGTGTATTCTTTGGCTCTCATATTAAAACTTCCACTATATAATGGCGGTTGAATTGTTTATTTTTCCCAGATGATTTGTTGGCACAGGCTGAAGACGTTACATTACATGTCATTGAGCTGAAGCTTTTATCCAAAGCGACTTACAATAAGTGCATTTCAACCATAAGGATACAAACTCAATTTCATCAAATAAGCCAATCTACAACTCGCTATAGATAAGAGCCATTACAAGTACAATTTCAAGTGCTACTATTTAATGTTTTTAGTCAAGGTAGCGTCTGAAGAGGTGGTGGAAGAAGGCTCTGCGGTCCTGATGTCATCAGAGCTCATTACAAAGGCTGCTTGTTTTGTAATGTTGGGCTGGTGTATTTGCGACAAGTGTTTAACAAAGCCTTGTTTGCATTTAACGTTAGGTGATCTACTTTGGTCAATAGTCTAAGTTGCGCTAATAAGCAGGACTAGAATCCTCATCTTTTGGGCCCCTGCTGATGGGCTTTGCCATTGGCTGAGTTGGTAGCCTGCAGTGATAAGCACTTCAGATATCATCCTCTTTTCTTTAGTTGCTCCATGGGACGGTGGTTGACACATCGGTGGTCTTCCCTCACCGTCTTGGCCTCCCTCACAAGCTGACCCTCAACAACCTCACAGCTGAATATCTCATGAGGATCATCCAAGAGAGTGGTGGGTCATCATGGATAACTGCAGCCACCGTACACGTGGATGTCCAATGAGTTCAAACCCTGCCATATATCTGAAATTAAATCCAAATTTAAATAAAGAAATGGATCATAATAAGACTACAATAACGGAGTGTGAATACCACCAAGGGTTTTCGTTGTAATTTATAAATATTTTTTTTCCCCCACAAAGTGTACATCTGACTAAATACATGATAATGTTTCTCCCAGTTTGTGGCCATGACACTGAGGAGGATGCTGCTGCCTGCATGGAGCTTATGTTATGGAGGCTCAAAGAAGATGGAAAAATGAAGAAATGATGGATATAATGCTTGCTAATCCCCAAACTGGTGACCCATGAATAATGTAGACACGGTTATGGATATTTGACATATCTATTTCTGCCCTGATATGGGAGGGCTGTTTAGTTTTTCGGTTACATTACTTAATTTTGTGTTAAAATGGTAATCCCTCTATATAGATTTTGATTTTCAGACTGTCCATATTTGTGAAAGTCTGAAGGGGTGGGTGTTATCAGTATTATCCCAGTAAAGGAATGTATTCAAACCTGTTTGTCTGTTTTCATTAACAAAGTTGCACCAACCAATGAACACTCTTCATTAACTGCTTAATTGGCTGCAGGTGCAGTTATGCAAATTAGCTCACACCTGTTTGCAATTAATTCAACTACCAGTCATAGCCAGAAGAGCAAATGTGTATATTGTCGATACATGATATATACATGTAGAGGAAGAAAATATTTGACTCTAGTCTTAGATTCAAGGCTCTAGAACAAAGTAAAATACCTCGTTTCACATGACAAACATTTTTTTGATTTTTCAAATTAGACCAATAAGACACCAAAGTTCAGCTACTCCGCCTTCCTCTTCTTTGCCTTCGCCTTTCTGCCACAGCACCTGCAGAAGCAGAAACTGCAGGTCTTGACAAAGAGGAGGACAAGGACCAGATCAATGGCGAGGACCAAGGCCAGGACATCCAGGCTGTGGTACTGGTACCAGGTGAGCTCATGGGCCTGCACCCTCAGGTGCTTGGCCCCTTTGTTTCTCATGGTGAACTCCATCCAGAACACCGCCTCGTCCAGAGGACTCATTGGTCGGTCGTGGTGGATCCTGGACAGCCGCAAGGCGTTCTCCTTGTACCTGTGGGAGGAGACATACAGGGGTTGGGATTACTTTCTTTGGCCTTACAATTATGTTTATCTTTGTTATGTTGGTCGGCCAAAGGTAGGCCAGTTGTTTTGTCATTTGTTTTTTTCCCCTGAAGCTCTTAAATGTTAACTGAACTGACATCCTACATTTGGCCAAGACGCTTTTGTGGTTCATGGCGTCTCTGAATCAGTTAGTAGGTAACTTACGATTTGTCATTGATGACGGTGTTGACTGCATCTCTGAGGTCGTCCTGCTTCATGAAGTTCAAGTTTACGATGACTGCAGCTCCCTTTGCCTCAACATGCACCATGTTGTCTGGCTGGTCGAAGAACATGGGAATTCCCACCATGGGAACGCCGTGGTAGATGGCCTCAAATATCCCGTTTGCTCCGCCATGGGTGATGAAAGCTTGGGTCTTTGGGTGACCTGATACGGTACAAAGAATGAAGCAACATACAATACTTTCCTCAATCAAGATCGGTTATTAGAAACACGATTACTATAAACATATTATGAATGTTGGCAAAGACTTGAGATTGGATGCAGGCTCAATCAGAACCTACCTACATTAAAGGCCGTGCATTTCTTTGGTGACATTCATTTTAATACTATAGTCTCGTAATGTAATTCACATAGTAAATGGATGAAAGGTCTCCTGTGGAAGAAACTGATCTACTGGATGAAAAGACTACTAGATGCTTGTACTGAACATAGGCAAAGGCTTATGTGTGGATGGTTTCGAACATCTGGTATTGATAATTATTTCTCTCTTTTTTTTTTTTTTAAGCGTGTTCAGTAACTTTTATGAAGGCCCCACTTACCCAGTAGGTCATTCTGTGGGATCCAGTTGTAGATTCTACTGTTGGCCCCCAGAGTTGCTGGAGCTTCTCCACTGTATCTCCAAAGCACCTGTAAACAAAACCAAAATGCCCTCATTGAAGCTGGCTGTCCCTTGAAAAAGTCAACTATTCTTTTGACAACCCATTTAAATTATCATCGCCTTACTTTCTGTCCCACTATCAATCATATTCAACTAGAAAGAAAGAATTGCATGGTATGATTTCACACCATTTGTTATTGTCAAATACAAATCCTACGTCACTGCTGACCTCCGAACTTATCATTTTGGTTGTTTGCTTTAATGGAATACCTCCTGGTATAAAATCAATGTTTAGACTTACCAAATCTTACTTGAGATTTGGTACTTTGGTCAACATTTATTTACCTTTTTTTTATTAGTTACATTACTTCACACCGAGGTTTAGCAGTGGCTTAATAAAAGTAGTTCATAAAAATCAGTCAAAAAGCATTTTATTTACTAATTCGGTGGCTGCAAAACAAAACTCTCATTCACAATATTTAGAAGGCGAGGTTTTGAAATGGTTCTTGTCATGTGACAAATCAAGTTCATCCAACAGTGCAATACTGGGCCACTAAAACTGCTTTTGGAGCTCATTCGTTTCACTCCGTTTGGCTCTTAGTTTGCCCTCTGACCTTTTGTGGGATCTGAGCGAGGGCTGAGGCAATAATGTTTGCTTTCTCCGTCGTGATGTTGCTGATTAATGATCCCAAAGAGAAGACCACGATGCCAGCATCTCCAGAGCTCTGCACAAACTCCTCCATATCCTGTAAGAATCACATTATCACAATGCAAACCAAGAGAAATGTTCTCATTGTTTAGTTTGGGAGTAGTGTAGAGGAGGTGTATTAATACTGTGATAAGTAGAGACGGCCCTGTACCTCTGGCAGCGGTTTGGCCGGTCTGCAGTGAATTCCTCCAACAAATTTGAAGTTAGGGAGGGAAGGACGAGGGAAATCAAAATCCCAGTAGCTTCGCATCAACCAGATATCTGCCCGACCCATCGTCTCACAGGCACTGGTGGGTGTTCCTGTCATGAAACAAAAAGTAATGGATGAAAACTGTGCATTCACAATGAAATGGCAAACTTTCCAAATCTTTACACACAGTGTGTCTTGTATTGGAGTAACTCACCTTTGACTTCGGAGTAATATTTATCGAGCACTTTCCAGTGTACATGATCAATCACAAAATCCTGCAGCGCGTAGAAGAGGAAGTTCCACACTCTCTCAGAGAAGTCCATCCTGTCGGTGAGTTTGCTCATGGCGCCGGGTACGAAGGAAGGAGGAGCAGGTAGCTGACCACACTGTCTTTCCCAGTGATGGGCAAGAGAGAACCGTAAGGAGAAGACCAGGGGGATGCCCAAGATGTCTGCTACTAAGTCGCCGCCTCGATAGACCGGGTCAGCCAGGAGAAGGTCGTATTTTCCGTCCTTCAGCTTCTTCATTATGGGTTCAGATTTCACCACGCCGTCCAAATAGATGAACATTTTGTTCAAGTTGTCCTCCATCATATCCATGAATCTGATATAAATCTGTACGTAGCTCATGTGATCAATCTCATACATGGAGAACTGAAGGAAGTCTTTCATGAACTTCTCCATGGTCTCCATAGAAACGAAGACGTTGAAGGGTTCGTAGCTGAAGCGAGAAGGCTCCTTGGTGCTCATGAACATGGACGTGCTCGGGACCAGAACCGTCACCTGGTGTCCCCTGTCGATCAGCGTCTCCAGCAGAGGCTTCATGTTGATCCAGTGGCTGCCTTCAGTGTACCACACCAAAATGTTCCCCCCGTCTGTGCTCCATGTCCCGCAAAGTAGCAGCAGGACACACGCAGAGAGAGACTGCCCCGACTTCATCCTGCCTGTTTGTCCGGGTGAAAAGCTGCCTGTGCTCAAAGTGCTTTTTTTAAGCAACTCCTATGAAAAATAATTATTAACTAAACAAAAATGCAATTTTGGTCACAGCCCATTGTTGGAAAAATTGCAATCATTTTCTACCTTGGTAAGATAGACAGTCTGTGCTCTTTCACTTAGAGCCACAGTGTTCTGGGTCATCTGATAATCAAGATGATTTGTGTGTCAATGTTTATAGCCTTGTGGTGCCAAAGATGACCTGTCTGTGCACAAGGGAGTCCAGGACACTTTTTAAAGCCCTCTGCCTGGTCCTGTTGTGGAAGATTTTGCACAGACAATCGGTAAATAAGAATGAAGGCTCGGAGTCAAATATGTCGTTGTACGTTTATTTCCTTGCAAGGCAAAAAAGGTCACAACAGCTACGTGCTCAGTAGACTGCCAAGAACCTTCCTCCTGTCACCACAGGGCCAGGCAGTTCTTCTACCTACAGGTGACCTCCAAACCAACGTGTTGTGTCTCTACAGCCAGGAGACTGGCATCTTATCAGTGTGAGACACTCCAGCTCAGTTCCTTTTCATGGCCACACCATCCCAACATTTGCAAGTTATAACCTTGTTCGTTCAAGGAAACATTTTCAAGCGTTACACACATTGTTGCCATTACATTCCGTTACGGCAGAGATTCCCAAAGTGGGGTGCGGGGACCCCTGGGTGTGCGCGAGAGGAAACATGGAATGGTGGTCTAATATAATTTGTAAAATATCAATTAGGATTTCATCACAAAAAAGAGACATGAATTTTAAACTACTCTTTGCAAGATTAAAATTATAAATGTACAATTTAATAAATGAATACTCTTCGGCTCCCCCTTTTAAATGCACACTAGCTAACGTGAGCCTAGTTTGTGAAGCTTTTACAGCAACGTAGAAAATGTAGAAGACTACAAAACCATTCTCCTTGCTCGTAGACCCACTAGGCCATTTGCTGAGGATGCATTTTGCTCGACTCCTATTCCAGTATTTGCAACCACTGTCTTTTTAAGCAAGTGGTGGCTCATTTTTTCTGGTTTCTTTGTCTTGTTATTGACCCTTCCACTATATAATGGAAGTTGAATTATACATTTTTCCCAGATGCTTTGATGGCGCAGGCTGAAGATGATAAATATTGCGACGTTTTATAATATTGTGCTGCTGTATTTGTTATGTTAAGGTATTCACTTTGGTCAACTAATGTTATGGATCAGCTGCCGTTTCTCCCCATCCTGTGTGTTTGTATCTTCCTTTACCCGTCTGTCTGTGCTGTTTGTCCCCATCTGCAAAAGGCGTGGCCGTTCATCCTGCTCCGTTCCCACACAGCTGATCCACATTCCGCGATTCACCCCTTTAGACCCGGGCAGTTCACCTCTCCAGCGCCAGATCGTTACACACCCCTACGTGGTAACTTGGCGCCGTATCCTGGCTCGCAAGACTCTGATTGTCCCTGTGGTTCTTTCTGTCTAACCCTGGTTCCTCTGTGCAGATCCCGCTGTCCCCGTTCCTACCTGACGTACCGCCTGCCTCACGGCAGTTACCAAATTAGCTGTAACTACTAGTCATAGCCAGAAGAGAAAATGTCTATTTGTACAATGCATAATAATACCTGATACTTGCTTATGTAGAGGATGAAAATTATTTCACTCGAGTGTT